ATATTCACACACAGATGAACACTAAACTAGTTGCTTAACAAAATAGCCAGCAGTTAAATCCTATACATATTAACAATAATACAAATTCGACATTCCGAATTCAAGAAAACAGATAACGAAAATGATTAAAGAATCTCAATCATAAATACCACAACAATCATCTTATGTGATTTGATATTCCAACTTTTGTATGATGTTTTTCAAAAGGGTTTGGACCAATAATGGCCTAGGAAACTCCACAAAAAACTTAAAATAGAAGCCCACTTATTTTAATTTTTTTTTATAATAGAGTGCCAAACAAGTCAAATACAAACTGTATTTCTGCTTATTAGCTATGGTGCAGGCCTTCTAGAATCCTCTCTTTTTACAGTGAATGTTATTTTATTTATTTTAGTTCAACTATATTAATTTTCACTCAGTGTTTCTTATACTTTTACAAAACAGGACACAAAATAGCAATTTTGTTCAATAATAGGTATTTATTTACAGGGCATTAGAATTACCTCCTGTTTAACCTTTTAAATATTATGATTATTTGTCATTTCAGTTAATTTCTAGTTTAATATCAGTATAGTTCTCTGATACAGTACAGGGACCTTTCACATGAAACACTGATATGAACATATTGCAGTATGAGGATATTGTTCTATAACAATGAATGTCTAGTCAATTAATTGCTGAAGTACCCAAAGATATCATCAATATAATACTCTATTGGTAGGTATAAGGTTCCATTTATGTGGATTCCATTGGTAAAAATATAATTAAATATATATTTTTTTCAAGAATTATTTAGCATGTTTTTAATTAATTGGAATTTGTTTTGATTGATTAAAACCATCCATATAGTTAGAATCTGTATATTTTAAAAGTTATTTATAAACCAACTGCAATAACATTTTATACTTTGTGGTTTATATCTTTACACATAAAAAAGTAAAAATTGGATTTTTAATGGCTCATGTAATCAACTATGTGTTTGTATACTAATTATAAACATTCAAATATTCTCACTATAAAATGATATTTGGTTCAATGAAGTAATCAACCTTTTTAATTAAATATTTTTTTTAATGAGCAGTTTTGTAAAATCAAAGAGTAAAACATGAGTTGATGATTCATTTGTACTAGCCTTAATGTTTTTTTAAAACCACAGAGAGTGATTTAAAAATTAAAAACTAATTTCAAAATAAAAGATTACTTGTTAGACATCAAAGAAGATTAAAAAGTTCTATCATCTTTTTTGTTTGCAATTTTTTTCTTACCCTGCCTGTGGAGATTAAATTTTTGTAGCTAAAGTTTCAACTAATAATAGAAACTATTTTATAGATCTGAATTTGGCTAATTATATCAAACTCGTTTAACACAAAACTGCAATAACTTTTTAATTTATCAAAGCAACTATGTATGTGGGTTTTAATGTTGCTTTTGATACTCAACAAAAACCATGATATTTTCAGATCTGTATTATCGTTCAAATTATTGTTAAATTGTTTAACAAATTTCTGTTAACAAATTGTGGGTTTTTTAAATCTAAAACTTTCAGTATTCTCATAAAAAAATTGTATTTTGTCAACATAAGAGGGTTTGTAGTTAAAGGCTTCATAGGTTTTAACTTTTAAGGCACTATCAAATGGTAAGTAAAAGACCTAATAAGCAAATAGGTATTGTAAGTTTTCATTTTATGTACAATAATTAACATTGATGGAATTGAAATAAACAAAATATTTATTTTGGTTATTAAACTTACACTTATAAATGGTAAACAAAAACAAGTTAAATGTTTTCAAAACTGAACTAAAGAAATAAAGCATTGTAAAGCCAGGAATAAAATAATAGTGAGAAAAATAAAGCATTTAACAATAGAAGACTTTCTTTTGGATAACTATTTCCAATGTCTCTTACCTTGAATTGGCGCTAAGTGACAGATTCTTGTCTGGGTTTAAATTATTCAGGGAAGTTAACTTTACTAATGGAGAATTCATGATTCCTGAACTCCTAATTATTCAAAAAAAGAACAATAAATTAATATTATTTGTTGTGTCTATTTAATATCAGTTGTATTTTTTTAGTTGTTTTACCAAATACTGTCAATATCTAACACTCTAATACAGATCTGTTGTTACACAGCATCAATATTGATTCAATGACAATAATTTCGTATGCTACTATCCATCTTATTAATCTAGAAACAAACTGTCAATGATTATTTTTATCAATAAAAATATGCGAGTTCTTACTTTTACTTTATATTTTAGACCCATTATTTCACAGACATGGCTTTCCTTGGTGTTGAGCCAAAATTGCAAGACTGTTCTGAATTCAGTAAAACTAATAGGCTATTTTAGAAATGTTAAAAATAATTTAAGATTTTAAAAATATACTTTTCTAAAGCAGTTAACTTTGAACTTCACGTTAATGTAAAAAAAAACAATTTGATAGAAAAATGTTTTAAATCAAAAGTTGGAGTCATTAAGGTAAATTTGTAAATTCATCTATCTATGTCAGATTATAACGTTAATAATTATCAGGCCTTCAAAATGTATACTATGATTGAAAACTTCCACCCATTCTTTTAAAAGCCCAGTTTACAAAAAGTCTCTTTTATCAATGAACCCGTAATAACTAATAATGATCTTTACCGGGAAATAGTGATTTAGTGAGTCGGTGGCTCAGTCGGTAGCGTTGCGGACTTCGGGCCCAAGGCAGCGATGTCGTGGGTTCGGATCCTGGTCACTGCCGATAACATTTTATCAGTACAGTTCACCTTTGTACTGTACCGGCTCACTCCTTGCTTTGCTGTTAACGATCCACGCACAGACGCTTAGTCTATGTGGACAGGCAAATGCAAGGTTAAAAGAGGCCGCCAACCTCTTTAAAAAAAAAAAAAAAAATAGCTTAAACTCAGATAACTGAGGGTAAGTGCCGTAGCAAATTAGTGGCATGTCAGTAAACTCTGTAATGTGAAATAAGATTAACAGTGAATGCCAGCTTAGGTGAACTGACCCGATAGAGCAACGTTTAATCTAAACAGACTTAATTGAAATTCAATTTGTTGGATTACGGTGGCATAAATTGAGCTTTGTCAAACAGACCAGGCCACCATATTGAATTACTAAATGTAACATCACAAACCCTCTAAATCCTGTGTCTTTTAATCGAGTTTGATGTATTCTTTTAATTAAATTTTGGAAACAGTAGAAAAAAGGATCCCCTGCGTCATTCAATCAATTTAAGCTTAAACTAAATTTAAATATTTTATACTTTTATCAAGAGCAATTCCTGATATGATTACTACTATGTAACGTGCAGTGGGATAGGCGTAAATTTACAGTAAGGGGACACTTACCATGGTTTTGGAAGGAACATGGATTGCCAATTAATTTATTAGAGTTTTGGAAAGAGGAAAATAGGAACGCCTTTCTTTCCTGCCCTAAAAAAAACAGGGCATTGGGCATTTGTTTTGTTACTACACCAATGGTAAATAAAAAAAACATGTTGCATCTTTGGGATTTATTAAAAAGTTATTATAACGTAAGAACAAAACCTATATTCATAATATGCATTTACACACATACATTTACACATTATATACATTTACATAGATGGATTAAATGTGGAAGAGTTCATGATAGTCCTTCGCATCATGAACACAAAAACCCTACATTATACAAAGAAGTCAGAATTTTTTATACTTTCAGACAAGGATGTTTGGGTTGGGAAGAAAAAAGATAAATTGCCATTGGATAATAATTTGAAGGCAGCGTCATCTTAACATTTCTTGACTTTACTTGAGTACTACCGTGAGACACTTTTAACAACAAAACCAGCTCATATGATAGTAGGCCTATCCTTGTTTTCTTTACTTAATTACTATTTTCATATGACAATGAAGCTAATATACATCGTTGAAATTATCTATGAGGTATAGTGTTATTGATCATTGATTGTAAATAAGACTTGGGTAATAATTTTTTTTTACATGCTCAAATTGAGCTTGTAAAACGCCAAGTTGAAACTTAACCACAATAATAATTATTATCTACAAGTTTTAGTGTTATTGGGAAATTATTTCCCAATAACACTAAAACTTTTAGATAAGTAATCAACAATGAATATCAGCTGATTGGCAATGAAATAAAGAATACAGGGATGCCAAAATGTGAGCTTAATTTATCTTTTAAAATTGTCTTATGGTACTTGTAATTTGGGTTAAAAAATCAACAATATCATATTACAAAACAATTACTATTTCACATCTGTGATATAAAATGTTCATATTAATAATTTTGTTCCAAACAATATTGGTAAATGCTCCTGTAGGCAAGGAATATTTTAATTAAGCACAATATTGTAGGAAGCAAGCACCATCCCATGCAGGATGAGCCTTGCTAATGAATTCATACATCAGCCACTGAAAGCAAACGGAATTTCACTTATGGATCGTTAAATCTTCCATCCTGACTTAAAGTTTCCTCCTGATTTTCAGTGTAACATTCTTTACAATGCTATAACTTAGCTCTTTTTTAAGATTCTTTTTTGTTTTGGATTTGTTTGACTGCTTATTATTAACATTTGTAAGCATAAAAAGTTGTTACTAAACAAAAGTAACTTCATCAAAAAATTAATATACCTATTTATTATCTTTTAAGAACTTGAATTACATTATAAACACAGGCGACAACAATAAAGGTAATCTAATGTAAAGAATTTCATTACTATATGATCTTTTTAATGCTAATAAACAATCATTATTTAAAAAATGTTGTAAGTATTGTTGAGTTTGGATTTTATCAACTTTAATTCAAGATAAAATATTGATTGATTTGATTTATTTCTTCTGGTTAAAGGCCTAGAAGATAAACTTTAGGTATTTCCACACTTGTGTAGCTGGAGTTAGTAGCTGGAGACATATCAAATTTATTAACTACCTACTACATGTTTTACAAATAATGTCTAAAGAAAATTGTGTTTCTTGAGACATAATCTGATCTTGATTTCTTTCTAGTTTTCTATCATTGTGTTACTTGTCAAACATTATTTACATTTTAAAACTCTTCTTGCAGAAATTAAGGTGTGGAACATTCCAATCAAACTACTTTTTTACTTGTGATTTGGAATTTTATCATAACAAATAATTTATAACACATTATATTAAATAATTTAAGCAATCAAGATTAACATACATGGCCATCCAAGACCCCTATCACCATACAGGATATTCCAACGACAACTGAGAAATCTTATAGCCTACAAACAGTCTCTTGTTTAAATTATTTAAAGCTGTCCAGGGATTTTGAACTGTCAGTGGGAATTGGAAATGTTTTACCTCATCATAACAATATTCGTGGACTCAATTCCATGTCTTCTGTCGTGTGATTATTTATTTCAATTTTTTAAGGAAAACTGCAAAGCCGCAACACTGATTCCTAAAAGAAACCCAAACAGAAAACTAGTGAGCAAAAGCTAGTTGATGTATAGAAAGGTTGTAGAAAATACAAAATCTCAGAAGTCAGGTAAAAAACCAATTCAAGTGTTTAACTGTTTCACTATTTGAAGCACATTAATTGCAAGCCTAGGCTGTATTTCTCTGTTCTTATTTGCTGTTGTGAATAACATAACTTATATATACCTATTTTGAAATTGAGTAGTTAAATTTAGTGACTGACAGAGATGTTGATGTAAATTACCATTTTATTTATTTTACACAAACTTCAGAATAATAACAAACCAAAAAGGCTTTATCATAAACTAAAGCGTCTTCCACGTCACCATTAACTAGCTTAGTATGAAAAGCAATAAGGACAAATACATCCACAATAACTTTGTGGAAGGCTCATTTGACTATGTTTTACACTTACACAATAAGAAATTTATACAGCTGGTACATGTTGATGGTGTAATCTCATGAGTGACATAAGATCTAAAAGCATTAACCGGTAACTAAAAGAAAGACAAAAAATAAATCATTACCATTACCATCATATCATTATTCAAGTTTTCTTATTGCTTAAAGAGATTAAATCACGATAAGTGAAACTTTCACATCATGATTTGAAAACCCAACATAAACATCCTGCTTAACCACAACCCTGACAAAGTTCCTGTTGCTCCCTGTAGGAAGCAGCACCGTCCAGATCTCGACCAAAAATTGTCATACAACCATAAAACTTAATATAACACCAATTCCAATTAGAAAAAAACTATTTTTTATAAATTAAATACAAACATTTACTTACACCAATATGATTATTTTGTAGACCATTTATCATGCTTGAGCTTCTCAATTTCTTTATTCATTTCATCCAACCTATGTTGACAGCTATCATGTCTTTTTAAAGCTTCCAGAAGTTCTATGTTGTTGCACTCTTGTCGTTTTAGTTGAGAGTTTAGACGGTGTATCTAAATAAAAAACGTAATAAGCTACAGAAGAAAAAATATGTCATTTTCAATACAGCACTTAAGTAAGATTTGAAAGTGTCAGTGAATATGTTTTTTTTTTAATATGTTCCACTTGTTCATTTTTCACAGTATAAAATGCATGTTAATTGATTTTAGTCCCGTTTGTATCTCATTATAGGTACCTTAATTTGTTTAAATTAACATGCACAAATAACTTTTTTATTTTATTTTATTTATTTTATTTATTTTATTTTATTTTATTATTTTTTTTTTACTTTGTGATAATATTGTAATGTTGCATATAAAAAATCTCATATCTTGTAAAGAAATGTGAAATTATTAACAGAATATAGATATCTGTATTTTCAAGAAAAATACTACAACATTTTCCAAACTGTACAACATTTTCCACAAAAAGTGCTGTTATTTTAAAATTAATAAAAATAGTTAAGTTTTGATTCCACTAAAATATTTGTATAAAAAATTGCTTTAAAACTATAAATAGGTCCTATGACGTTTGTATTTGACATGTGTAAAAACAAACTACCGGAAGTGAATCTCTAGTTTTAGTACATCCTGAATTTTAAAAAACATTTAAATTTAACATTTATCTTTGGGGTTGGTTTGGTGAGAAAACATAGTATTTCAACATTGTAGAACCAACAGTTAGTCTGAAATCGTAAATGTTCAATAAGGGCAGCCTATATTATGGAATTTTCATGTCAAATTTTAATAATTATAAGTATTGTATCTTATATCTTTTACAATAATAATGACGATGTCAATTACAATAATGTATTGTTTAAAGACTGAATAAATGACTATTCAATGACTATTCAATCAATAGACTACAGGATTGACACCATACAAGATTCACCCTGTGAGTCATACCTTTTCTTTAGCCGCATCAAGTGCTCCTTCCAAATAAGTAACTTGCTTGTTGTAAGGATTAGTCGTCACAAGTGGCCGTTGATGTTGTTCACTCTTAGCCAGTTTTGCAGTAAGGATGTCTATATTATCTTTCTGTTCCATTACTTTCTTCTGGAGCCTCTTGCAGCAAAGCCCATCTAAAACAGTGAGGAAATTGTAGCTTATGATTGAAACTTACACAAAGATAACCTGATGAGCACACTAACAAGCACATACTTAACATGGCCACACCTTTTCTGAGTAATTTCTCGTGGGTATGCATGTCAGTCAGTCATGTCATGTGCATTTCAGAGTTCAAGCAAGTTTACTCTTCCCTGTCTCAGATATAGGGAACTTTATTTGAGGTTTTGTCACAAGTTATCATTACCATAACGGGCCCTTGAATTGATTGAGGAATTTTAATGAGGAGAGGATATGCAATAAGGAAAGGGTTGTAAAAATCTCTAATCTCTTTCTAATCATTGACAAACTCTAAATTCCTACATATAATCACATTTAAAGACATATTTTTTAAACAAAAGTTTAAGTAAGACAGTGTCACAATCTTTCTTAGCTCTCAAGCATCATTTTGGAATGTTGTGCAAAATATACTGAAGGTATGAATGAAATAATTAGAAAAGCTCTATAGAAACAATCTCATCTAATCATTAAAATATATTTTATGTGATAGTATAGCCTACAAAAGGTTTACTAACCTGTTTGAACAGAAGCGTCGAGTTTCACTTGCTTTGCTTCAATTAAATCAAAAGTGATGCTTTCCCGTCTACATTTTGAATTCAGGTTCCGTAGCTCAGAACGCAGTCTTCGAACAGAAGCTTCACAGTTTGACAATTCGAACTTAAGAGACGAGTTCTCTTTAGTTAGCAAACTCAGCTCTTTTTGTTGCTCCATCATCTTTTCTTTCTTCAGTTTACATTCGTTTGTGACTTTAAGAACGTTCTTCTTCAACATGTCATGTTCTGTGAATATGTGACCAATCACTTCTAATGCCTGGCTGTGTGTTTTTACCGTCGGTGATTTTGACATTATGACATTGAAATATCTGTTCATATCTATATGTTGAGCGGAGAGTTGTCCTTTTAGCAAGATATTTTCCTTTTCTAAATATTCTTTTTGCTGTAAGGTCAAATACTGTTTGTACTCAATTCTTTGAATAGTTTGAATGTAAGACAACATTAACTGACACTGGTAACCAAAAAATCTCAAATCTTCTGTTGCACTAAAGCAAACTTGTCGAGTATCTGAATACTTCTTCAGAGTTTTGTTCACAAAAGCAACTTTTTCACTATCTGATAAATTGTAAGGAAAACTTATGTCTAAACCTGATAAAACATCTGCTTTTGTTTCAGAAAGTTTGGACTTGAGATCCTTAATTTTATGCTCCAAACTAATGTTTTTTGCTTGCAGCGTTTGTTTTTCTTTTGCTAATTTCTCAACCTTTTGTTTCTGTTGGTTGCATTTTTCCTGCTCTTTTTCAACTGATTTACGCAGGTCAAATACAAGTTTCACCATCTTATTGTTTTCATCTCTTATGGTCTTGAATTTCTCCCTCATGTTCTGCACAATACTCTGACCAGCTTTAGTTGATTCTTCCATATCTTCCGCTACATTGGAGAGATTTAAACATTCAGATTTCATTTGACAAACTTCTTTTTGTATCAACATTATACTATTCGGCTGGAAACCTTGAACATTTTCTCTGTTTCTGTTATCCTCATAATATTCAAAGTCGCTTAATAATTTTGAACTGCTCAGCATTAGATCTTGCATCTCTTTTGTTTTGTAATCAAGGGCAGACTGTGCTTTTTGAAGGTCATTTGTATACCTCATTTCCACAGTTAATATTTTACTGCTAATAGCTTGAATGATGTCTTTTAGCATGTCCAGTTTTTCCTCACATTTCGACAATATTTCATGAACGGTAACACTGTTTCCACTTTTGTCCAATGTATCTTTTATAAAATCTATTTCTTTTTTAAGTGCTTCTGAGAGGAAAGTCTCAAAGTTAGAAACAAACTCATTCTGATCTCTAACTAAGTCTGGGCAACTGTAATCAGTGCTACTTATTTGGTTTACTCCAATCACATTACAATCCCCTTTATTGTTCTGTGTGAGATTGTTCTGATGTGGAGTGTAAGTTTCTTTACTCAAATGCTCCTGTTGCTTATCAGAGTAAGAATTCAACTCGGATTCTAAAAGTTTAATATCATTAGATTTGTTTAAATTTTCTTCTTTTAGCTTTTCATTTTCTTCAACTAATGAACTTATTGAAGCCTTGTACTTGTTTGCCATCCCCCTGGTTTTATCCAACTCCAAAGTAAGGGAATCGTTTTCCGTTTTGCATTCCAATATTATTCTGTTCATGTTGTTTATTTCTAAACTTTTATTTCTTGATTCTTTAGTAAGAGCTTGTAGTTTATTATCCAACAACGTGTTTGAACTCTTCAAATCTGCAAGTTCAGAGTTAATTTTGTCGTTTTCCGATTCAAGAACTTTTGTCCAAGAATCCTGAGATTTCAATTTGTTATTAAGGTTTTCGATCGTAAGCTCAAAATTGCAAAGCTCTTCCTGTTTCTGTTCGTGTATACTTTTAGACATTTCATTTTCCTTTTTCATTATTATGAACATGAGTTTGTTGAATACATTTTCTAAAGATTCATTCATAAGGGATTCTTTACTTTCACTTTCATCTAAGCTTGTTATTTCTAGCACCATTACATGTTTTATTGCTGTCAGTTGATCTGCTTTCTCATTTACAATATTCTCCCCATTAAGTTCATTTTTTAACTCCATATCTTTTTTTAAACCACCATTCTCAATAGTGTTTTTGAAAAGATCTTGATTGTTATCACAATCTTCAATGATGTTGAGATGAGATTTTTTACTTCCATGTACTTTGTTGTAAACTTCAAAGATTTTAATGAGTTTTGCTTCAAATTTATTCCAAATTCGTAATGAATCGCTTTTCAATATTGTGCTCTGACTGCCCCAGTAATTAAGTAATGCTTCTTTTATATAGTGAAACAAGGCTCCATCTTGGACTGTAACTGAAGGGTCCCAAGAGTCTATCAGATTTTCTATTTCATTCAAATTGCATACATTTCCCTCTGCTACATTGTCTGGTTTTGATGCTTTGTTTAGGTTATTAATTTCCTTCTTAAATTTGTCACAATCTTCATTATAAACTTTAGGCACCTTGACACCCTCACTGTGTTCCAGCATTACAGAATCTTTATGTTCAATTTGATTGTCTCTGTTGGCTTCCACAAGAATATTTTTGTTGTTCATATTACTTACCAATTTTTCTAGGTCATCAACTTTGTTAATCCTTTCCCTGACAACATCAGCTAACACATTGACTTCAGTTCTTAACTTTTGATTTTCAGCCTGAAGGAAGTTAATTTTATCAGCCAAGTGTTTGAAATTTAAATCAGATTTAAAAATTAAGTTCTTGTCGTGAAGAAGCAATTTGGTCACGTATTTTGCTGCAATTTCACTACAAACAGTTTGATTCTGAACATCCATCAATAAGCTGAAAACACTGTAGACATCTTCATTTCTCTTCAGTGCATCAACCAGGTCTTCAATTTTGGATTTCTCATCCCAGGACAGTATTATATTTTCTAGACAGTTAAGTGCCGAAAGAATGTGGTTCTGTGTACTTTCTTTATCTAGAGATTTTTCCAAATTAGTTTTCATCAATGAACTTTCTAAATTGTTTATTTTCAACTGTTGTTCGGGAATATTGTTTACAAGCTTATCCACATGAGCCAATGCTGCTTCTAAATTATTGTTTAAAGCCAAATTTTCTTCATCTTTATTTTTCAAACTATTTTCCAGCTCAGCTAAATGTGAGGGAATTCTTTGGTCAATTTCTTCTTTGAGCCATTTTATCTCTGTTTGATATGCGTTTACTTCTTGCTCAATCCTGTTTAGTTGATCATTGGCTTGTTTGATATTTGATTGCAACTCCCAACATTTTTCGTTTTTAATTTTAAGTTCATTTTTGGAGTTTAGAAGAATGTCTACAAGAATTGCAAGGCTGTTGGAGATAGCATGCAAATCACAAGAATTCAATAAAATGCTTTTAAGAGATTCAATGTGTTCATCAGAGACAAAGTTATCATTCAACAAAGTCACAGTATTGCTAAGTGTATTAATCATGGACATGGTTTGTTCTTGTATATTATCCATTTCACATTTCAGACTGCACATATCTTTCTTTACAGCATCTTTTGTCATTTCTGCTTCTACCCGTTTACTTTCTGATTCTAATAACTTTCTTGAAAATTCTGCTAGTTCTGAATCAATGTTAGCCATTTTATTTTCTAAATTAGAACAATGAAATCTAATCAAATTTATATTCTCCTTTTGCTTTTGTTCATTTTCATTTAAAGCTATAATTTGTTTCTTTAATTCATAAGATTCTGACTGTAGTTCCTCTAATTTATCTTGCATCAGTTTCTTATCTTGTACAAATGTTTCAACTAAATCCGAAAGATGTTTAAGTGAATTTAACATTGTTTGATCATAGCTGTCAAATTGAGGGTCATTGATGTTTTCTTCAGATTTTATCCTGTGAAAAAATAAAATTATTATTACCTAAAATAAATTTATTTTCATGATAAGGGAAAAACTTAAAAGCATGTTTACAAAATCACGTTTTATTTCACCACTTTACAGTTATAATGGGTAAGACACTTCAGTCGAATAAAAAATATATCAAGCTTGTTTGTATAGTATTTGGCACAGAAAGCTTTCAGAATCTTAATTGATAAATTGTTATGGCGTAGCAAGGTTAAGTAACCTGTATCAGGTATGACTAGATTAGTAAATAATGAGGTACCAAGACTGTAATCTATTTAATGTGACTAGTACATATTTATGTACCTATTATTTATGCCAATATTTTTATCTTTCCAAAAGAGAAGTACCGGAATGCCGCTTTGCAACGTTCCCCTGCAAATCGAGCACTGGGTATAACTATGCGCCACATGGCATCAAACAACCTTCGTCACTGTTGAAGTATAGGTAAGAGGTAGTAGCAATAGGTTAGACTCAGGGTAAATTAAATTAATACAAAAATTTCACAAAAATGCCACAAATAATTACTTCTATAATTCAGAATAAAATTTTAATTATTGGTACTTCCAAATCAGGGATTGTCTCTTCCAGAGATATATTCTTAGTAATTAAACTTTAAGTATTGTTTCTGTTGACAAGAAAGACATTGATATAGACTAAGATGATCATTTACAAAGTTTAGTCCTGTTTTCATACAAAAAAGTACAGAATTTATTTCACAAAAGAATTCTACATTTTAAATGGCACGCGGAATATATTTTACCAGAGATTCAAATAACATCCAAACATTTATTATTTATCAATCCAATTTCTACAGGGCCGGATCTAGCATTTTGGCGCCCCTAGGCCCAAATAATTTTCCGCCCCCTAGTCTGGTCACAGTTAGGCCTACTTTCCTTCAAACCTTTATTAAAAACTATATCATGCCCATAGGCCTTTGAAGTTAATTGCTTGAATACCACTCCTCGTCAGAATTTTATCATTGCAAGTTTTTTGAAGAATTTACTTGTTTAGCCTTAACAAAATGCCGTCTTAAAACACCTTTAGCAATTTTATGCTTTAAGTAAATGCTCACGTTTGTGGGACTAAAACAAAAAAACTCAACCGACCGACGAGCGTTCCTGCAAAAAACAAGGCCATTGATTCCAATTTCACCAAAAACATGGACTCCATACAGTACGTGATACCATAGATTAAACATACTCTTTTTAGTAGATTTGTCATCATTATGGATTAGCTGAAAACAATTCTTGTTATTTAAACCTAGTTTATCCAAAATAAAACGATCTAATCATAAACAATAGATCGTCACCTGGTTATATTACAAGAAATTAAAACACACATAGAACTAACCCTAAAATAATAGAAACAAAATTACGTCAAAACTAACGTCCAGTGTCACCAACATGAACTAGACATGAAAAAACTTTTGAATTAACAATGTGATAAGAAGTCTACTTGAGTTATATTTAATCTATGGTGGTATCTAGGTTAAATTTCCAAAGCAAAATAGAGCAATACTCCGGCCAACCATACCGATCCTTAGGTCTGAGGATAAGATGACAGCATTAATGGTGCTTTGGAGGGTATTGATTTTTCCTAAAACCTATTGCAAACTGAGATTAATATTTTTTCGTTGATTTTAAAGATACATTCGTGGTTTATTTTAATATTCAACACATCGTATTACATATTTTAACTTGATACTGCAGATTGATGTTAACTAATCAAAAGATTGGTAAATTTTTTTGTGAGGTGAGGGTGGTAACAGTGTCTAGCATGCATGCGCCCCCAATCACTCCGATCAGTAGAGCCGAGCCAGCATAGTGGCAGTGCAGTAGCAATACGATGCGTACCGTCACAGAAGTATGTTTTCTGTGGTACCGCTCGGGCACTCGTCAACCCTACATCCTACCCGTATAACCAATGTTCGTTACCAATGTTGTAATGAAATTGATGCATAATTCTGAAAAATAGTTTAAATTCTCTAACAATTATTTTTTCCTATGAACTTAAGAATCAGAATGATTTACAGTATTAGCCAGAGTTTTTTTTATCAATTATTTACTTTTATTTTTAGATATTAAAAAAAATTTCCTCTCGGCAATGAATTTCTAATGGAACAATTCTACCGTACTGCATTTTCACATATTTTGTAGTTTAGTTACATTTTTTAAGTTGAAAAAGCTAAAATCCAGTTGGAGACGATTCTTGGATCATACCGTACATTCTTGGTATAGAAATGAGTCAAAAAATTCTACAATTCAAGTGATTCAAATCTTTTTATTATCAATTCAATTTATCTAGTTTGTTTTGTCACAATGAGCTAAAAAATGCAGTCAAACTAAAATATTAAGATACTTACACACACGGGAATGGTGGAATAATCTCAATTTCCTCAATTGTACAGCTTTTCTGCAACATAGGCAGGATACATTACACACCCAAATCACATCAGCATTATTGACATAAATGTAATTTCCAATAATTATAACATTTTGTGGATATGAATCCAAACCAAGTATGGTTAGAACTCTTTGGCCCTCTGAGATCGGTTGAAACTATTTCAAAGAGATGTTTGTGCAGCATCTGCTAACATTTTATTATCGGTGGTGTGAACATTGATCTATTTATTCTGTGTATTATGAAGAAGAGGTGGTTTCTATAAAAGTGTTTGTTCTAGGTACAGACTACTGAACTGACTGGGGTAAAGTTTTACACAGTGATAGATCATGATAGAGCAAGCAGCGCCTCAAGCCCAATCAGTGTCTAGTCGATCAGTTTATTAATGCATTGTCTGGTGTGTTTCAATCGTTAGATGTATTTTCCGATTTGATTTTGATTTTCACCTCCACAAGAGGGATTATTAGCAAGACACAGTGGCGGATCTAGAACAGTCACAAGGGGGGGGGCGGCAAACCAGGGGGTCTGGCGGGTTCGGGGTTGCCCCCCCCCCCCCAAAAAAATGTGTATAAACTAAGTCTCCAAAATGGCAGTTTTATACTATTTCCTTGTCCAAGTTAGTGTTAGTTAGTGTGACAAATTATTTTACGCAATGTGTATGCACGAGGGGGGGCGGTCGCCCCCTTCACCCCCCTTCTGGATCTGCCACTGGCAAGACAGTGACCTGAATCTGAAACAGCTGCAGTCATTGTAAACTACCAGGGATGGATTGACAACAACCAGCTAGTCTAAATATTTAAGTTCACTCAGACGATCCAGAGGCCATTCCATCATGAAATTTAGAAACCCTTTAAAAAGCATTAGCTTGTCATCACCAAAAATGAACTTTACACAAAGAATAAATTTGTTTATACATTTGCTGTCTTTGTTGCAAATCTTCATTGTTAACGGTGTAAAACTGTATAGGTTTACAACTGTTTCTAGCACTTAAATACATATTGGCACTAAATGATTCAAGTAATCCTATGTTATCAAGTGGAAAAGGCAATATATTACGGATTTCCTATTCAAAATAGCAATTGTAGTAAATCATTGCACACTTACCTTCATACTACTTTTTACATTGCACTTAATCTGGTCGATCAAAGTCATACTTTTGTTCTGAAGTTTCCAAGCTTTCGTTAGCTGTGACTTAAGATTAACCTGTTCATCTTTATTCTTTTCCTGGGAAAATAAACAGATCTTGAAAGTAAGAGATAAGAGAGAAAATAAATAGGTACTGCAGTTTAGTTATCATAGTTAAATAATAATTAATGAATAGTCCCTCCTTAAAAAAATCAATATGAGCTACAAACTAGAGTGTATTTAAAAAAAGGTATTTTTGTATTCCATAATTTTGTATTACAGATGAATTCAAGGAAACATCTTAAAATCCACTAATTTCAATTATACAAGAGTTATCATCTCCAATTAACAACACAGATATAAAACACTTAACAACATAACAACTATAACAATTAACAACAATTAGTTGCTTAGTTGATCAAAATAAAATACAACAAAAATTTTGTATCCATAGATACAACACACTTTTAAGGAAGAGATCTTACAGTTATCATCAACTATAATAATTTCTTCATAAAACATTTAGAGGCTTAAACCAGCAATGTCTCCCATCATGGTTCCTGTTCTGGCGGCGGTGTTTGGTGCGGCTGCGCAGTTCCTGTGGTGTTTGATTTTGGAGGAGGTATGGGGAGTAGACTGAGTTTTGAGAGTATTCGTTGCAAGTGTTGTATTTTGTTACAATTGTTGTATCCAATGGAAAAGAAACATGGTCAAAAAATGAACATTTTCTCAGTTTTGAAATCAAGGATGCATTATCCTTACCAAGTCAGATGAACAATTATATTGAACCTGAAGAAACGTTAACGACCGCCTCTTATCCAACTACTACTCAAAATTAGTCAAAGCTATTAGTCTTGGCGCGTGGAGTAGCGGGGAGTGTTTATTGGTAATTTCAAAAAACATCTGGCCTACACAGCTCGAGGGTGGTTCAGCTCTTCATGGCCAGGAGAGGTGGACGGGGGACGGCTAGTAGTGAAGGAACCGCACGCCCAGACAGATTGCTCTTACTGTACTGAGACATCCTTTGCAACATCTCCAACAACCATTAAAATGAACCCAGCTGTTCCAACAACTTCGATGAAATCTAGTGTTCTGCTTGGTGTGGATGCCATGTGCAGTTATAAAAAGTAGTCCAGTGAAAGAAGTGTAAATAGTTCTACACACTACTATAAGAAGAAGGGGAAGATCAGAAGGGAAAGAATCAGAATTCATAGCAATAGTCCAAGCATTAGTAGTGATCTTTTTTTTTAAGAAAATAAAAATCCAAGGCAAAATAATAACGTATTTTATTAAAACTAGAGTACCTGTTGCTCGAAATCAAGCAATTTTCAAGTACCTGTATTACAGGAGTTATTATTTTAAAACTAATAACAGTCATAATTTTTTATGAGATTCAACTAAAAGCTTATGTAACCAATCGAAATACTTACACTGTTCATAACAGTTCGATATAACAAACATTTCTTGTAAATGTTATATAATTTTTCAAAAGCTAGCCTTGATTTAGTGTTTTCTAGAAATGTTTCCTGACTCACCCATAGCCCCATATTGTTGTCCATGTTTATCTTCATCATTGATACTGTAGCTTACATGGTACCACCATTGTTACCAATATGTTTACAAAAAGCAGTCTTTTTTTATATAGCATTAAAATTGTCCAAGTACTACCCGACTTCCTGCATTATCTGACTGTCACAATTTTATTTACTTAGAATATAAAAAAAATGTTGCGGTGAAATATATCAAACTGCCTCGGTTTCTTGCCTTTTTCCATTATCATACGAACGCAAGCCCACATTCAAATGAGTAAATGTTTCATTTCAACAAAGTCAGTAAATGTGTGTACACAGGCGCGTTTCCTTCAATTGTAATTTTTAAAATATTAACAGCAGTTAAATTGTCCAGCTGAGCTTAATCTAATGTAAACAAATAATGATAATATGGAAACTTTAAAAGCCACTGGGACGGAGCCCAGGCGATTTTTTCAACATACAAGACCTTATGACATCTACTGAATGAGATCTTTATCAACAAGCCTTAAACCAAAAAAATCGGATGAGAAACCATTGAGGAGTTCTGCCGACAAAAATCCTGCTTGCCTATTTTATATATAGATTTTACAAATTTGTATTGAATATTTAAATTTGTATTGTAAGAAAAAATGGATAGCAAAGAGATAGGGTTACAAAAAGAAATGGTACACAAGCCGCACTAGCAGGTCTTCAGCAGGGAATTCCAGTTTTAAGTAAGTTCCTTAATTACTAAAAAAAAATGGTACACAAGCCGCACTAACAGGTCTTCAGCAGGAAATTCCAGTTTTAAGTAAGTTCCTTAATGAATCTTTGAGAATCTCTTTTTCTGCAAATCCTAAATATTTTTTATCTTCTAATCTAAGGGTCTGTGAACAACTTAGAAATCTAAAGAAATTGTATAGACATAAAATCATTAAGACCAAAATAGATTTCAACCAAAGGCAGATTGAAAATAGTACGGTAGTAACAAGTACAAAGCTGCTTGAAATTTTATATAATCAAACACCAACAACTTAAGAAATGTGCCTTCACCAAATATTACACAGTATCAACTTAATTCTAAGAGTCTTTATCACCCTGGGTGTAGTTGTGTTTTGGGGGTAGGGCTTTGGGAGGAAGGTGGTGAGGACGGGAAGGTAGCGCGGGGTCATTGTGCGCACAATTCTGAAAACATTTTAAACACACAACTTCCAAAATGACATGTTTTGTAAACCGCCTGAGCCAAGTTTTGTAAAAGGCTAGTAGCGCCTTTGTTAAATTATTATTAAATTAAATTGTTTTGACCCTCCGACAAAACAATTTAATTTTGTCCCCCGTTTCGGACACCGTTGTTAAACAGATTTTCTTAAAACTTGGTAACAATGTAGTTGAATAGTTGTATTAGACATCTATTATACCTCAAAAAATTTAAAATGAAAAAAATTGTTTTATCAATGTTTGAAAGATACAATTTATTTTAAGATTGAGATTGATTTAAATCTTTGATATAAGAATTTTTTCGTGGAATATCACATGTATGAGGGCATTAGAACTGACATTAATCTGTAGGAAAAGTGTTAACATTAGATCTTAAGACATTCCATTAAAAGCAAGGGAATCCTGAAACATGTTTTTAGTGTCTTCGCAGGGGTGAAGAAGACTCTTTAACTTAATATTGACTAAATTTTGTTGATTCAGTTCAGACCATAAAATAGATCATAGGCAATTTTAGTCTTTCCCCAAAACCTTTTGTTAATAATATTCAACCTTATCCAGTGAAATTAAATTCCAGAATAGTAAACTAAAAAAAGTATTGTTGATTTTGTAAAAAAGTTGAAAATTGAATTCTTTCAACCGATACAACTTTTATTTTACATTCTTGCCACCAAGACTGACTGAAAGATAAAATACATTACATACCTTTGTCCGTCTTTAGTGAATGACATCCTGGCATTGAGGAATGACCATTTTCAGGTCAAAGACCAATTTTCAAATTCACATCAAATTAGTCCATAAATCTGATAGAAGTCTTTATCAATACATACACACACATTGACACATAAAGTTCACACTTGGACAGAAAAAACATAAAAAAGTGGTTGGCCGGCCACATTTATTCACACAACAAACCGTACGCAGGTTGCACAGCGGACACGGCAGAACAAGCCGTTGACAACTGTAAACTTTCGGTCTCAAAGGAAGTTCAAAGAAATCAGGTTGGTCACAACTACATTGCCAGCATTATAACCAACACAATTCAATTAAGCATTTGTGTTCAAGTTTTTAGGAATAAATTAACAATGATGATTGGCTATTGTCTGTGGTCCAAAATTGTTCTATATCAACAGATTTTACAATATGAATAATCGTTGCCTATGTATTTACTATTAGCCTCCATTATCTGTGAAAATTTATGAGTAAAAGTATAAAAAACGTAATAGTAAAATTACACAGATTTCTTACCAGTTTATTTTTATACTCTGCGTTTTCTTCCATTAATTGTTGTAGCTTGTCATTTAGCGATGCTAAGTCTCCTTCCAATGATTTCACCTGAAAATGAACAATTAAAACTATTGACCTACTGTGGATTTCTGAATATTTTATTTAAATCATATTTTAATTCATAAATAATTATAGATATATCTATTTACTGATAGTACTGAATGGAAACTTCAGTATACATCTTGTTGTAACAATAAAATCTGAGACACACTGAAGATGACTTATAGGAGATGACTTATAGGAGATGACTTATAGGAGATGACTTATAGGAGATGACTTATACTTTACAAAATATAATCTCTATATTTCATGGTAAATAACGGGAAACATAGCATATTATGTCATTTATATGCTTTAGCACAATCGAAGACAGTTAGTACTAACTTTAGACTTAAATCTTTGAATAAAATACTAAAATGTACATTTATTAAACTTATTTTTTTTTAGTTTCATCTCTTGCAAAGAATGCCTTATTTAGGGGCAAGAATTGTTCTGTGGTATAAAAATATATGATAATTATTTTTGTATTCTCTAACACATAAACATATTACAAAACAACAAAAAGTATGTTGCTAGATTAGTGGTTATAGTGTTTTGGAATTGGGCGGGAGATATGGGTTTGATCCCCAAGATATCTACACAAATTTTAGGGATTTGTACAGTTTTAGATTAAAATATCGTACCACAATAAGAGTACTAGCTGGTTAACCCCAAAGTTAGCAGGGTGTCCACAGAAAATTTGTCATTAATTTCCATGACTTTCCATGACTATCCATGACCTTTTACCATTGATTTCCATGACTCACGAACTTTACTCGAAAGTTATAATATAACATACACACACGAATAGTACTGCCTAGATAAGTTATTTCACAGAAAATACTGAAATATGTATTAACAGATAACAATGGAGTACAATAGGTACAACAATGAACAAATAGAAACTCAAAACTCATAAACCAATACAACTGTAATAAATGTAATTGTCGTACATTTGCAAAAAATCCTGAAAAATGCTACAATAGTCAGGGTTACAGCCGACTAGAGCATTGAAAGGTCCCCTCAAACCCTTCCATCATTGGGTATTTCCATTACTTTTTGACTATTTCCATGACTTTCAATTACCAGAATTTTTTTCCATGACTTTCCATGACTATTCCTGACTTTCCAGAATGTGGACACCCTTGTAGTTCTATGCTTGCCTCTCATTCAACAGCACATTTAGGGTACATGTGCAGCTGAATATATGTGTAAATTTTCTTTTAAGACAAATTAGTTATTTGTAAGGTCAATCAGTGCAAGAAACTGTACCTCATGATTTGATTAATAAGTTTTCAATTGAGTAGCTTTGGAAAGGAATAGAGCTCTTCTGGCTTATAGTAGGCTACTGAAAACATACTACTATAACCCAGAATGCTGACCGCGTGGAGCTTTGCCTGTCAATTCGTAGGTAGCGCCAGGGCCGTCCCTAGGGATAGCGGCGCCCAGAGAAAATGTGGTCTTGGCGCCCTCTCCCCCCCCCCCCCAGTAAAAGTCACATTCGCATATTTTAATAGTATATGTTAATACAAATAGCCGCTGCGCGGCACCCCCTCAGCCACGGCGCCAGGGGAAGCTAACCCCGGTTGCCCCCCCCCTTCGGACTGCCCTGGGCAGCGCCACCAGCATTCCAGCATTGCTATGCTGGTGAATTGTATGCTGGTGGCGCTGCCTACGAATTGACAGGAAAAGCTCCACGCGGTCAGCATTCTGGGTTATAGTAGTATGTTTTCTGTGCTTATAGCGAACAAAATTACAGAAAAATAGCCCAGGAGCTTACAGATTCAAAAGCTTGGAAACGCTTTATTTAAGAATGGTAAGTTGAGTTACTCTTTTGGGGCTCTAATTTTAAGATATTTGACCCTCTTTCTTACCAAAATAAACTCATTGGATCAAACAACAGCAAAATCTCAAACCTGGTCCCTGGGTATACAGTCAGAGTGGTAGGTCTGTTTCTCCAAATCAGTAAACTCTTTCAGTTCTTCAAATTCACTCTGAAGGCTGCTCAATCGCACTCGCAGAACCTCAGGAGGAGTTTCTGGCGGAGACTTCCTACATGAGTGACGAATCATTAGTTTTTTTGGACAACCAAAAAAAACCAGAATCTTGCTAGTTTTTAATTAGAAAAAAACTAAAAGTGTTCTACTAACTGTGGTTTGAGAAGGTAAAAACCTAGATACAGAGCAAGATTTTTGTATTTTTTACACCAAACCTCAACACTAGCATAGTTCAACACGTTCGCTGCTGCCCATCAAATGGCAGGCGTAGCTCCAGTGCGGCGCAGCCCGCAGCGTCGAACAAACCCGATTGCCGGGCTATTGGCTTTCATATTTCGGTATGACGAATATCAAATAACGTGTGGTGATGACCTGTTTCATGACAAGAGTCGACGTAGTTTGCTAAACACTCACAGTAGATGCCATTGTTTTACAATAAAACAAAATTAATATAGCACAAAATTGCAGTTAACAAACGTAATGAGTGAGTCAAAATCCACCAGGTATAGTTTCGGAACGAGTAACGATAATTACAAATGGATTGCACCACAAAACTGCCACTGTCATACACGAAGCACGGACAAAAATACTCCGACCTACACCGGAGTGTGGCTGCGGAATAAGGTTGGCGGGTGCACATTACCGCCCAGGCGGCGCGCCGCAGCGTGGCGGAGCGCGGAGCTGCCGCCCGGGCGGTAACCCGCAGCGAACGTGTTAATATAAGCCAGTGTTTCCCAACCAGTGGTACACGTGCCCCTGCTGGTACACAGAGGCAGTGGTGGTATATGGTGACATTTTAAGTACGAGTATTTTATGTCAGGATTAGGCTGGTGCTCCATCAGTGGCCATCAGCAACAGTATTTAGTAATCAACGTGTCACAACAAAAAAAGTTTATTTTTATAGTTTAGATATAACACAAAGCATCTGGGTCCCAGTTGGCCTATTTCCCTTTGTTATTTGTCAATTGTAAAAATATATAACTTTTTCTGAAAAGCTCGGAAAGAAAGTAAAGAAAGTTTAATCGCTTCAAGGCCATTGGTACAATTATTATTTTATCTCATTTAATAGTCTCTGCATAATGTATTGGATTGTTTTTTAAATCTATAAAAACAAAACATATTAATCTGGTTATTCTCAGTCTTCGAACAATTGCCAAGGGTGGATTTTTTTAGAAGCTAGCAACATCAATATGAAATAAACGGAAAATATTGTTTAATATGTTGATAAATTTTGAGATGGCAAATTAATTAAAACATTATTTTAAAACATAATTATTTAAACTTGCTTGAAAAATCGGAAACGTAGGCTAGTCATAGAAAAACTCAAAAATTTTACAAATTACTGGTATTATTATTATTATTATCAACTTTTTTATGTCTAAAGGCCCTAACTTCAGTTCAAGCAATGTAACATGCTTTGAAAATGACATTAGAACAAGTGAAATAAAGTTGAGCCTAATTAAAATGTACGCTAAAGTAGAAAAAAAACATACCCATTTGCTAAATTTTCACATGAAGTTCCTAAATCTAGTTTGGTCTTGTCCAAGCTAAAGTACATTTTACTATCTCCTAGGGTTTCACATGAAGTTTCTAAGTCTAGTTTTGTATTGTCCATGCTGAAATACATTTTACTGTCATCTGTAAAAATAAATAAAGTTACAATATATATCAAGTCAATTACAACATGGAACAGACACATTTATAATACCAGACTTTAGATTAATACCAGCCTAGCTAAAACCATAGAATGTGCTGAAACTGGATAACACTCTCACTTACAACTCGAAACGCAAAATATCATCGTCTTAAAAGATTTATTTTTAAAATTGTTTCTGTTGTTTATCAAATTTGGATTATTGCTTAGTCTTCACATTAAACATTGAGTAATAAGATTTTCAGTACCATCTGTAGGTCTTGGCCTCTTGGCAGGATGAATTTTACACAATAAATTTGATAACACCTTATTCAGCTTTCTCTTTTACACACACACACACACATATACATTATAATTAATGTACACAATGTTAATATACATTAAACATTATGATTAATTATATTGGGGTAATTTTGGGGTAATATTGAGTAATGGGGGGGTGGGGGTGGGGTTCGGTAAGAAAATTTGAACTGCATGATAACTTGTGTTTTAGACAATCAAGAGACAGAAAATGTTAATTTTTTACAATTTGTACCTACCTTAAGTATTTTTTTTATGAGACCTATTTACCAAAGTCTAGCCTTACTTGATTAGGGAAACAAAACCACAAAAGACTTTTTGAAAAAACACAGTGGCGTAAATAGAGCATGGCTTTGGAGTTTCCCCCCCCCCCCCCTAGGACGCTAGGCACGAGCCCAGAATTGTTTTTCACATTACTTCAGGCTAGACCTAGGGGTCACAGCATTATCACTTAGATAAAATCCATTTGTGATTTGGCGGAATTTGAACCCAGGACCCCAGGAACCAGAGTCCCGCGCTCTAACCACTAGACCAGCTCGTTCCCCAGCTTTGGGGGGAATACGGAAATTTTCACACATTTTTATTAAAGTCCAAACGCTAACTAGTTTACCTTCAATGACACTAGATTCATCTATTTCAACAATTGGACTTAATGGTGGGTAGTCTTCATCAATTGTGCTTAGAGTTGATTTTTCCTCTGTGGTACCGTCCTGAAAATCAATTCAAATTTACAGATAACAGTTTTAACTGTTTGAGCCTCAAAGATGGTGGATCCCCCAACAAGAGAGACAAACCAAAACCTCCACTTACGTCTAACAGCTTCTATGGACATACATTTTTCACCAAACACAGCTAATTAGCTTTATCCGACTTTTTCTGCAACCGCGAAGTCAAGTTAATAGACTTTTGGGTTTACTAGCATTGTTAATTGGACACTGATTGTGTCAAGTACTGGGTAGCCAAATTCGAGGATTTCTGCTTTTATTAATGAACAGAATAAAACTATAGGCCTAATTAAAAGTTACATATGTGCTAGAACCAATTTACATATAAAGTAAAAGTTACATAATATGATCACTGAATAAAAGTGCCTATTTACATTTATCTTTGTTAATAATTATATATAAACTCACAAACCTATGGTACGCAAAATTGTCCCACACGGATAAATATGATTTTGCAATAATCCTTCATCAATAACTTGGTTTAAATCAACCTCAAAGGGTTAAAAGTGTTGATAGTCTTCCCACAAGGCTTATCTCTTTAATTACCTTTTGGCTGCTGAGTAAACTAAATAATTTTACCTGAGCATCCAATAAGACTAAGCTTGGCTCACTCGTCAGTCTTTCAATTTTACTTAAAATTAACATTCAGTGTTTTGTGTTCATGTATTTTCATTAGATATTTCTTCAAATGAAATGAAATAATGAAATGAAATGATTTATTGTCGTTAAAACTATGTACAAAGTTCATGACAATCGTCAAAATAAAAACAAAACAATCAAGATGGCTCTGGCAACTAAGGGCCCTTTCACACGAGGCCACTGGTGGCCGCCACCGGTGGCCGCCACTGGTTGCCCGCCACAGCTTTAACATTATTTTAAATGGGACCTTTCACACACAGCCACTGCAGTTGCCCGCCACTACACAGTGGCCGAGCAGTGTCTCCTCGCGCAACTGCTAGTCGGCAACCGCCGGCAACTGCAGTGGCGGCAACTCGTCGCGGGGCATTGAATTAAATGGGAGCTTTCACACGTAGCAACCAGTGGCCGCCACCGTGGATGAGCGCGCAACTACTATTTTGAATCAGTTCACGTGCAGACTGCAAAGACAAACGCACTATGGTAGTTGTTGAGTGTTTTCGTGTTGAATTGTTTGTTTGTGAAAATGAGTGGTCAGAAGAAAAATAAAGAGGACGTTACCGGTACTGAAAAAGAAAAAGACAAAGGAAAACAACAGAATAAGAGAATAGCCGAAATAATAGAAAAGAAAGTGGACACTGAGGATCTAATTTGCGAAATTGAAAAGTAAACGGCAATTCGGTATAGTACGCCTGTGTCTTTGCCTTATTTTCTTTATTATCAACGCGAGAAGAATGAGATGTTCATTATTCGACAGCATTTTCACAACTACCAGTACAGTGGCTGTAGCAGAGTGGCTTGTAAGTTGCCTGTATCATCCACTGCAGTTTCCCGGCCGGTAACTGGTGGCGGACACTGGTGGCCGCCACCAGTGGCCTCGTGTGAAAGGGCCCTAAAATATCTAAAACTCTAAACCAAAGTACTCTTCATGTTTATACAGGCAAGCCTGGGTTAGAGTAGTTTTTAAAACATGTTTGAATTTTAAAACACACAGGTTTTTGATGGATGCAGGCAAGAAATTGTACATTTTAACACCTTGGTACTCAAAACTATTTTGAGTGGCTGTATACTTGTGCCTTAGTGTAGACAGATTATCTTTTGATCTAGTACAGTAGTTGTGCACATCAGATATCTTTTCAAAGTGAGAAATGTTTTCTTTTACATATAACAAACTTGCCAAAACATACCTACAACGATGGAAATGTGAGAATGTTAAGACCCACAAAAAGGGGCTTACAATGTGTTCTTCTATTCACACTACAAATTAACCTCACCGCCTTCTTTTGTAAAGTAAAGAGCAACCTGTTAGCATAAAAACTGTTGGCCCACAGTGAGGTACTATAGGACAAATAGCTATGAATGTGGCCATAATATATACAAATAAGGACATCAACTGAAACAGTGGACCTAAGTGCTCTTATCATAAATATGCCTTTTACAATTTTAGAAACTACAAAATCTACATGTGAAAACCACTTCAAGTTTGACTGCAAGTGAAAACCCAAAAGTATCTTAAGTATCTACACGACTGAATTTAAGTATCAACAGGGGTGAGCACCTTTTTGGCCCCCATTGATAAGGGCAAAAAAGTTAATTCCATTTGCAAAAGGCTTAATTCACAAAGAAAACAGCATATTCCTAAATGCATTAACTTAAATTAAATCAGGCTTCTGTCTTGTCAAAGCCCAGGCGTAGGCCTATGAACTGCATAAAGAAGCCTAGCTTGTATCAAAGCCTAAATAAAGCTATCTGCTGTGAGTCTGTTGTAGGCCTAAGGATACGTAACTTATGCCTAATAGTTATGGATTGTAATTTCAAATTTTAATATTAGACTTGAGCTTTTGACTTTAATTTTCATAAATACGGTAGCACTTAAATACATCTTCGACCGAATTGGTAGACCAAAGCTCACAACTTAAATAGGCTTACCGGCTAGGCTTAAGAATTTGGCAAAAATTGGGTACCAATATTTACTGAACCAAAACTAGGTTCAAATTCAAATTGTTTGTTTGGCCATTATGTTAGGTATAAAGGCAGAGGTGCCCATCCCCCCCAAACCCAGAGGCGCAATCCCCCCCCCCCCCCAATTTATGCTGCCGTCTATTTAAACCTACCCTCCCCCACCAATTTATCTGACAATTTTCCCTTTACCTCATAAAACAAGCATTTAAAGTATTTAGTAAACTTGAGGTACGAAAAACAAACTTGCTGATAATCAAAATTTAATGTTTAATAGGAAACGTCATTTAACAATACATTATTATATCTAACTAATGGAAGAATTAGAAGTTTTTCAATTTACAATTCAGAATCTGTATTGTTAGCCAACATGTGCTCAGTATTGAAATAGACAACGTCTTCAAAACGTACAACAATATACTCGGTGAATTACTCTACTCCAACACAGTGTACAATATACTGTACAATATATTAGGTGGCGTTAATGTTTACAGGGCTTAAGAATTCAAACAGCTTTAAGTACATTAATAATAGTTTGGCAAAAAGTATCTTGTTTCAAAATTATAGGCAGAGTCACGAAATAAGACAGACTTGTTGCTCGCCACTCCCAGGCTGCCTTTTACAAAAATCGTCGGGCAAAATACTCACAATACCTTAATTGCCACCAGTACAAAAGGTTTTTGTGAAAAAGTAATCTTATAATTAATTTTGATAGCATCAGGATTGCCTTCTTTTATGACTAATAATGGTAGAAACGCATCTTGTCAGACAATCCGTTTGTCCATGAAACGATAACAGATAAGCCTATCAATTCACTTGTGTATATTGCCGCGGGCAGGACAGAAGTAAACTGAATCAGGTTAAGACGGAAAGGCGTGGTCTCTGGATTGTCGTCCGTGTTATCAAAAGCTGATATTGGACTAACCAATATGGCGGCCATTTAAAATCTTTAATGCCAAATTTCATGAAAACCGTTAACATTAAGAAAATAGTTTTTCAGATCAAAAAGATAGAGAATTTAAATCCAAATCAAACGATAAAATCAGATGACAAACAACCGAGTTATCAGTTGTTTTCTACATTCGGTAACGCAATTCAGTAGGTCTACCATACTGCTCTGTAAAATAATAAACAATATTGAGTCCAATTAAATTGAGTAACAGAATTTAGAAGAAAACTGATAATTCGGTTGTTTGTTATCCGATTTTAACAAACAAGGTCTTATTTGATTGGATTTAAATTCTCTATCTTTTTGATTTGAAAAACAATTTTCTTAATATTTACGGTTTTCATGAAATATGGAATAAAGATTTTAAATGGCCGCCATATTGAAACGGCTTGAGATATTGGAACGAAAATTTGTAAGCACTTTTAACCTACTAATTTACACTAATTTTAAAACTTCTATCTTGAAAAATGCCTAAAATATAAAGTAATTCTTTAAAATCACAAACAGGCCGACAAACAGAAATTTAGGCATTTTAGACCCATACTTATATGGCATTTTATGTTTTTCTTAACCCAAGAAACAAGTCTACAAAAAATGTCCAGACAATTTGGAAACACTCTGTATCTTCAACACTCTTCTCAGTCACTACAATAGTCCAATATCAGCTGATGAAAACGCAGACGACAATCCAGAGACCACGTCACGTCGGTCCATCATAACCTGAACCCTGAACCTGATTCAGTTTACAGTACTTCCAGTCCTGCCGACGGCAATATACACGCGTGAATTGATAGGCCTATCTGTAATCGTTTCATGTTTTGTGTTGAATGTTTGTAACGTATTCTGACGACACCTCCAAAAGTGGTTCTTTTGAAAATCCTGACGATGGTGGAGTTAAAGAACCTCCAAAACATATGTAGCAAGTAAAATTCGACACTGGTATATTAAGGATTGTCTCATTGTCTGACAAGGTGCGTTTTTACCATTAGAAGCAATCTTAATTACGAACGGCAAAATGTTGTTGGTGTTGATAGTGAGCTACTTAGAAACACTTTTTCGGGCTGCTTATAAAAAATTATACATTCATTATGACAGCTAGCAAAAAAATATCCCCCCCAAAATCCCTTCAAAAAAGTCCCCCCCCCCCCAAAAAAATTCCTGTGGCGCAAACGCGCCACAGTACCCCCCCTCTGGGCACCCCTGTATAAAGGCTAAGTTACTTATGTTATAACTTATATTGAAATTTGTTACCGTATCTACTAAAAGTGGGCTATTTTAAGCACATTTAGGCCAGATTGGTACTGAAATCAAACTATTTTTTAATGTGATGAGTGATGACAGAGCTATGCTATGCTACTAACTTAGCCTATTATAAGTTATAGTACACTAGAAAAGACATAAAAGTAACTTTATACAAAATGACATTGCAATCTTAGCCTATGACTTACCATCATTATTGGGAGATCTTTCCCTCTTTTTTGTGAGCAGATATGGATACTACTTTTGAAACAAGTTTTTAACTAAACCATTCCTTAAGTAGTCTAACACCACGATGAAACTTTCACAATCTTTTAAGTTAAGCCAGTCACAAATAAATAAGAATGATTAGCATAAGACATGATAATTTTGTAGAAACCTTTCAAATTTTCCTATTGACTTAACATTCACGATTACAACTTAATCCAACTTGTTAACTCAAGCTGCAGTGCAGCAATTTTGGTTTGTTGAATTGTGAATATCTTGAATTCACAAGTTGATAAGACTACAAGAATAAACAAGAACAAGAACAAGATTTGATTTTGCCGAAACGAAAACTTCTCTTCTCTTTGACATTAGGTAGGAGAGAGGAGAAGGAGAAAAACAAAAACCGGAAACCAAGATCCGTCTGCTTGACTGATATAGCTAGGCAGTGTATATAGAAATAAATTATATGAATGTTAGAAGACGAAGGCTACAAATAAAAATAATCATATTATCATGGATAATTATTCAAGAATTCCTAGGTGAATAATTATAATCTATATTACGAAGTAAATATAGTGTGTATTAAAAACCAACAGCATATTGTTTAATGCTTTAGTCCAAATCACTGACCAGTGGTCAGTGTCACCGGACATGAACTAGACCAATATTTTAATAAATTTATGTTCATAAATTTAAATTTGAATCAATAAAGTGCGAATTAATTAGCTGATGTCACATGTCTGCCATGTTATCTTATGGGACGACTATCACTGAACAACACCACTTGCGACGTGTTGTGACCGTTAATGCCGCGGCGTGTAGTTAAAGGCGGCCGTGACTAGAGAGAACGAAGAATGAGCTTCAAAATTACAATGGGATGAGAAATCTATATTTGTGTTGGTTAGTCTGGTAGTATCACTAGTGTGGACTTTAATCCACACTGGGGATTATCTTGTATCGCACAGTGTATGCCTATAATTAATATCCACATAGAGTGTCCATCATCTAAATTTTATTTTCTCTAAGTGGAATTTCTAACCAAATCTTTAAAATGCATCACATAAACTTACATACGTGCATCGCATAGCTTATTCATAAATAAGCTTATAGATTTTTCGATAAACCACTGTTATTTTTTTTTTAGTACACCTAGAGAATGGACCAGAGAGAATGTATTTTATAGTAAGTTTTTCTAGTAGACCTTGGGATTTGGAATTCGTCTTATAACGTTCCTCCATGCCTCAAAATGACTAATATTTATTAATACATTCATGAACTATATTAATAAAGAATATTCATATTATGAATATTCTTCTGAAAAGAATATTCATATTCATATTATGAATATTCTTTATTGTATATTTTCATTTTTACAATATATGTATCTCAATGGACAATGGTTGAGCCATAGATTAAACATTTACGGTCCAGCCAAGCCGTGTTTAGTGTTTAGAATCCACTGTATGATGGCATGCTATTGGCATGCTATTGGCTATGGCTGGATCACTGAGCTATAATCTGGCTGGGACTGGACTATTAGATGTCGGTTGTGTCGGTTCGAGACTTCGAGTTTCGTTTCTACTGTTTCTAGTTCTGGTTTCTTCATCTTCTGGTCTTCGCCGGTTGGAATTTTGCTTATCGGAATCGGAACATTCGGAACCGTCTTTGGTCTTCTGCTTCTCACTCTTCTCTTGACTGTTCGACTGTTGTTGACTCTAGGTAATGGACTTGGATTTTGGATTTTTTGTTGTTTATTGTTGATGTTGATGTGTAGTCCTCCTTAGTACGACCTCCGAAGTTATATTATACAAGTTTCTACGTGTGTTTATATCATAAACATTACTGGTGTCTCTATCGCCTGCCGCCTTGTTTTCGTTTTGTTTATGTGGAAGTGGAAACCTTTTACTATTAGTTCTTAGTTGCGGTTAATAGAATTGACTTGGCTCGTTGGCTGGGGCTGGCAATAAACTAGAGTCCTAACTCCAAATAATTTGGGTGAGTTCATTAATATAGTAGGCCTACCTGTGTGTAACGTAGAATGTTTTTAACGATTTTACCTGCATTTTAGGCTAATGTAATAAGTTATAGTTCTAGCAAGTTAGGTACATAGGCCTACCCTGGATACTAATTTAACTTTAGTGCTCTGTGTTAGGCTTTCTCCTAACAAAGGTTAGGTGTACCAGCAATAGCCTCACATCAGCCTAAATAATGAAAATTTGCTCTAGCGGGGGTGACACAAACAGCCGAATGAAAATATTGATTATTCGATTGTTTCATTCGATACATATAACTTATCGTTTCGCTAGTTAGGTTAACCTTACCTAACTAACCAAACGATATAGGCCTATCGAGTAATCGATATATTGATTGATATTTCCATTCGGTTGTTTGTGCCAACAGATACGGAAGTCTACCCAGCTAGCATAGGCCGTGCTTTCAGGTACGGGCGGTTCTGCTGAGAACTAGGGATGAGCATCGATATTCAATGTTTTCGAAACATCAAATTTTTTCTATAGATGTTCAATGTTTTTAGCGAATTTTCCATATAGGGAATATTTAGCGAATTTCCCATAGGCTATAGGGAATAAGCTATAACCGTAGTACTCATGGTAAGACCTGGACCCAGGACCGAACAAAAAAGAAAAATTAACCCTCCCTGTTGCAGCAAATCTAAGTACTCGTTAAACTAATTCCTTTTAAATAGGGAACTAGTGTACCTGTTGCTCGAATTCGAGCAATTGTGAAGCATTACAGGCAACTCAAAGATTATGGAAATACTCACGATCTACACAACAGTTAGTTATAATCAAAATCTTTTGTAAATATCTTATCTTTTTTCAAAAAGTTGATCTTGTTTTTTAGTGTTTTTAGTGTAAAAAAACATTATTTCTATTTCTTTTACTTGGTTGTGTTCTATGACTTTTTCTATGTTTCCATTGTTTGCAAATCGGTTATTTAAATTATTGCTCAAGAAATGTAGCACAGTGTTAATTCAGTTTTATTTTTAGCCTATATCAAATTGTCCAAGATTTCTCGCTCTTTTCCATTGTAATAATTACACCAACCCAAGTTTCGTCTACAGATGCAATATATGCCAAAGAATATCACCTACGTAAATCTCCAAGAAGTTGTAAAAAAGGCAGAAACCAACCCATACAATAGATATAAGTTAACTCCATAAGAAATAATTTTAAAAGTTACTGTGATATTAGGATTTTCCACTGATTTGGTAATAGAACATTATATTGCAAAACATGACACGATGCAGAAGAAAATCAATTTTAAAATCAGAAAAACCCATTGCAAATACTGTACTTCTTTTTGAAAAATTCAATAAATCGCAATTTAAATATTAACAGCTGTTGCATTAAAAAGTAGTGTAGAATTATGCATATGGTCGTAATGTAAACAAATCTGAAGAGGCAACTTTAAAGGCTTCTGGGGCAGAGCCCCAAGGGAATTTACCTCTTTCCTCTTTTGATGGCTCATCTACAGACCAAGACCTTTCTTTAGAGACAGACCCATACCAAGTTTCTACGCCCAGCCGTTCTCTCAAATTAGCTCTGACAAAACCCCCGTTTTCCTCCATAAGAATAACATGGGATGGGAATTAAAAGGCCACGGGGGCAGAGCCCCAAGGAAATTCAACATGTTTCTCTTTTGATGGCTCATCTACAGACCAAGACCTCTCTTTAGACACCTCTACCGAGTTTCTACGCCCAGCCGTTCTCTCAAAATAGCTGTGACAAAGAAAAACAGTTTCAAATTAATATAGATAGCCTAAAATGTGATATTTTTAAGGAGACATTTTAGTGTAAATCCAATCAGGCTAATGGGAATTCCCTTAGTCTGCAGGTTTGCTGCGGCGGGGGTATTTTTATATTGATGGTACTTAGGTTGTCCATGTTTTCTTCAAACATCGATGTTTTTGTCCAAGTAAGTTATTGAGATTTCGACGCTTTACATTACTGGAGAGTACACAAAGCAGACGAAATACAGAAAAATAGTTACCGGTACCGTACATCCAAAAATATTGATTTTATCATCAATGGTGAACAATGATGGTTGACCTATCGATGCTCATCCCACTTGTGGCAATGCTCATCCCTACTGAGAAGAATAGGCTAAGTTAAGTTAAAAGTTTAAGTTAGGCTTAACTTAAAATACCAGTTAATATTTACATTCTATAGGCCTAGGCCTAATAAAATAGACTAACTTAAACCTACCTAAGTTAATATCAATTAAAATATTTCAGTCTATGTAACTTAACTTAGTTTGGGCTATTAATATGGACTCTATTCAAGTAAAGTAACTTAATACTAGAAGAACTTAGGTCGCTTTCCACTCTTTTACAGCAGGCTACAGCATATAATCTTAGGTTACGTTAGCTTTGATCAGTTTAGTTTATGACAATGAAAACAAAATTATAATTTTTAACCATAAATTTAAAAACGCACGGCCTATAAAAAATACAAAAAATAATCAGATTGATATCTAAGGCCTGGTTCACACGAGCGACTTTCCTAGCCGACTAGGCTTTGACTAGGTAAGCCGGACTGGGTAGCGGACCACAGGATCACACCGGTTCACACAAGCGACATGTACACGGACTAGATGAAAATATCGATAACAAACCACTCGGATCCATCACTGGTGCACAATGAGAACAAAGGGAAGAATGCGAGCTGCAGCGCGACTACCCGATCGTTCGTGTGAACGCTCCCATAAGGCTACCTATGTGTACCTACTGCTACGCCGCTAGACTGGGTGACTGGGAAGCGGGGCCCGATTATGTTTTGGGACACCAAGCTCGAATGCTAGTCGTCGCCCTACGCTCGTGTGAACGGCTCCGTTTGATCCTGTTGTCCGCTACCCAGTCGGGCTTACCTAGTCACAGCCTAGTCTGCTAGGAAAGTCGGTGAGGCATACGCAAAGTTAATGATGCTTAAGCTGATATTAAAGTCTGCTACGACCAAGTTACCTAACACAAGGGTGATGGGAGGGGGGTATGGCTCAAGTGTTAATGGTGTGTTACATGGCTGGGGGGGGGGGGGTTAAAATGATGTAAAAGTGTTACGAAATATGTGTATCGCCCCTACCTACTTTGGGGAAACATGATATGACATTTACATGTCCTCAAAGTATCATGAGTCAATCTTCTTTAGGCTGATTTAAGGTTGGGTTTTAATGAAGTAGGGTAGGCTAGTAGTACATTTAACAGTGTTTATTTTTATAATAACACTTTTTATCACCCTTTTTAAAGATTTTTTTCAAACATTTGATAGGGTACTCTTTATTTTTGTAGCACCTAAGTTAACTTCTGTCTTCTTGGAATTCTTTCATCATTGTGTTACTGTGTAAAAGGGAAAGGAGTTTTGGATTTTGATTTAATAGGTGTAATCGGTGATGTTTTCTCTAGGCGTCGATGAACAGAGCACCATAGACGCAAAGTCAGGAAGTAAATTCCCTCCACAGCACTTAGGAAACTGAAACCCATGAACAGTCCTAGTAAGCCACCCGTGTTAGCTGCAACAAAAAGTTTAAGGCCTAATTAAACACTCGCTAAACATTTTAAACTCAATTGTTTGCATTTAAGTGCATAATTATCCATTCTAAATCCGAGCTGTATAGGACACACACCACAAATAAGGCTGTGCCAATTAATCTAGAAAAATTATAGCATCTAGCAAAAAATATCATTACATTATACCCTAACGATTACCCTAGTTAAAAATATTATTGTTTGCATTATTCACATTTTCAAATTTTTACCATTGATCATATTTTTTAGACTGATAACCTCAAAAAATTGTTTTAAAGGAATTGTGAATTGTTTTGCTCTGAGTCCTGTTGACTAAAGTTAAAAAATTACCATTCAGCCTTTGTACAATTATTAAAAAGCATTTTGTAAACAAGAAAATTGAAACTGTAATCAGTTCATTGAACTGATATAGGGTAAGTTAGGTACCCTTACTGCTAGCTGATTTAATCATCCAATTTTTCATCAAATTGGAAAGGGTGGAATGGGCAATATAGCTATTTATTTTCCATGGCCCGCTTTTAATATGATTTTTCCCTATATTTTGTTTGTAATATTTAATTTAGTTAGGCTAGGTTTGAAGACAATTACTCTAACTTACCTAGCAGTTCGGTAAATCCAAATAACTCTCCTCTGATATTAGCTGTGTATTGTGTGTCAGTGTAAAATACATGTAGAACAGCCATATTTTTACTGAAAATAATACTTTTGTAAGTAAAATAATAAGTCTGTAGTTTTGTTAAGAAAGTTAGGAAGAGATAAAAATCATATTTTTACACATAAATCGTAATGATTTTCTACTAAACTTCTAAGAGGTTGAAATCATTAGAATCACTATAAATACTAGGCCTAACTTACCTACCAAAACAATACTACCAACCAAAAGACATATTACACAACAAATACCATACTACAGGGTAACTGACTTCTTTGAAGATGATCTGGAGTGGGACAGTTTAGCTTTATGTACTGTCTGCTGCCTGCTTGCCATGTAAATGTACAGTTTTAATTTATGTGTGCCGGTAGTTTTTTGTATTCTGTGTTACTTTTCGTAATTAATCATACACAGTCTATTTATTCCTTCTACCAGAGGGTCAACGACAAAGGAAAAAACAAATACATTAGGATAAATAACATTTATACCTACGTTAATTACAAAATTATTTGTAGGTAATGCTTCAAAAATTGTTTTGAAATATAAATCACAGAAAACGATTCATACATGACGGTTAGCGCAATTTTTGTCACATTGTTTTTGACAAGACTAATCATCACATAAGTTAGGGTTGGTAACTACTGGAATAGTATGTTCCATTATCTGAACTAGCTCACTCGGCAGTATCAGAAGCTCGAGGCAGACTAGTTTACAGACAGCTCTCGCACAAATTTTAACCATTCGCTCTTTCAATTTAATTAAATGCTTCACATTAGATAGGTTCTTAGTCTATTGGCTTGACGATAGACCGTAGGTCCGGTTTTTCTGTAGGTCACATCCACAAACTCCTTGAAACAAGTTTATTGCAGAATATCATGAGAATTTTAATTACTAAAAAAACAAAAGACGAGTAAAGTTGTGAACTAGCCTCACATTGCTTACCTGAAATAGCTGGTGTTTTTTTTACCCAAGTAGTTTTGTGGAATGTCTGCTCGAGCTGAGAGAACGGACGAGGTTTGCTGCATTTTGTATGACAGAGCGTTACATCCCGGTTTACAACCGCATGATTTTGTTTTGGTTGTGTTCAACGATGAGGATACATTCCCATCATCCACTAATCTGAGCTCCATGGCCTCTGCACATGCAATTATTACCATACTGAAATCGGTGAAAAAATACGGAAGAAAAATACAAAGTTTATGTGAGTCAAAGAGTACACCTTACCTTGTTCTAACTTCAAAATTTCAGTAAAAGGTCAACAAATATCAAAAATTATATTTATTATATTCAGAAAATAACACTTTTAAGTTAATCAGTTAAGTTACCCAAAATAAAAGCTGGACATTTTGGCCAAAACATAAACAATTATTTTTATCGTATTACACTAGGCTATAGAATCTACGGTAAACTTACATAGGCCTATTCAAATTCCATGTCCTTTTTCAGCTTAAATATTTTTATTATTTTTACCAACATTTAGGCTATAATTTTGAAGACTCAAAATGTTCACCCTGACTTGCAGTTTACAACCTAGTTGTGCTGTGAGCTACAATAAACTGGTCTATTCAACTGGGCACCACCATTATTATTACGGTACTACTAAAATGAGTGTAAACCTCAGGGCTACTTTGAGACTTACCCCCAGTTAGATGGTCGAAATCTTGACAATTTCCCTTTAGTTGTTTACTAGGCTAAATAAAAATAGGTAGGATACATAAAACATAAATTATACTAGAGAACCCGTGCGGCTCAATGAGCCGCATAGTATGAAACATAACGCCGAAAACGTTATGAAAACGTTATGCTTAAATTAGAATAATTCTAGTTAGGCCTACATCTTAGGGTTGTTTAAACACTTGTTAGAAACTATTTTTAAATATCTCTATTTGCGTCGTCAAGGTTCACCTGCATTATTTCTGCCCTCAGTTTTAACTGATAGCTTCTAATGAATGCTAAACTATCTGCTTCAATTCGAGCTTACATGTTGCAACAAAGTTATTCCAACATTGAGAATTGAAGAAAACTGTTGCCTAGACATCCCCCTAATCAAACGAATTTTCTCCGTAGAGAATCCTAAAAATTAGGGTGATATCAACCATTTAATGTGCTCCATTTTTTCCCCACAAACTCTGGGTTATCAACTGGAAAGCCATAATCTGCTTTGAATAGGCTAAAGCAGCAACACCATTGATAGTTTGTTAACGTAGTTTAACGTGTTGTGTGTTAGTCACAGTATATGCCCCGCATCAGAACGTCCTCACGTTGTTCAGTGGGGTTTCTCTTAATACCTGTCCCAAAGTTTTGAAAGTATGGATTCATTTGTCGAAATAGGTTGGATAACTTTATTAGCTATAAGATTTGGATAGCAATTTTCATTTTCTCTTTTTGAACAGCGTATATTATTTGCCTCTCTTCTACTACTCGATCGTTGAATACATAAACACTAATTCCTTCACTTATGTCTAATATTGCCACTAAAATTCAGTCAAAAGACTTTTTGTACGTTTGGTATAATCTTACTACTTGAACTTGTCAACTCAAAAATTTCTTGCATACATTAATTTGATATGACATTAGGCAAGTTTATTTTACAACCGTCACAACACTATGTGCTTCGTATATTTTTTCACTTCCAAAGTAAGTTGCATAGCAGAACTGGCAAATATTATTCATCTCACCAAGTGCATGTGTATATGGATGTGTATCTGTTAGACCAGGCCTCTCTTTCTCTACTCTCATCATACGCATAAGATACCTTATTATTAATAATTGTCTCCTCCTCCCGTTTTCAATATTTCTTCTTTCAACTTGAGGCATTTTCCGTTCTTCCAACAAAACTGATTAACTGTTTAACTTGGACTTTTTAATTTAATAATTTAACCTACTGAATATTAAAACATTAAATATTTACTCCCAAAGAGCTAATGCGTTTCTTTTTATAAACAGCTGTTTTTTGTTTTTAAATTTGTTCAATGTATTTCTTATGGGGAAACCCCGACCTTTGAGAGGGTCTCACGCCCTTAAGAGTAGAAATTTTAAAGTTCTAAAACCTTATTGCAAAACTTCATATTGAGACGAATCTTTTGACACCTTAAACGTTGAAATTGGTCCACAAATAAGGGAGGAGTTGCGTTAACAAAACACGGCTTCACGTATTATATATATAGATAGATTTTTTTTTTAACTGAGCTTTTTTTCTTACCATATTGAGCAGTATGTCATCTCATTATATTTTACATTTACTTACTGAGAGCTTTTTTTGCACATTCTTCGTCTTTCCTCCCACAAATCCTTGTAGTGTCATTTTCTGGAAATCAATTAAAACATGAATTGTAAAACAGAGAATTACTATATAGTCAATGATTACATCCTAATCTGCTTTGAAAAATAAACACAGTGGGACATCGATATCTCTGAAGGGGTAAGACTAAAATTCTATCGAGTTTTTTTAGAAGGCCTAAGCCAGGTTTAAATGATCAAATTTGAGTTATTGAGGCTGGACAGGAGCGATTGAGTACCGATAGTGAAGATTAATTAAATATTACAGATCACAAAACATAAAAATTTGACTTATCTAGGTTAAACATTTAAATCCTTGGACTTATAAAAGGTATTTTTAACATTTTGTTTCACGGGGATTTCAGGAGGATTATGAAAATTTTGAGAAAGGTTTGAGTTATTGTGATCCTACTGTACTCATATTTTCTCCTTATTTTATTTTTTTGACTTTTCGATTAAGTCGATTATGTATGAATCAATAAATAAACACTGCAGTTATCATACTGTACTTAAATACTACTTGTTAAGAATTCTATAACTATACACATACTTGGCATATAATACAGCACACAGCTGCAAGCGTCTAAGGTGAACTGTGCCTCACACTCGAGGGCACAGTTGCGCTGAGTGTAAGTTCGGTAGAAGGTTAAATTTTTCTCACTGCCAAATACACAGTTCCGTTTCTTAGCAGGAATCGTGTGGAATAGTTGTGTAGTAGTCATCATAACAGGATCAACGATCATTCTTGCCTCCAAACCAGGAGATAGTAGCGAGGCAAATGCATTCATCTTCGGTGTTTCCACAGAATTGTGAAGTACAATCTAAATTGGAAAATAAAAAAAAATATATTTTTTCTTAATATGAATAGCCTAGTCAGTTAACTCAGAAGTCTTATCATCATTCTCGTTTCAGATAAAGATGTAGTACAATGTGTATTATGAGTATATCTTGTATGACATAAAAATACAAATCCAGTAGTTTGTATTACCTAGAACTTTTTGATATTGACATCCAACTAGCCTATATTTGAATTTAACCTTATGGTTACTGTGTCTTAGTCTTTACTAAATCATCTTTTGCTTTAAAACCTGGTTCTTAAACTGTTTATATATTCAATGTATTTATTTTGATATAATTTTAAATTTAAAAAACATACTAAGCTTTTTTGAGCCAATTCAAACACAACTGCACCATTTTTAAAGATAAAAAATATCAATTATTACTGTATTGCGGTAAACAAAGAAACGGTTTCAGCAAACTGTCACATGCTATCTTCCATTAGCTTCTCAACAACCCTTATAGTGGAACGAGAAAAGTATGTCTATTCTGGTTATAGAATGACCTTATCTATATGCTGACCTTAAATCCAATGCTGACCTCCGAAGAGCAGTAATATTCGTCGAGGTCAGCGTTAAGTACAATAGACAAACCGAGGTGGTTCCCGGCTCCCCATGCTCTCCATGGGAGCCAATCCACCGGGGCGTTCGGGGGAAATCCCTTCTCTGGGGTCCAGTCTATTGACTCAAACGGGAACGTAACGTTGAGGTCTGACAAGTCACGGCTGTAGCAACAAAAGTAAGTGAATAAATTTAAATGACCTTTCACATCTATCTGGTACATTACACGCGTCTTTGAAATCACCAATTTTATAGCTCTTTTTCAAATATTTAAATCTTAACTATTGCAAGACAAATAATCTATTTTGGATTAGTAATGTGACAAATTGAGTAAGTTACTTTACTCATTAAAATGCCGTAAACGTGTTATTGAGTCAACTTGATGCTCATACGGTAATACTCAAGTACGGATTCGGCCAGTTCATGAGTTTTTCGCTAGGTAATTCTCCGCACTGCAGACCTAAATCGAATATTCGTTGTATAAATACTTGAAAAAAAAACTTTTAGGATAGTACTTGTCAATAGCACTGAACGCTTAGCTCTAGAACTTGAGTCAAAATAATAAATCAAGTTCCAAGTCTGTAGTTTTATTGTACTTTATTAGGTTTCAACTTGTTCAAATAGGTTCTTTTGATCTTATCTTCTAAATAACATAACAATGTGATTATTTAAAACTCTTCTCTATAGCCTACTATGAAGTGTTTTGTAATTCTTTTTTAAACACGTGTTAGTTGGATTGGAAGTGTATTTCAGTCATTTTTGATTGGCTAATTTTGTTCTTAATTTTATATTTGGGAGACCTTTATTGCAATAAATATGGGGATTGTACACTCATTTTGATATCATACCTCAAGACGGGGAAATCAGACTTTTATAGGCAATCAGGGCCGTCGCGTGGTTTTTTGGCGCCCGGGGCGGGATGTTGCCAGGCGCCCCCCCCCCCCCCCCCCAAACACACAATGAGTGATGATGTCGCTATCTTTGTTTTAATGCCCAAAAACAGACACCTAAAGTTATTGAATACATGAGTCAGGAGTCAGGGATTAATAAATTATTAGGGATACATTTCTTAAATTTTTTTATGAAAATCTGTTTTAATTGATGATAACCAAATCACAATTAATGTAAGAAAATATTAAAATGTATAAAAAGTACTATCCTTTATATTATTAATTATAACAGAGCAAATTGAAATTAATGCAATGGTATGCAAAACCTCAAACCAAACCTACTCTGAATAGAATTTTTATACAGAATAAAAGAAAGCCACCTTAAAACATTTAGATATGAGATCCTAAACATTAAATGTAAATAACTCTTAAAATCACTCATTAAACTAAGCTGACAGCTGAGCTGAGACTGCCGTAGGAGAAAGGAGTGATTGGGGTAGGGGTGGTTCCCAAGGTCGACCGTCAGCCGGTCGGGCGAAATAAAAATAGAATACGGCAGCTACAGAGCAAAACAGAGCAACACCGTGACATTGCAATATTGATTAATATTAAGATAATTAAGTTGGGACAAAGCTTTCAACTCCACAGTGGAGTTGATTATTAGGCTATTATTACTAAATTTATTTCTATACTATATTGATATTTAATTTGGGAAAACATTGCAAATTGTAAAGTGATTGGTATCAATTAATATGTATTTGTTCAATAAAGGCATACAACGTAATATTCAACATTCAATTACACACAAGAATAATAGAACTAGTATTCGTGGTTATACCTAACTTTCCAAAATACATTATGTACATCTAACTTTTTTTAATTTAGTTGCATTACTTTTGCCGCGGCGCCCCCCTGACCGCGGCGCCCAGGGCGGTCGCCCTGGTCGCCCTACCCACGCGACGGCCCTGTAGGCAATTGTAGGAAATTCAAACTCAGGTACTTTCAATGATTCAAATAAATATTTGCGAAATAAATTAGTTAAACAATAGTTGATTGCTTACGGGTTTTGGAACACATAATCTCGTTTAACTCGGTTGAAGGTGCAGCAAATTCCTTCGTCAGTCAGGGTTGGGTTGAAGAGGTCTTCACACTTAAATGTCTCACTGTGCCATAGACAAAGCACCAACATCTCGTGGCACGGCTGCGATACCTTGAAAACATTACAATAAAAGTTGTGTCCTTGGATTTTTAACGGTTTAATCTATATTCAAGCATCACTAGACATCATCACAATTGGCCGTTGAATAGTAAAGATTATTTATTTAAAGCCTTAGACTAGGCATAGGTTATTTTGTGTAAAGATTAAATTCTAATAACAAAAACCCCGTATCGCCAATAAAGAAACCATTTTTTTCACTTTTTTTACAATCCTGGAAACAAGAAACAGTCATTTCTGATAACATGCTTATAAAAGATATGAGTTAAATTTTGTTGGAGTCGTTTTTTTTTACTTTTAGTGGCAGTTCAGAATATTTTCTAAATAGACAAGCAGAATAAATATTGACTGTCAAAAGAAGGTTCTGTGATAAACCGCTAGAGCGTGCTCGGTGTTCGATTCGCTGCCATCGTCAGCTCCTCGCCGTATGCTACCAGCAGACGCTGCAGCGATATGCTCCATAACTACTTGGCACTCCTAGTGGTGGACGCCAGAACACCTGCTAACCGCAGCCCTGCTGTCGGTCTATATTTAACTTTTTTTTTCTATGATAGCAGATATACAGGGTGTTGAAAATGTCTGGAACCAACATTATATCTGGTAAGTGGTTAAAGAAAAACAACTGATATTTTGTGTACGGATATACTATGGTTTTACCTATCTTTTGGTGCCTTATGCAATTTTTTACCACTTATAGGGAACGTCCTGTGGAGGATGCAGTAAAAAGTTTTAATGGAAGCCTATGGTAAATGATACATCATTTTAAAGGCCATTTTTTTTCTGAGTAAGGAGCCACAAGTTTCATCTCAAAAGGACCACCCTAGCAAAAATGGCGACTGTTTGAAATTTAAAAACATTGCTATTTAAATGGTCCGTATTTGTTTCCTTTAAATGCTATTACAAGCCAGTTACGAAGTACAGTAGTTTATCACGTGGTGAACTGAAAAATGACTGAAAAAAAATTTAACTAAATTGTTTGTGTTGCTTTACTAAACTTATTTTTAACAGAAATACCAATTAAGCTTTCAATTATTTTCAAAAACTTCAAACAGTCGCCATTTTTGCTAGGGTGGTCCTTTTGAGATGAAACTTGCGGCTCCTTACTCAGAAAAAAATGGCCTTGAAAATGATGTATCATTTACCATAGGTTTCCTTTAAAGCTTTTTACTGCATCCTCCACAGGACGTTCCCTATAAGTGGTAAAAAATTGCATAAGGCACCAAAAGATAGGTAAAACCATAGTATATCCGTGCACAAAATATCAGTTCTTTTTCTTTAACCACTCACCAGATATAATGTTGGTTCCAGACATTTTCAACACCCTGTATAAATAGCAGATGTAAAATTAACTCTTACATTGACCATGAATGATCTCAAGTCTTTCCAGCTGATCTCTGACTCGTCAACATTGAAGTCGTAACCTTCTTGGTTTTTCCCACAGAAGTCATTCAGCATTTTCCTGTCTTTGGATCCCTCTACCCCTGCATATTGTGCTCTGAAAGCCATAAAAAATAATTTAATAAATCTGTCATAGCAGCACAGTAGTTGAAATTAAAAGTTTGATCGTTTAAATTATTGATTGAAAAAAGTTATAATTTCTTTTTAAAAATGAACCTTTTACAATTTTTTGCAACAATTAGTTGTTAATAGTTAGTAGTAAGAGTACCATTGACTATTGGATACTCAAAGGTAGGCATTATAGGCTATAATCACCTTTAATGACAAAAAATATTCAAGTTATACAAGATTTCAATGTAATACAGGGAGAAAGCCTGTATTACCATTTTGGTGTAGTCTTTGCGTAGACCCTGTACATTTCCCTGTACAAATTCGTTGGTTCCTATATTAAGTGTCAAATGAACTGTGAAAATATTTAATCTTTTGACCTTTTTGAGGGGAGCAAGCGAAGCTCTTATACTACACTCCTGCTTTTGATTTCCACATACTCCTTCCGAACGGCTGAAGCGATCCGCTTGAAATAGAGCACAGGCATAGTAACCAGCTATGGGAAATTATAAATATGAAATGGTACAAATTGGACTACTGGGCTTTTCCCTACATGAATGATATCTTTCATAAATTTAACATGGACCTTATTGGCTGATTGGTCTCGATGTCAGATTTAGCATTGAATTTGAATACTGAAAGACATCTCATTTATGTAAACTCTAGCCCTTTGTGACCATCAATTTTGCGGTAGGATTTCCCAAAAATATTGGATTAATATGCTTGCTACGCTGACAACCGTATTGTACACCTAGTAGCCTATATTTAGGTCGAGTATTATGTCACATTGGTTTCATCAACGTTTTACTATCCAAATTTAAAACACAAAATTCTTCATAAATATTTTAAATTGCACTTTTCTGTATGTAGTTCAGTTTTTTATTTAATGCCTAGTTTGGATTCTATTAATTTCTTTAAAGTTCCTAATAGAAGGTTGTTCCCTGCCTCCATTTGAAATAAGTCCAAAATTTTATTAAAATGATTTCATTCCATATGATTATTGTCCAAGAATGTTCTTTTAATGTCAAATACTAGTTGCGATTGTTAACTGCCCACCTTCTCTGTATGTCCAATGCCACGCTTTTCTTGGCGTTGTTCATATTGCAGATGGTGATGGCCGGGAAGGGTATTGCAGACAGAGGGGTGGGCTCTGGAGACAGACTCAGTATGACAGGGCTGTGGGTCCACTTGTAGTACACATTGGAGATGAAGTTGGTGGCGAATATACAGGCTAGGGCGAAGGAAACTATCCAAAACAGCCTGCAGACATCATTTAGCTTTGTATTACTCTCAACTAATTACTTACAGAAATATCTGGAGGACTAACTTAATATTCTGTTTTGTTTTTGCTATCTTTCATTCGGTACTGATACACAATCTTTTGCGTTTAAAAACTTTAAAAAATTAGCATTATGACGCAAACTTTCTCTCCCATCAACTTATCAATAACCTTTATCATGGGTAAGCGGTGGGAGTAACTATTCAATATTTTACATTTATATCAATTTACTTATATTATAATAATAGTTTATATCAAACTGGCCAATTCTCAAACACAAACCTGTTTGAACAAATTTTCTCAATTACATGCACAAAACAGCATTTTCTTAACATTCCTGGCATACACAAAATTTAGGCGGTTTTACAGAGAAAATCTATTCCTTCCACGTCTTGATCCAACCAGTGAGTTTCTTAAGACAGAGGTCCACCTGTAATTAGGTAATGCATGGTGTGTGCTTTTTTTAACTGCTTTTTGATTTTATTTTCTCCAAATGTGCATGGTTTTAATCTGATTTATTTAACTTTTTATTTTGTATGCTATTTGACTTAAACTAAGCATGGTTTGATTTTATTGTTAACCAATCTCTGATGATGGTTTATTTTTATTTACTGAATTATGTATTGACATAGCCTATTATGTAATGTTTAATGGCCAAATAAACAATTTGAATTTGAATTTGAACCATTAAAACATCAAACTCAAAGCTCAACAGCTGAGATTTGTCAAAACGCCAATCAGCTGAAACATACATTAAGCAGGAAAAAACTTCCCCTCAAACTGCCTAAATATTTTGAGCTTTTTATAACTAAATCTACAGCTCTACTGGATCAATTTTGTTAATTAATAATTGGGCGTTGGAAAGCTTCATTTGTGTAGATTTGAAAAACTATGAAATTTTGATTTTATTGTAAATTAATGATTTATTTTATCAGGCATGCTACTTTTCTAGAGACCGTAGTATTTAACCAAAACTGGTCTGCTATAGTCCATAGCAGACCAGTTTTGGTTAAGTACTACGGTTAAATAAATTTTCAAACACCGAATGGAAAGCTTCACTCATTAGCATAAAAGTGGAAGCCTACTTCGTATATAAAGCTGGTTTTAAACCTAGCAAAGTTGACCCGTCAAGAGATGCACCAAGTGGCAACAGCGCTTGGCCGTTTTCAATCAACGCCATCTGTGAACTAACCGGGTGTACTAGCATACAGTAAGCATTTCTGCAAGGTCGGCAGTCTCTAACAATCGTGGGGCTTCTGTTCGTTATTTTCACTCATACAGCACAACTACATGTATTAATTTATTTATATTATAAATTACTATAGTATTCACAACCCACCGCTCCGCCCGGGATATATTCGGGTCGGCGACGTAGCGGAGGCCGTGTAGCGACGAGTGTTGTGTGAAGTCGGCGACCGCGTGTCGCAGACAGTGACAGGAACATCCGCACGACGGCGGGTCTGTCGTGGAGTCGGCAGATCGTCGTCGTAGTTCCGGGTCTGGCCACGCGTCCGGTACCCGCCCATCCATACGTCGCGCCCGCCGTACTACCACTGACATGTCGCGACGTGTCCCGACCGCCGCCACCCCACTACTAGCACCCGGACACGACACACACGTCGCTGCAACGGAAATGGCATTGGCACGTGCAATGCTGCGACTTATTGTCACATTATTGTTGGGGAATTACGTTTTGAACTGTTATTTTTGTAATTAGGTTTATTATCATCAAATTAGGGTGTAATAGAAATTTTTAGATGGATTGAATTAGGACTTGAGGCAGTTTGGGTATTTTTATTGTTTGTAAGAATTCGTCTCTTTGTTATCTTGAAAATTATTTAATGTCTACATAGGTATAAACGATTTTTTTGCTGAATGCATCATATAATGCTATTTATTAATAATAGTTGTACATTATGCATACTATTTATTGTAGAAACGGTTTTAATATTTTATTTCTAGGCCTATTAAAAATATTTTTATTTTTGGTCCAAAATTATGCGTAAATGGATTGAAATTAAAGTTAAGATTAGAAACCTCTTCTTTACCTAACAAAATTGATTAAAATATTGTTTTTAACTATGCCAACAAATATTTTTGTGTGTATTCTACTTTGCGATTTATTTATACCCTTAGCTTTACGGCAAGTCCATGGGTTTGTAGTCAAACGTTAAGGCTCTTGTTTTTGTCAATATTTATTAAAAATGTGTTTCTAAATATATAGAATTAAATGTTGAAGTTGTTGTAGGCCTACTTTCTTAACCTGTCTGTTTTAGCGATTTTTTACAACTCTAAAATGCTTATTTTGTAATAAATATCGTTGCTTAATTTGGTGTACAGATTTTTAAAAAGTTTTCCTTTAAAAATATATTGAAATTGCTGAAATTGGTTCATAAACTAATTAGTAAAATACTTTATAGTCATACAAGCCTATAAAAATTTTAATTTTCTTAGTTCTTTCGTTTTTCCCCATTTATGCCTACACCTATTTAAATAATTAATTTTAGGTGTGTTCTCCATAATATAAATTTAAAAAAAGGTTCGTCTTGTAAAGTATATGGCTTTTAAGTGCCATATAAAACATTTTTGATTTCTTAAAAGAATAATAACTAAATAAAATATATTACGCAATAGCTCCGGTTTAAATTGTTTGTGTAAGTGCCAACTGTAAGCTGTTCCCTCAAATTCATCATGGATTGGTCTCATGACATTTTACCATTACCGCAAGTAATCAAGCCATGTTCAGTTTATCATATTAATTTCCATTTATGTCTATGAATTTTCCTCGTATATTTTTAAATAGCCCTGTCAATGCAATTCTACACACTAAGCCTTCTTGTAAAATTTGTATTGCACAGGTTCATATTTAAAAGGAAAGTAACTCTCACGTTCATGCTCAAATTAAATAAAAAATAAAAATTAGTTCAGTTAGATCTGCTGTTGGTCTTCAATATGTGACTGTGAAATCTGTTCTTTAAATCTTGAATGTGTTCGAAAATCAGTAAGTCCGGCTTCGGGGAATGGAGTTTTGAAATAAAAAAAATGTTACCCTTAATACATGGAAATGCCTGATTTTTATTACAGCCATGTTGTTGAACTTAAAAATACATAAATTTGTCTATTGAAGCTTTGTTATACAATTAAAGATTACAGATAAAACTAAAATAAAACTGTATATTTAAAATGTTCACATATTGTTATATGGAGAAAAAGAAAAATGTGGTGGTTTGCTTGTTTATCGATAAAATGTTGATCACTGTTGGCAAATTTACTTTGTATCTTCTCCGTAGTTACCAACCAAAGTACAGTACTCGTTAAATCTAATGATATTTAAATTGGGAAAAATAGGACTTGTTTATGGAAATATTTGAATGAATCCAAAAAATTCATAAATCCAAAATTCAATGTGTCTGCATGAAATTCACGTTGTCTGCAGGTTTGCTGCGGCGGGGGTAGGCCTATTTATATCCTCAGTAGCCAATAGGTGTAGAGTAAAATACATTTAATCCTTTGTCTTTTTCAAGGTGATGTTTAACTAACATTGTTCATTTTTTAAATACTAAATTTGCACGGTACTGTTCAAAATATATGACAAAAACTGTTATGTTCAGTAAGTAGCCTACTTTTGGCCTTATTTTTAACCAATCAAGGAGAGAAGTGTGAGTTACTTATGATAAGTCTTTGTGCTTCGGATAAGTCTTTTATCTGACACATTTTTTAAATTCAAATTCAAAACATGTTTGTAGGCTACTGAAATACTATTAATATTTATTAATTAGTTTAATATTTGTTAACAGGTAAAATTAAAAAAAACCTTACACAACTGTAGATACTCATCATTTTATTATTTACTGAACGAAAATGCTACTTTTTTTAATTTATTCTTTTCAAACCAGAATCATCAGACTAAATAAATATTCAATTTATATTTTTATTTTTACAATTTTAAAAATATACCAATTGCAAGTAGAATCTGGTTCCAGAAATATTTCACTTCCAAACCATTTGACCCTCAACCATAATGTTTTAAAATGAACACTAACAATCTCAGCTATCCAAACTGTTAGAGAGGAAGAACCAAAAATATATTTGTAATATTTAGGCGACTCTATTTATTGGTCTTGAGGATTGTCATTGTCAAGTCAGAATCCTAGGTATATTTTGTAGTTTTCCTCAATACTTGATCAGCTGTGTAGTTTAGTTTTATTCCCACATAACAATGTTCGTGTAGAGTTGGTGATTTATAAAACAGGTGGTTTTCTTTCATGACTAGATTGATTGAATCAGATTAGCTGATAACCTGATTAATCAGTAACCTTTGGTGGCATGATTTGTTTGCTAACCACACGATTCCTGAAAACAATCATGTATGAGTTACACAGTGACTTTACCGATGACTTTAAAATTGTATTTTTGACATATTTACCAAATAATCGCGGGTATGCTTTTTTATTGTAATTTAACTTTTAAACAATTAATTTAATGAATAATAAATCAATCTTTCCCATGGTTTTCAGGTTTCCACTTACCAATTGATTTCTTTTAGCGAATTTCCCCTATAGGGAATATTTATAGGGAATAAGCTATTACCGTAGTACTCATGGTAAGACCTGGACCCGGGACCGATTTACTTTTTAGTTTTGAGGTCCCTAGAGACCAAAAACACCATCCATTCAAATTCATATATATATATATATATATATTTATATATATATTTATATATATACTAGCTATGTGTCCCTGTTCTACGCACGGGGATCTTATAATATTCAGTTGAAACCTTCTTATATAACGAACAGCAGTTGGTTTGCATATTTTAAGATATGCTGGCCAAACTATTATACATAGCTTCATTTTATGTTGTTTTTTGTTGTTCCGGATCGGTATGACAATCAATAAAAGGTTAAATTACCTCTGTGTCTGCCGGTCGATCCTATAACGGTAGGCTTACTTTTATTTTTACTATCTGATCTCGTTTGCATGGCTCAATCACGTCCTGGTTGAAGTTCGTTCGCTACGCTCACTCACCTGTATGTTGGAGCTCGTTCGCTGCGCTCACTTTCCTTCAGGTTAGCTCGTTCGCTACGCTCACTTGCCTTCAGGTTAGCTCGTTCGCTACGCTCACTCGCCTCCAGGTTGCAAATTAGCTGTTGTCATAAATGTAAAAGAAATAATAGTGCTAGTGCTGCACCCTGTTGGTAATCCTTGTAACTTTAATGCTATTGAACATCACAGAACAGAACCAACTTGTTTAATTGAAACAGCTGTTAAGATTCAATAATTTCATTTCTCATAAGGTTAACATGGGCTTCCAGAAATTCCACGTCAAAAATCGACAAAAACTTGATTTTCAAGGGTTTACTGTTAAATATCTAACTGTCTCATATTCGATGAAATACGTCTAAAACCATCTCATATATGTATAGTATTTGGAAAATAAGTTTCAGGCGGGACAGTGCTATAGTTATTGAGGAGTAGTTGTAATAAAGTGCGTATTTTAGCGTTACCAAGAGAATGACAGATAGACAGACAGACAGACAGACAGACAGACAGACAGAAATTGAGATAAGGTTTGATTCGGTTTCTCTGACCTATGAAATGTAAAAATAACCAAAAAGTTCATTATTCTAAGCAATGTACAGACAAAACTCTAATTTTATTTATATTTATATATATATATATTTATATATGTGTCCGTTAGCACGGTAACTCGAGCAAAAATCATCCGGTTTTGATGAAATTTGGTACAAACGTGTAAACCTACGTTTATTCGAACGAGTTCGCGAACCAGCATGATCGGACTATGGGAACAGGGGTTTATGGGGGGTTTTATGGGGTAAAAATTGGTTTTTCCCATTTTTTACACTAAAAACTTAAAATTTAGCAATTTCTTTCCAAACCATTTTGTAGAGCTTAAAAAAACAAATAATTTAGTATATTGAAGCGTTAATATGCGCCTAATGGTTACGGAGAAAATTCAAAAAATCTGTAAATTTAAAATTCCCATGTTATTTGTATGGAGAATAAGTAAACTGTTGTAGTTTGCTTGTTTATGAACATATTTTGATCAAATTTGGAAAATACATTAATTTCGTACTAAACTATTACATTTTACAAAAAAACACCTTTTACCCTCCCTGTTGCAGCAAACCTAAGTACTCGTTAAACTAATGTTAATTTAAATAGAGAATAAATGTGATATTTTTAAGGAGAAATTTTATTGTAAATCCAATCAGGTAAATGGAAATTCGCTTAGTCTGCAGGTTTGCTGCGGCGGGGGTATTTTTGGATTGCATGCGTTTTTTGTAGACCCATTATCCAAATGTCACTTTTAATTTTGTAAATTCTTTTAAAAACACTAAACAACTTACTGTCTGGGTAGCCGAGTGCTCACATTCAAATTTGAAGGTCGATGAATTTGAATGTTTGATTCCAAGCATGATTGTAACTGGTCCCAGGTGCAATTTTTTCATCAGGCAATCAATTAATGATACTGTCCGACTGAAGTTAGATAGTAAAAAATACTATAGTTTGGAGTTTGGACAGTTCCTTAGAAATATAAAAAATGCCACAGGCAAAGATATACACAAAATATAAAATTAAAAAATAGTACCGTACAGTGGCATATTCAAAGAGCTCACGTTACAGTCAGTTGACGAGTAAAATTAAATAAAAATTTTACAGACACGAATCCTAATCCACGTTTTTGAAGCGTGATGTATTTTTTCTGATTCACTGTCTGAAGCATATTGTTTCATCAGATTAGCTGGTATCACTTCATGGTATATTTTGTTTCAAGATACTGTATAGGATAAGCAAGGTGCAGGCCAAACATACACACAGTGTTTATTGTACACTATTAAAACACAATGTTTTTACATAATTTTTTACAAGTGAGTTTTGCAGACATTTTATGAGGAAGGTCTATAGTAACAATACTCAACTATCTTAATTTTATTGTTAGGCCTACATCTTAATGCTAGCTTTTACTTTAACATAATACTGCAATATAAGTTTGTTTATACTGGAAATCAAAAATAAGATTTTTTAGGGACGTCGCTGACATGAACAACTAACTTAAGATCCAGGCCTAAAAAAATAAGCACAACTGACAGGTTTATGTCGATCAATCAATTTATTTACTTAAAAAACAGATACATGCACATGTTACAGGTGCAAAACTATATAAGAATTGGCTGTACCAATGTCTCAATTTAAACATTGTTTGGTTAATATATAGTTGTTTGTTGTAATGTGCGTCATGTAGTAATCCTAAAAGTGAATTAAGGCCGAATCCACAGCCGCAACTCTACGCCAATGCCTATGCTCTTTACGTCATTGATGTGCTTTTCTACAAATGTCACTTGGTGAGAGTTGCCATGTCTTTCTATGACGGTTGTATTGTTATTTTCAACTATGTAAAATTTAAATATGACAAACTGTAGACTAAATATTGACATTCTAATTTATAAATGGGAATGGAGCCACTGCTTGGGTTTTTATTCGAGGTATTTCAGGCAGTTTTCTACGTTTTTTGGAACACCATATCCGTAGAGTGAGAAAGTATATGGCCTCGGTTGCGCTGAGGAAACTAAATCCAATGAATAGTCCGAGGAGACCTCCGGTGTTGGCTGAAAATTAAACATAAACAGTTAGTGCTTTATTGTTCTCACACAGTAAAAAAAAGTTGTAAGGTTAGGGAATGATTTGTTAGAGACAATTTAACAGTAGGCTATACTTGATTTTTAAAAATCGGACCATACAATTTTATTCGTTGTGTTTACTAACCTATTTTATGAGAAAAAAAGTATGTTTTAATTGATCATTGTGTATTTTTCTACAAAACGGCATTTTTAATTTTTTCAATTACAAAAAATACATTAATAATTTTTTTAATGCCAGTAATTTGTAAGAAATATTTATTAATAATATGTATGAATCATAAGGTTAACATGGGAAATTTCAGAGCTACTGGGGCGGAGCCTTAAAGGATTTTTGAGATAAGGATAGGCTTATATGTAAATTGTGAATATGAATATCATAATGCCAAATTTCAACCCAATCCGTCCAGTAGATAATGTGTGATTGAACTTCAAACAAACAAACACACAAACTTTCACATTTATAATATTAGTAAGACATCCTCATGCAATATTTAAGTATTATTGAATTGTTTTTCTATGGGTTTTTTACTGTATCATAAAAATACATTCTCAAATTCGTAACATTGCCCTAAACACACATTCTAAGAGAATTGCATTATTTAACCATTGATATTTTTTATAATTATCAACAGAATTTACTCCACATAAGTATAGGTGCTTCGGCTTAAAATTTACCATTATGACAATGCTTTAAATATTTTTGATGTTCGGCAAAACATAATCTATTGTACTGTTTGTTTGGAATCTTACACAAAAATTCAGTGAATCCAAAAAGCTCTCCTCTTTGTTTTGCTGTGAACTGGGTATCTACCACAAATACATGGAGTACTGCCATATTCGTCCTGGAACATTTGTTTTGTAGGTTCAGAAAGTTCATAACATGACTTTCGTCAAGGAGTGGAAATTTTTGACTAATGAACCTGTTCAAAAACACTGACTATAATCATTTAATAAACAGCTGTGAAGTCTTACGCAAGAACTCATTGAATCCAAACATTACGCCTCTTTGCTTGGCTGTAAACTGGGATTCTAGAAGAAATACATGCACAACTGCCATATTTTCTCTGTAACATTAGACATTATAGATACATGAACCACAGAGAAGTAAGATTCAGAGGAAACACGCTAATGGGGCGACATTGTGCTTTCATCTCTGGTATGTTGGGGTAGAAAATACTTGTGACGAGCAAGGAAGATCCTAAATGGCAAACAATTGTTGAAATTCCTATCGCACAGGAAACCAAGTGTTTTTCCAGCGTGAGCGTTGTAGTACATGACGGCAAGGGGGGTGGGGTGGGACTTTGTTCTAGACTGAAGCACTAGTGCTAGACACCACTAAAGTGTACCATTAAATGTTTCCTCCGTAGATCTTACTTCTCTGTACATAAACAAACCTTTAGTTACTTAGCAAAACAACATAAACATTAACAATACTTACTATAGGTTGTGGTATAAATCAAACATACTTTAGTTTGAAGGTGTTAGGAAGGATTAGTTTGTGTTGTTTTAGAGTTTATTGCAGTCATTTTCCATCCCTGATTATCTCTTATCTCAAGTTTTACAAAGTTTCTAAATCTGGATTTTAGAACGTCAAAAAACTTTTGTTTCACTGGTTAGTAATAAAAGTAGTCAGCAATAATCCTTGAATAACAACCAATTCGTATTAGCACCAAAATATCTAAATTCATGATCTTAGCGGAAGTAATTTTTGTTACTATCTTTATGAGGTGACTATTCACTTTAATGCACTCATACTCTTACAACTATCTTATTCTTTTTAGTAGGATTGGCCTGAGGTATCTTGTGGTTTCATATGGTTGTAACTTCGGGAAAGCCATCAACTAAGACACCTTACAACTAATAAAACATGTTCTTGATCTAAAATTTTGTTTGCAGGACCTTCGTTTTAAGAACTAATTCATCATTGAGGAGGAAACGATTAGGTCTGTAAGATGTTTAAATGTTGTGATGTTCATTCATTGTACATTCGGTGTTTTTTGTTTTAAACCTGGGATATTTTTTGCAGTTTCTTTGGTGATAGCAACTTTTGTTTTGCACTTGCTTACAGTTATATGTTGTGTAGTATTCTTAGTGGATCTTAGACAACATCTTCAGTGTTATTGACATGGTTGTTAAGTTACCAAGACTGATGTACGAATGATATGATAGGTTAAGTACCTTTTTGTCCGCCTTCAGTCCTTAATATAATCAAGGGTAGTAGTTTAGGATTTATGCTGGATTTATGGACCAACCAATTTGATGACATGACTTTAAAAATGGTTCATTTCTGATCCGAAACTAGTCACACTTGATATTAAGGACTGAAGACAGATAAAAAGGTTATGTTACCTGTCATATCATTTGTTAAGTTAGTTTGAGTATAAACATATACTGCATTTTTCTGTATTGTCCTCAAGCTCATCTGTAGCACGTTTAATCTATTGAAGAGACTGTTTCATCAAATCAATTTATAATCTATTTTTCAATTTAAGGAAGGGTTCATTTTTGAAATTTGGAACATTTTGTTTACTTAAGATGTCACAAATAATATATCTTATCATACAGTAGTAAGGATGGATGTTTTATGTTAATACTTGTGTATGATTTATCATTTGATGAAATCATTATTTTCATTTTTGATACAATGTTCCATTTGCACTGCTATACAAGATTTTCAGTTTGCAAACGACCTCCTTTTTGAGGTCATACATTCATACATTCAATGTTTTTTGTTTTAAACCTGGGATATTTGTTGCAGTTTCTTTGGTAATAGCAGCTTTTGTTTTGCACTTGCTTACATGTTATATGTTGTGTAGTATTCTTAGTGGATCTTAGACAACATCTTCAGTGTTATTGACATGGTTGTTAAGTTACCAAGACTGATGTACGAATGATATGATAGGTTAAGTACCTTTTTGTCCGCCTTCAGTCCTTAATATAATCAAGGGTAGTAGTTTAGGATTTATGCTGGATTTATGGACCAACCAATTTGATGACATGACTTTAAAAATGGTTCATTTCTGATCCGAAACTAGTCACCCTTGATATTAAGGACTGAAGACAGACAAAAAGGTTATGTTACCTGTCATATCATTTGTTAAGTTAGTTTGAGTATAAACATATACTGCATTTTTCTGTATTGTCCTCAAGCTCATCTGTAGCACGTTTAATCTATTGAAGAAACTGTTTCATCAAATCAATTTATCATCTATTTTTCAATTTAAGGAAGGGTTCATTTTTGAAATTTGGAACATTTTGTTTACTTAAGATGTCACAAATAATATATCTTATCATACAGTAGTAAGGATGGATGTTTTATGTTAATACTTGTGTATGATTTATCATTTGATGAAATCATTATTTTCATTTTTGATACAATGTTCCATTTGCACTGCTATACAAGATTTTCAGTTTGCAAACGACCTCCTTTTTTTGTTGCTTTGATATGGCATAGTTCTCAGTTGTTTATGCTTGCTTTGGTTATGGTAGGTTATCTAGTATCAGTACATAATGAAATAGGATTGTTAACAATAAATCTCATGTAAATACATCGTGGCTGTGAGATATTCAACTTACTAAAAGTACTCAGAGCCTTGGCCTTAAAGATATTTAACTTACTGAAAGTACTTGGAGTCATGGCCAGCTAGATAGTCGTGTCTTATGTCAAGTTTCTCCGCCAGTTGACTGTTGGACTGTGTCTTCTCAAAGCTCAGAGCGTAACAACCCGGTAGACATCCGCAGGCTTCACGGTTCGTCACGTTTGCCATGTTCAGTAGAAACGAAGATATGTTGGCCCGGTCGTCTATCAATCTTTGCTCCATCACCTCTGTTAAATAAACATAAGATTATGAAAATAATAAACAAGATTACACATTCTTCTTTGTTAATGTATATTCATTCTGATAGCCCCTGGACTACGTATAAATTACTTTATAGACTTGCCTCCGTCAGTAGTTCAAAATTGTGTCTAACTTCAAATAATTTTGTTCAAAGCTGACATGTTTTGTTGCAAATGCAACATCCTTGGAGCTTTACGTCAAAAACATCTAAATAATTTACACATACAGTACATACACATGACACGGGACATTAAAGAAACAACTTGCAAAACCAGGCATTGAACTAGCCTTCAGAACTACAAACCGTACTAGAAACGTGTTGACAAATAAAATTGAGATAGGTGACGAAATAGATAAAACCGGCGTGTATAGGATATTTTGTCCAGATTGCCCAAGTAAATACATAGAGCAAACAGGTCGTGCTTTCCAAACTCGATATAAAGAACACCAACCAGATCCTAAACACCATAAACAAAAATGTGCGTTTGCTTAACACCTTGTAGATTCTAATCACTCAATGAGTGATATTAAGACCGGCTTGAAAGTTTTACATTATTGGGGGAAAGTTAAAAAATTGGACACACTTGAGGAATATGAAATATATAAAATGAACATAAACGAAGAACACAAAGAATACATCTTCAACGATGCAATTTAAGTCCCACTCCCTCTTCAACACTGTTATCTCATCTGGAACAGCTGACCACCGCGTAACAAAAAGAACGAGACAAAGTTACATAACGCGTGTCCAGTCTACCTACAACCTCTGCCGCGCCGTGTCATGACAGCACTATCAAGTTATTACGTGTTTAAATATCCCGTGTCGTATATACTGTATGTGTAAATTATCTTGATGTTTTTGACGTAAAGCTCTGACGATGTTGCATTCAAAGACATCCAGAGGACATGTCAGCTTTGAACAACATTATTTGAAGTTAGACGCAGTTTTGGACTACTGTCAAAGGATGGACTACTAAGCCTATAAAGTAATGTATAGATTCTTGGATAATCTGCTAAAATTGTGAAAGTGTAATTTATTTGTGTCACCTTATCATCAAATTTTATGTGGAATTTTTTAGATTTGCAAGATTAGAATTCAGCCTGAACTTCCAGTAAAATTATAAGACTTGCTAGGAATAAAATGTTTGTCAAAGTTGAGGGGGGGTTTCGTAAACTATTACAAGCTAAGCTAAGACCAAACATAGAACCAATTTTTTAATATTTATTTTGCAGTAGGCTTTATATAGGATTGTGATTGTTGTAAATTAGGTCTATATAATAGTACCATCTAGAACCATCTAAAAGTAAAATAGCATGGAATCTAATCAAATGTTGTATAAAAACTAATATCTAGACAATATTCTGTTGACTCACTTCTTGCACTATCAGCACATTCCGCATCCTGCCGGCCACATATTCGGGTCTTTGAATCCTCTGTAAGAACAGAAAAGGCAAAAAGATTAATAAAGATAATCAATTATAAAAATATGTAAATGACAACAAAAACTTACACAAAATTTAGTGAAAATTTACCTAGGTGATTTAGCAGAGTGTGAAGTAATAAAGAAAACATCTTGTAAAAGCGTTAAGCATTTTGAAGCTATTTTTCCTTAAGTTATCTGACAAAGCAGGTCTTCTTGCACTGATTATAACACGCAAAGTAGCTGATTCCTGCATTTACTTACTTTCCCACACTCATTTCACTTTTTCACACTGCTTATTTTACTTTCTCGCACTCCGGTTAACAAAACAACACAAAATTTAATGGTGTACATGCATTAGATTAGTAGTTACGCTTGAAAACAAGTTGGCAATAGTACTCAGCTGGTGCAGTGTTTATTTGTCATTCAACGCTTTGAACCTAATTAAGCTATAATAACCTGTTGTTGATTGTTAAGAATAAACATTACAAACCAAAAATGACCTTCAGATTTTTTTATTTATTTATTTTTTTTTTCATTGTGAGTGTGAAATTCATTATGATTTTAATTTGTCAGTGAACCAATTTCATTTAGGCTTGGATTAATTAATTTATTAAACTGCATAGTAAAAGTTAATCTCTATGTTATAACACCTTATTTAAATGTTTTATAGTACTGTAACTGTAAGAAAAATATAATGTGTAAAACAGGCACAAAGTGTGTTTGCTGCACTCAAGAAAATTTCCAGTAAACATTTTTCTCAGTACAGCAAATTGTCACTTTGCGCACTAGTTATACAAATAACTATTTCCTAAAATCATATATCCAACTCATGATTACGATTTGAGTTCTTACTCGGCATGTAGAACTGAACACATTTGCAGAACTCTAGCGTAACATTAGCCTCACACTCCTGAGCACAGTTGTGCTCGGTGTATGTCCGGTAGAAGCGCAAGGTCCGCTCTTGGCTGAAGAGACACTGTCTCTGACTCTGAGGTATGTATCGTACTTGCTCCGTGGCCGTCATGAGGTCGGGTTTGAAGATAATCCGAGTCTCGTAACCTGTCGGCAAAGCTGACGCGTACGCAGACACTTTTGGCGTCTCGACTGGATTGTGTAGTACCACCTGTGTATGGAGGAAAAGCAATGTATTAGTTTTAATAATTTTGCTCACAAATGAAAGACAAGTTCGTCAAAATCTATTGTAGCCTGTGGAATTTATAAGGTTCTTACCCTATGCTCTTTCCACATCTAAATAATTAAAATTTGGGGCAGTCTTAAACTGTCTATTTGCAATACATACATTTTTTTTACTCTCATAATATTTTATGGTGAGGCTCATTTGAGGAGAAATTGTGTAAGATATCAATGGATTAGTAGAATTTTGCATGTGGCTAAAACTTTTAGGTCAAGAAAGAATCATTATACTTATATTTATTAAAACTCACTCTGTTAAAAGGAGGTGTTGAAAAACTCTGATTACAATATAAAATGTGTTTTAAACCTTTACAAAACAATGAAAAAATTACTACTACCACCTGATTTGTGTACCAGTAATCAAAATAATGTTACTTCCCAGTCATTTCAAAATTGTGTAGCCTACCACATTAATGATATAGCTTAAAAAATATATCCAGACCTTAAATCCAATACTGACTTCTGATGAACAGTAGTACTCTTTGAGATTAGCGTCAAGTACGATTGTCAGTCCAAGATGGCTGCCAGGTCCCCACGGTCGCCAAGGTACGTCGTCTACAGACACATTGTCTGGGTAACCATGCTCGGGTGTCCAGTCGACCGAGTCGAACGGATAGGTGACGTTCAATTCTGAAGAATCAGTGCTGAAAAATGACAAATTATATAAACGGATTCACCATCAATTTAAAAAAATATATTTTTATATATTTTTCCAATATTATATCCAAAATCCAAATATATTTATCCAAATATTATATCCAAAATATATTTCCAATATTTTTTTTACTCAAAGCATTTTTATTTTGAATTTTTGTTAGTGTTTGCTCTTATTAAAAACTAATATACAGCCATTCTTTTTTTAAAGTAACTAACAGTATAAAATATAAAATGTTATATTTTTATATTTAATTATGACTACTATGAACACAAAGAGTTAAATAATAAGAAAAATTAAAAAATATTCCTTAAAGTTTCTTATTATATGGTTTTTTATTGTTGTCAAAACAGCTGATTGACTTGAGGCAGCACAGCTGATAGTTTGTGTATCTTTGTATTTTTGAGGTTAGCATATTATTCAGTTTCCCACCAAAAGTTGATGTAGATGTTAGATGTTGACTGAGGAAGATTTCCAAGACCAAATTATCTTTTTGAGGTGAGTTGTGATTTTTAATTAACTCTAGTTACAAAATTACTATTCGTGTTGTCCCATCCGTTACAGAAAAGATATAAAAGTTATGTTTACAGCAGTAATAGCAATGAAAAAACATTCCTAATTTGGGGAAGTAAGGTTAAGTGGGTACTAGATTTACTTTATATTTTATTATAATTTTAGGGATTCATTTTAGCAATTATTTGATGTAACGGATGGGACATGTAACGGATGGGACATTTAATGATGATTAAAAGGATTGGGTTTTTAGGTGTATAGTTATTAGCAACAAAATAGTTTTGAGGTTATGCACATACCATGAACCACTGAGTGATAAACCAAAGGTAAATCAAACAAATACAAGAGGTATTATACACCCTTTTAATCGTGTTTAAAAGTTATTAACTAGGATTGAACATAAGATTGTGTTAATTTTTTCAGTCTGATTTGAAAAATAAGCCGCTTAGGCCAAAAATTTAAGTAAAGCTAAGGACAATTTTACAGAGTAGCCAAGTAAGTAGGCCTAACTAAACATATTATAACCAACATAAAAAATGTTTTTTTACCAAACAAGCTGAGATAATAATTGTATTTTTAGGTTATGGCGCCTACCTACAAAAATCGGATGGCCAAGTGCCGGGAAAAGAAAAAAAATAATCCTGAGATTTGGGAAAACTATTTACTAAAGGACAGGGAAAGGAATAAAGCCAAAAGAGCTGAAAAAAAGACTGAAAGACTCTCCGACCCAAGTTTGTTGAAAGCAAATAGAGAAAAGGAGCGACTGCGAAAAAGAGCAGCTAGAGAGAGGAAGAAACTATCTGCAAATGAAGGGACACCAACTGGTCAGAATTCCACAAGACTTGGTACTTATAAATGTACACACACGTTGCGAAAGGCTGTAAAAAAACTGAAGCACTCTCTTCCTTACAGCCCCTCTAAAAAAGTTGCTGTTATTAAAGAATTTATCAACGATGCGAAAAAAGAAGGGCTAGTTAAAAACATTTTTCCTAGTAGTGTACATGTTTCTCCTGGGAAACGTTTTATTAATGAAGAAACAAAAGAGAAAGTTCTTGCCTACTATGAAAACGATAAGGTTTCAAGACAAGCTCCCGGTAAACGGGACAAAAAATCTGTTAAAGACCCTGTTACTGGGAAACGAACTTTGATCCAAATACGGCACATGTTAGTCACTGTAAGTGAAGCTTATGAGATGTTTAAAATGGACAATGAGGAGAACATTATTTCAAAAAGCAAGTTTTATAAGCTACGTCCACAACATGTTTTGTTAGTGTCAGAAACACCACATAATGTGTGTGTTTGTAAATACCATGCCAATTTCGCCTCACTTACCAATTCAATTGCAAAACACTTTCAGGGTTCAAATTTCTCTAAAAGCTATAAAGATTTACTTGAGAATGTGTGCTGTGACACTTCCAAAGAGGAGTGTATGACAAATATTTGTAAAGAGTGCACAACTGACATATTTGGTATTGTACCACGAGAATTTGAAGCAGAATCAAACATTAAATGGAAAGAGTGGCAAGAGGTTAATAACCATCTTACTCTTGTTGAAAATGTGTCTTCCATAGAGGATGCCATTAACAAATGCAACAGCCTCCTCCCCAAATTTAAAACTCATTCCTTTATTAAGAACGCACAGCATGAACATTTTGAGAAGTTAAAAAAGAGTGTTACTGATAAAAAATGTGTTGTCCAGTTTGATTTTGCAGAGAACTACTCAATAATACATCAAGATGAAATACAAAGTGCACATTGGCACCACAAACAAGTTGCAATTTTCACTTGTGTAATATGGGGTAAGGATAAAGTTACCTCTTATGCTGTTGTGAGTGATGATCTGTCACACTCTAAGTACTCTGTTTGGACTTTTTTTAAAGCCATTCTTAATAGCCATGACATCTTTAATAGCATTGAAGAAATTGATGTGTTTACCGACAACTGCGCAGCACAATTTAAAAGCAGGTACGTGATATCCAATTTATGCTTTTTAGAGGATGATTTGAATATGAAAGTGACATGGAATCACTTTGCTGCCAGTCATGGTAAGGGTGCGGTAGATGGTATAGGGGGCATCGTCAAAGGTAAAGTGTGGATCGCAGTAAAAAGTAGGAAGGCTCTTGTAAATTCTGCTAAGGACTTCTATGATTGTGCTACAAAAGAATGCGTCAAAATAAATGTACTGTATATCCCAAAAGAGGAAGTAGAAGGAAATGAAGCCTTCTTAGATTTGAGATTTAGTAAGGCTATGGAAATTCCTGGGATACAGTCCTACCACTGCTTCCAGCGAGCAGACGAAACGCATGTATAAGCTCAGAGATCATGTGTATCAAAGAAGGTAAAAATTCAAGTTTTACAACCTAAAGCAAAGCACAGATTGAGATATAATGATGTGTACTCCTCGTCAGAAGATGAATCATGGCCAGCCCTGCTTGAGGATTTTGAGGAATTTCCATCTACTCCAGAAATATATGATGACCTTTCTTCCGATATTCCAGTGTGTAACAAGACAGACGATGACGATGTGGAAGAGGGAGACTGGGTTGCTGTGGTCTATGATGACTGGTATCCAGGTAGGTAACACTTAAGGGTTTTACATTGTTTAGTTAAAAAAATTAAATAGGCTGGCTAAAAGTAGAAAGTTTTTTTTTTCAAAAATATAAATATAGGCCTATAAACCTAAAATAAGTTAGTGACGTTTGTTGTTAAATATAGCCTATTTCTGAAACACTTTGTAAAGAAAGAATTATAGTGTACTACATGTATTACAATTAATTAAGCCTAATTAATGCTAAATTGTTACAGGTGTTATCGAGAGACGAGATGAAAACTTTATGTCTGTAAATTTTATGCACAAAAGTGGTACTAAGTTTTTTTGGCCGACAGTGCCAGACATCCAGACTCTAACGCCAAATGACATGTTGTGTAAAATAGATGTACCCACATACCCTGTATCTAACAGACATTTTGGAATGGCGGATGAGATAATGGACATGATCCAAGAACTTTATGAGGCATCAAAATAGATTTAAGAGAAAAATGTACAGGTTTTTTTTACAAAAAAGTATGTGATTAAAAAGTGGTTTTTACTTTTAAAACACTTTTTTTTTCAACCTATAATAAACTAATTAGTTATTACAATTAATCACATTAATTTGTTGTTAAGAAAATTGCATTATTTATGGCCTAGATCACCTGAGTAAGGGTACTCGTCCCATCCGTTACAAATTGGTGTCCCATCCGTTACATAGAAACATAATTTTTTGACAGAGAATGTCAAATGCAATAATAAAAACCCATGGATATTAGTAAACTATGCAATGTGATTAAAATATGGTATTTTTCATGTTGTGTTAAAGCCATGGACAGAGCTGGAATATTACCATTAAAGGTAAGACCTCAGACCTCACTTCCAAAATGTGTCCCATCCGTTACGCTTTTTCTAACTTATTCAGATCCTTTCCATATCTGTTTTCTCAAAAACGAAAAGCTTATTGATTTAGATTAACAATTTCTGCAACCATTCATAAGGTAAGATTTCACTCTATGACAAGTATTTAGCTTATAAAGCTTTCTTTATAGCAAAAAACACAGAGCGATTGTCCCATCCGTTACAAAAGAATGGCTGTATATGATTTGGTGTAGCTTACAAAATGTTTGCAAACTCATTGTTTCTTCTTAAATTTGTCAACATTTTTCAATTTTAAAAATATGCCTAGGTTTATGTGCTCATGTGTAAATTATAGAAAATCACAGGTAACTCAGTTTTTATTTACTACGAAAACTACAGCTTTTTTGTATTTTCGGTTCATGATGATGTTTCCTCAAATTTCTGTTGAGACTAAATTAAAGATTAAACATCCCTGTAAAGTACAAATGTCTGTAGGCCTAGTGCTATCATAACTCCTACTTGTTGTGAAAGAGGAAATTTTTCTTCACTCGGTTGAAAGTACAGCAAATCCCCTCATCTGTCAAAGCAGCGTTGAACAAATCATTGCAATCACGTTGTTCACTGTGCCAGAAGCAGGCAGCTACCATCTCCCGGCATGGTTGAGAAACCTTGAAATTAGTAGAAATAAATTAAAACACCTTCATTCACGAGCGTCTTCTCAGAAGTGAGTAAGCTATTCTATATTGTATCTAGAGTCAAGAACATAGAAATAACTAATTATAAAATTAGCAAATTTATATAGGCCAGTTACACCAAATGAAAGTGGTAGTTTATTGCAATTGATTTTACAACCGGTTTATTTTATTCCAGATAGCTCACGGCTAGGCCCTCTTTAAGGTCCTAGGGGATACTGATGTAGTTTTTTGAGTCAAAATAAAGAAATCCGCTCCTAACCACTTCCAGACATACTTTTGTAAAAAAGGATCAACATGTAATTATTTTGGGCGAGATAAGCCAAATCTTGTTGAAAATTTAAGGCATTGTTGATCCCAAATAGCATTATTTGTTATATCAGATGCAAAATATCTTCCATTTTTAAGGTTTGAAATTATGAAATAAATAAAATAAAATAGCCTATTCATTAAAAAAGTTCCATTTTAGATTGTTTTATATCGAACAACATAATTTTCATCGATAAGCAACTTACATTGACCATGAAGCTAAGGTAGTGGTTCCATTCAACAGTGTGGTTGTCTAAACTAGCATCAGCATCGTACTGTTCAAACTTGCACACATCGTGAAGCAACTTGCGTCTCAGGTTCGGCTCATTGTACTTTGCCCTTTAAAAAATATATAGCTGTATTTATTATGTAAAATGGTAATACAAAAACTGAAGCAAATTTTACTGGTAAATCATTTTAAGTTTGAAAGCATTGTTGGATTCAAAGCATTTAAAACTCATTTCAGATTTTATTATTTCAGGAAGGTAGTTATAATATTTGATCCCAGAAACAGTAGGGGTAAGATATTTGTTTGAAATTGCTTTTTTTAGTTCCCGATTTATTGTATTATATGTGTGAATATTTATCTTCGATATAATCTCAGAATTCTTTTAAGATTCAAAGACGAATTGGCCTTACTTACTCTCTCAGTATGGACTTTGCTATTGACTTCTTAGCATTGTTCATATTGCAGATTGTGATGGCAGGGAAGGGAAAGGCAGTGAGGGAGGTTGCTTTGGGTGAAAGGCTCATGATGACAGGACTGTTGCGCCACTTGCTGAACAAGTTGGATATGAAGTAAGCAGCAGTCAGCACGGCAATGACAAACGCAATCACCCAGAATAATCTGCAAATCAAAACTAGCATTTTAATTATATCCCTTACATTTGGACAGTGGCAGATAATATAGGTTCAATTTGAGCGAGGGATGTGTGTAACTTGGAGTAAGATGTAGTGTTGGTCATCTCTATTTTGAGATGGGGACTCTAGTAAAGTTTGTTAACCCAAATAAGGAAGACGAGTGGGTAGATTAGTGACGTTATGTGTTTACTTTGTTTGTAAGATCAGTTGTTTCTGTAGTCAGGATAACTTATTAAAGGCCAAATGAGCCAATCTCGTTTTGAACCTTTGAAAAACTACTCACTTTTCTTTTTACAATCGAGTCATCATCATTCTGATTGTTAGGAGAGCTTAATAACCCAAAGACTTATACCACAGAAAACGTACTACTATACCCAGAATGCCAACCGCATGGTAAAAAGCATTAAGCGGTTTGAGAGAGCTTTGCCTGTCAATCCGTAGGCAGCGCCACCAGCGTTGCTATGATTAGCATAGCAACGCTGGTGGCGCTGCCTACGGATTGACAGGCAAAGCTCTCTCAAACCGCTTAATGCTTTTTACCATGCGGTTGGCATTCTGGGTAATATAGTAGTACGTTTTCTGTGCTTATACACAGCTTTGTTACTTACTGACTATAGTTCTTCACAGTTTATGGCAAACCAAGAGTTGGGTCTGTGTCCTAGGCCGGGTATTGTTCACCTGTGCATCAGCCGGACCTTTATTACTGCCGGTAGACTAAGTTCATTCCAAAGGGGACTAAAGAGTTTACAGCTACAAGTCTGGTTTCTCTTCAAATTGATTTTATTTCATAGCAAATGTCATGCAAATCAGTCATTTACAAATTCTATTCACTTTTACATATTTTGTTGTTGCAAATAAAAATATGCTGATCGATTTGCATCAAATTTGGTATCAAATTGACTCGTTTTTTACAAAATTGCTTGTCATTATTAAGCTCCCTTGTTCCCTTTAGTTCAGTCGAAAACTAAACAATACTTAGGGACAGGGACCCAATCCTTGGTTCGCCATTGACTGTTCAGATATATCATAATACTGTACCCTCATCCCAAATAACTTTAACCAACTACATTTAGTACAAATAAAACCTATTAGCAAATTTCTAGATTTTATAAAATGAGCAGACAGAACAAGTAGTTACTATTTTTTCCTTTATTTTTGTCTCATGATTTCTGCAAATAATAAATAAATATATATACTGTATTTTGTATATAGTTTTGACAAAACATAGAACAATTATTAGGCCTATAGTGTATATAACAACTTTCCCTGAAATATGTTGTATTTTCTCTAAGTGTTAACTACAATTATTGCTCTTTAAATCTGGTAATATACACATACTCGCCTATCAGTTATTGTATCTTGTTATAGTGAATTATTATTTTACTTTGAATAATTCTAATTCATTTATTTTTGCTAAGGATAGATTTGTAACAATATCATATGGTGGAATAGAAAATTTAACATCTAAGTTTACATTTAACCATATGTTTTCCTTGCTTTTAATTAATTGAATTGTTATTTTTGTTTGTTTTAGGTTCATAACATTATCATACTTTAAAAACAAGAAGCTTTCAATTCCTTCAGAATGTCTTGAGATTTTTAGTTTAATTTTGTTTCATAATGATTTGATTTGTTCTGATGGCTTCACCAACAAGATTGTCAGATTTTGAAGAAGACTTATTTGAGTCTGTAGAAAATGAAGTAATGTGAGTTTATTGTCTATGTTGATTAACGGTAAAGGTTATATTGGGCTTAGTAGTAAATTAAAAACTTAGTGGTTCTATGGTACATAAGAGGTGATCTGTAGGCTTATAGTTGTCAAAATCATTATTATTTAATATTCTTTGGAAGGAATTATTGTTTTTCGTTAAACTAACCAATAAGCCTAGACAAATAAATTTTAAAACAAAACAGGGAACATTATCTTGTATAGTCTGGTTAAATATTCTCATTACTTTAGTGAAACATTAATGGAATTGATATTTTAGGTAATTTTCCCTGTATATATCTTTTAAGAGACCAACAATTATGATTAATAATGCTGCTTACATATAACATAAATTTGTTTTTGATGCTCTATATATCTCTCCTGTACAAAAGATTTAAACATTTTAAATTTGGTTAATATTCGAGCACTGTTTCCGACACAAGAATCAATATGTTATCTTAAATATCTGAAATTGATTTTTGCGCCATTTACAGTAGCTTTCGAGTTCTTTCTTTCTATAGGAACAAGTTTTGTTATTTTGTGTGTTGTAGTGTTATTAACAGAAATTGGTATTACGGCATTAATTTAGTTGGTTAGTTATTTTATATAACACCATTACTGTAATTATTTCATTGGAGCCTAACCAGAAAAATATTGTCAATTAGGTTCAACTAAAAGTGTTGAAAAAACAAAAACTGAATAGGTAGAGTGCTATTCAAATAGGTAAGTAAGTTTAGTATCCTGTTAACTACTGTAAATTAATTTTGGTGAAATTGTGTGTGAAGGATGTAAAGAATCTTGTACTACTTGTAAATCACAATATCTTAAGCTTTTAATGTTTTTTTAAGCTTGGTAATTTTGCGAATCCCCCTATAGGAAAGAAGCCATCAGGATAAATGGTACCGTACGGAAAGACCTAGACCCGGAGCCTATTTAATTTTTCATTTCAATGTCCCCAGAGGCCAAAAATCTATTTGTTATTGGTACATGTATCCATGAACTCAGGGAAATAAATATGACTTTTTATGGAATTATTTTCATTAAGATCCAATTAGACAAATTTAAATCCACTTAGTCTGCAGGTTTGCTGTGGTAGAGGTATTTTCTTATTTTATATTTAATAGAAATTGATTGTATATGTATATCCAAAATATTGTAGGCCTAATGATAAAAAAATATGTTGAATAGTGAGCTTAAACACATAGCCTATTGGTATGTTTTTGGACAAATTAGAACTCTATTTACCATGTTAAAAGTCTTTTAAAAAAAATTATCCGACTAGTTACCGTTCATCCAGCTCTTGTTAACATTTGTGGCTCTTGTGGCTTAAACGATTGATGATTGGAACATATTTGTTTATAAAACGCTAGTGGGTTTATTTATTGTAAGGCTTTGCTTTTACTGGCTTATTTTGCAGAAAATTTGTGGAATCAAAATTGGTAAGGATAGATATCTGTAGCTTACTTAACGCTTGTGCAGTAATAAATGTTTTTGGTTTGTGTTTCCACAGTATTTATGTATAGTTGGTAAGTTATCAATACACTCTTTGTACCTACTTAGGTTATCACTGCACATATTTATTGTGCATGCATGGCCCTCTTGTTGAGAATATTGGTTGGGTAAACTTAATCTGTCAACGAATTTGTGTCAAATTTAAAATGAAAGTTTCGTGCTGTAGGCAAGTTTTTTTTACAAAAATTTGATTTTCTTGAACACTAGGCATTAAATAAACTACCTTAATCAATAAACTAAAACAGTCAGAATTATAAATTCAGTATTGATCAGTAATAATTTGTTTGTTTTTTCAACTGATGTTTGTATCGATTCTCGATTCAAGCAGTAACTCAGCCTGTTATATTGACATCTAAATATTATATGGATATCATAACTTCTTGATCAGCATTGTACGTGTTATTAAATTTACGGAAAGTAAATAAAAGAAACGTCTTATAACACTTAAAACATATATTTACGCTTATACTGTTACTCACAAGACGGTAAATATACAAAAAAGATGGTAAGTGGTGATCGATTTCGATTGGACACTCCAATCATCATCAGACCCAATAGGCGAATGATTTTTACAATCGGTACAATCGGTATTAAAGTAGGCGAATGGAATAGGCATTCGCCTATTGGGTCTGATGATGATTGGAGTGTCCAATCGAAATCGATCACCACTTACCATCTTTTTTGTATATTTACCGTCTTGTGAGTAACAGTATAAGCGTAAATATATGTTTTAAGTGTTGTAAGACGTTTCTTTTATTTACTTTCCATGGATATTATTCGTTTTTGGGGTTTCCTGTATTAATAGAATACCCATTTAAATCATATATTTGCAGGTTTGCTGCAATCTTCATTAACTGAATTAAACTTAGCAAGTTTTTTGTTGTTTTCTATCAGATCAATTATCAATTATCAATTATTTAAGATGGGGACGCCACTATGTGCGTATTTTAACCCAAATATGAGTGAAGCATGAGTAGCGTGATCTTGTAGTCTTGTTAGTAACTAAGGCGGACATGTTCCTTATACACAGCTGTTAATTAATAGCCCATACAGCTAATGGCAACTAAGGGATATACAGTTTATAGTGGAATCCGAACCACATTTTTTTCCTTGTAATTAACGAATTGGTCTAATTATCAGGATAGTACTGGGGATAGTCGTTGTTATACTAACCTGGATAGTATTCACTAGTGCGGACGTTAATCCACACAGATGATGAGCTAATCTTTTTTTATGTCTCTGAAAACTTAAATTACATATTGTAGCAGGGTTCTATAGCTCCAACATATTCCAGTTCTTTTAAAAAATCACAAATATTTCAGTTGTGATTAAAGATTGTGTTAAAGTTGTGAAAAAAGGATGTCCCCAAAAACTTCTAATTATTTAATTTTATCCCGAATTTAATTACTTTTTCTCCGCCCTTAATGTTTTGTTCTTGCACCAAGGAGGAAATAAATGGTTTGAATCACATTTTTTTGTGATCTGTGTAAAGTATTTACGTTTGGAGTTTGAGCATGATAAGTGCTGGGACTGGGAGAAGGCTAACTCTTATCTTATTTTACTGTAGTGTGAAGTGCTAAGTCAACGATCCAGGTTTTTTGTCAGCTGACGACTAAATGTCTTGTTGTAATATGTAAATATTTCATTGTAATTTACTGCTACATAGTTAACATCACTAAGTTAGCCACTGTTGTATAATTTAGCTATATTTATTTATGCCTGAAGTCTCCCTGAAAATTACCCCAAAATCCCACCAAAAAGCCTAATTTTTGTATGGCAGGTAGGCTACTGTAGACACTTCTTGGATTTTAAAATTATGTAAAATTTATTTCCATTTTAAGGGTCATAGGGGATAGTTTAACCAGTTGTTGAAATGAGTATCCACACATTTGTTATCATTCAAAGAATACGCAAATGGTCAAAAATTTTAAATGAACTCAAAGGTTTTTTTAAATTGCATTGATCTCTCAATGTTGAGTTTCCAAATAAGCCAAATTCATCCTTAAAGTTACAATCACTTCTTTCACAGAAATTAAAACTTACCTTTCAATGTAATGCAAGCTGGTGTCGCCGACGTAGCGCAGTCCGTGAAGTGATGTGTTCTGACTGAAGTCGTGTGCCTTCTCCGCCCATGCCGTGGCGAGAGGATGGAGAGGCCTACGTCTCTGTATTGGAGGCGCAGAGTTAACCGAAATGTTACGTTTATTGCTCCAAGCAAACCTGCTGATACCAAACTGTGTGCCTTTAGCCATGTCTTGAAAAGCATGGATAGTAGGCATCAATAGTAACTTGTTGGTACGTGGTTTTTGTAATCATTCAAGTATGTTTTTGTTTGTCGAACTGTCGGTAAACTTTTAAAACAGAAAGTGATCTTCTGAAAGCTCTGATGGTTGTCAAAAGTCAAACTTGTTTTGGCAGAAGCCTATTACTTACATCTACTAATCCATTAGCAGTGTTTTCTGTATCAGTTGTTAAATTAAGTTTATGGATGTGTTGGTTGTGAATGATTTACTTTTTTGTAGAAATTGTCTTTAGTCCTTTAAAGAACACAAACTGATTGTTCATAAGACTTGAATTTCTTTAAATTATTTTTTAAATTTATTCATTAATTTTCTTATTATGGATTTAAAATTCAATTTAAAATTACAATGAGGCCCCAATTACAATTATTAAGGAAACAAAAATTAAATCAAAAAAAAATTCCACAGTGTAAAAGTGTTATTCTTTTCGAGAATGAATAAACTAATGTAGTTTGCTTGTTTATGGATATATTTCAATCAAATATGGCAAATGTTTATTTCATAAAACGCTATTAATATTTTATTAACTTTTCTGTAGCAGCAAACCTAAGTAATCATACAACTTTATTTTATTTAAATAGGGAATACGTTAAATCTGACAAGGTTTATTTTAGTAAAAATCAAACTATGCAATTGAAAATTTACTCAGTCTGCAGGATTGCTGTGGCATGGGTATTTTTTAAACTACAGTGGAACCTCGATAAGAAAACCCTCGATAACAAGTGTAATTTTCAAATCCCCTTGAATTTATTTTACCCTTTATCACATGTTATTTCTATCCTCAATAAGAAGTCAACCTTGATAACAAGTCTTATGTGATAATTCCCATGAGAGTCTTGTTATCGAGGTCCTACTGTATGACCTTTGATACAAATTGTTATTTCCCCCTTTATGTGACCTTGATGGATTTAATTTTTTTAAGTTATCTTTTTTGCTTTTTTGTCTCAAAACAATTATTTTCAGGGTGAAGATGGAGGAGGAGGAAGAAAACACTAAGAAGTCTCGTCGTAAGCGCAAGCCGAAGAGAGACTTCAGCCCTGATATAGAAGGTGGTGAAGTAGATAGGTAAACAAAATATGTAGTAAAATGTTGTTAAAAATTATGTTTATTATGCACTGTGTAAGTAGTATCAAAACAGTTGTAGCAAAATTGTTTTGTGTAGCTAAACCTGTTTTTGGTATAAATATGGTATTTTTATTCATTAGCCAAGATCAGAGGAGATTCAGAATGTTACATGACCAAGTTTAGAACCATACATATACATAACAAAAATTATTCTGGTATTGCAATCATTATGATTATAATAAACCAAAATTTGTGATTTACTTGATTAAGAATGTAGTAAGTATACTAAAACTTCATTCATCGCATGTCCCTTTCCAGATTATCAATTCTACTCAAATGTAACAAATTTAACAAAAGATATCAACTTCTCATCTTGCTGATTGCTAAACACTTTCTACAAAGTATCACTCACAAAAGCAATTGGCATTTATTATTGAATTTAAAAAGTAATAATTCTTGTCATAGATGCATGTATGAAAAAGTGAGAATTGGTTGCAATTAGTCTAGCTAACATGGTTTCAATTAATTTGCAGTCAAGAAGCATTTGAAGAAGAAGAGGAGAAGAAGCCGAAAAAGAGAGGTCGTAAAAAGAAGAAGAAAGAACCAGAAGTACCTGATGAAGAGCTAACAGATCTTCAGCACATTTTTAGGTATAAGGGTGGTAAATCTTGCTAGTATAGGCTATATTGTGTGTTTTAATAAATCTCTGAAACTTTTTTTGGGACTTTTTAATTTATGTATAATTTTTACTAGTATAATTTTCTAAACTAAAACATTTCTGTGATTTGCTTTACAAACCAACCGAATAATGTATTTTTTGTAAAATACTAGACAATAGCTTAATGACAGTGTGACTAAAATAACATTGCCTTTTTGCAGCCTTTTTTACCAATAAAATATCACACTATAATAATGGTACTATACGTCGTCAAGTAATCCAAAAAATTTTTTGGATTACTTGACGAGGTATAGTACCATTATTATATAGTTCGGCCGCTTAGAAAACGACCTGCGCGCTAATGTTAAACCAATGCTGGAGGAGGTCGCTTTCTAAGCGGCCGAACTATAGTCATATAAAGTAATCCAGGGGCCATCAACATGGAATTTAATTTAATAAAATATCACACACTCCTGCTCTGAATTTTCCATAGTTACATACCCTAGGCCCTATACATTAAAATACCGAAGTAACTAGCGTATCCAAGTTTGCAATAGGACTTGGAACACATTTTTGTCTAAAAATTTATGTGTATGAGGTTTGTGGTTACACCATCACAATGAAAACACTGAATGTATCAGTTATTACTAAAGCTGTGTCAAACAGCATCTACTTTTACGATTAACCATTCTAACGACTATGTTATCAGGGTGGTCGAGAGTCTCATGACGGGTCCTAATGCTCCACCATTCCTGGACAAACCAGATCACAATATATATGGAATGTCAGACTACTTTGAGATCATCACAAAACCCATGTGGCTAAGAGAAGGTATGTTTACACAATAAACACTCCCATTGTGGCGGTATTTAATGTTTTAGAGTTGTCCTGTAAATCAACTTGATCCAATTTTTCTGGTGTATTCAATTATGCACACTGTCCAGTTTTTTCATCACCATTAGTTCATCACCCTTCAGTGTTTTTTTTTTTCTGAATTCTGTCTCAAGCATTAACTGGTTGCATGGTGGAAGTTTTTATATTCCTAATTCCTAGTGATACATTATTCTGTTTGCAAAAGAATCACAATGTTACGTCTTCTTATGTAAACTTGATAAAGCAAAGCTAACTGCATATTTTGTAAGTTGTTAAAATTTAGTGCTATTTAAAAACTTGACCACAAACTTTGTACTATATTGATTATTGGGGTATTTCCGAATATATAACTTTATCACAAACTGTAAGTAGTTAAAATTGAGTGTGTGCTCATTACTTTTTCACAAACTTTACTGTTAATGTTGGGTGCAAATACATCATTTCATCACACACTATATTTTGGTACAGTTGAGCGCAAGTACGGAGCGGAGGAGTACACCAGTCCGACGGAGATAGCTGCTGATGTTAGACTGATGTTGGAGAACTGCTACCACTACTGGGGGCCCTGCGACACTCTGTCTAAGCGCGCGCTCAAGCTGGAGCAGGCGTTCGAGACCAAGCTGGCAGCCCTGCCTGAGTGAGTCATTTAAACTTATCTATACAAATACAAATACCTCCGCCGCAGCAAGCCTGCATACCAAGCAAATTTCCATTTGCCTGATTATATTTTTACTAAATATTTAATTTATTTCAGATGTATTCCCCATTTAAATAACATTAGATTTAATGAGTAGTTAGGTTTGCTGCTTTTGGGAAAGGGGAAAAGTGTTGGGTGAATAAATAATATTGTCTATTGTTTTGATCAAATGTTAATAGTACAGGATGAAATAAATAAATTTGCCAAATTTGATCAACTAAACATCCATAAATAAGCAATCTACAACAGTCTTCTTTTTCTCCACAAGAGTAACATGAAAATTTTGAATGTACAGTTTTTTCCAAATTTCTTTGTTAACTTTACTTGTAGGCCTACAACACTTCAACTATGGTACCTCAACAACTACTTCCTAATAGGAAAATTCGCTAATACAATTTTGTCTGCCATTAGGCTAGAATTGTGAAGGTTTTTGGTTATTTTTATGTTATTGTCTATTGTGAATGAAAATCAAAACAAGACTTATCTTGAATTCCTTCTGTCTTGTGTTTAGTTCTCAACATAAAGTTTAATTATACCTTCATCCAAGTGATTCATATTTTAATTAAAGATAATATACACTTTGTTTTTAACTTTGTTGATTTTGTTGTGACAGACATGTGAAGCAACTGTGCACCCTGGAAGCAACTCACGGAGACATAGTGAAAGAGGAACCAGACGAAACATCACCAAAGACCAACAAGAAAGGTTTGATAAACCAGTAAATTTGAATTGTTTGTAAATAAAAGGCTAGTGGTTGATTTGTAACAATTTCTCTTAGTGAGTCTTAAATGGTTAGATGTAGAGCTTTAATGTACTTTAACACTAATACCGAAACCCCACCTAGGCTGACGTTAATCGAAACCCCCGGTCTGTGAGATCCCATTTGAAAAATAATGGACCCCGCTTAGAAACACACAAACCGAAACCCTCGGTCTGTGAGACCCCGCTTTAAAACACACTAACGCTGGGCTTCTGAGACGGACATGTTTTGAACAAACAAAACAACCTGTCAAGGTCATGGCACCCATGCAAAATGAACAAACGATATATCAATAGGTAGGGGAGGAAAAGGGGGGAAGGTATTGAGGGAATGGAATCTACCAAGTAAACAGTGTTGCCAACATGCGTTTTTGAAAATTCCCGTGGGCCTGTCAGACCGGGGTTTCGGTATTAGTGTTCAAACAGTAGAGTCCCACTATTATAAAAATATGGGTAATCCAAAAATTATTATTTGTAACGGTACAAAGCTAACTACGTTACCAAGAATGCCGTCAAAGCAATGTGGTCATAAATGTAAGAAAACACTGCAGTTTTGCAGCAAAAGCAAACATCAAAAGAGCTATTAATATTTGCAACAAACTTCACCAAAGCTGGTAGCATTGCTGTAGTTAGCGATATCAATTTGCTGTTGGCAATAATCATAATTATGTTTATTAGTAATGTTAGCAATAACACTGAGATGGTTGAAGATTTTAGCAATGATTTCACGAATGTTAAAAAGGCTACAGATGTCGCTGCAAACGTAGGCAATGTTATGGATGTTGCCTACAATAGAGAACAATAGCGACATTCAAAACTCTGAAATGTTGTAGAAACATCGTCTCCTGTGATAACATCAATGTTGTTATTATCTCCCGCATATAATAGAACGGACGCGTTGCAGAAAGTCAACAGTCCCGGAAGGTCAAATAATTAATACCTGTGCCGCTAGGTCAAAAACTACAATGTTTGCAGTTTCTGTAGATCAAAAATCCCAGTAAGTCAAATAGTACAGTCCGAGCTAAAAACGTGGTCTATGTTAAAGCAATTGACTTATTGGGAATTTGACTTAATGCAACAGCAGTTTTAATATAACGAAATAAGATAAAATATAAGTTCAGTTTCGCTGAGTCAACAGTGCCGGAAGGTCAAAAGTATAATCTGTTAAAAACAACGTTAGTCCTCTCGACGCAAGACTTCAATAATTTCGTGTTTTGGTGTAAAGTTGTGCTAAAATTTTGAAAATTGGCACAGAGCTTCTTGGTTAGTCCTACTCGATGACTATTTTGTTGGAACTTAAAACTATTTACCGATCTAATTAATAAAAATGGATATGTATGGTGAAATAGTTTTAAATCGTGATTTCTAACATGAAAAAGTTAGCATGCGAGATTTTTTTTGTTTTTGGGTTAGAGAGGTTTCGTCTGTGGCAAAGTTGTAGCCAAAAGTGTGATGCGTAAAATATATTTTTTTTGAATTTTTTACAATCAGTGGTTCAATAGATAACTTGGGTTGAAGAGAACGGAAAATTTAGCATTTCACAACGCATGGAAAGAACTACATCGTACGATGCGACTGCTGAGTGGACTTTTAATTTACAGTTCTAAGAACAAGAAAAAGATGAATATACAAATCACCAGTACATTCATATTATTTATAAAACATCTTTCTGTATTACCAGCTTACATTTTTCACTTATAAGAATACATCATAAACAGGGTGTTAAAAATAAGCGGGGAGATACTTTACCTAGTAATTCCTTGGGTCAAAATAAACAGAAAATCAAGGATAATATTTTTTCCGAAATCGTTTCGTTAACCAGATATCCACCATTTTGTATTTTTTACATACAAATATTTATCTTTGCACTTTTCCAACCGATGTTTATGAAACTTGGTATGTATGTTGAGGTAGGAGAGACCCATGTTATAAAAAAAGATTCATCTCGATTCACCCTAAAATTTCAAAATTTAACACTTAACTACAAAATAATATACTTTACTACACCGCAATATTTACGTATCACCATAAATCTTTAACAAAATAAAACGTTAACATTTTTTAAAATCCAAAGTAAATCAATATAATCTTTCTTTTTTGAAAAATATATTTAAAAAAAGGCGATGTTAAAATAACGACAGGCGAGTTTCGATCTGGGTGTTTCAGGTTTGAATCTAGGAGGATTTAACATTAATTAGGTAACATTAATGTTTAATCCTCCTAGGTCTGAACTGATTGAGAGGAATACATGAAACCGAAGGGGGGAGGTAGCAACAAGTGCACTAGTATTTACTAGTGTCCAATTACAATTTGATGGATTTAACCAAAACCTTTTCTATTTCACTTATTTTCAGCTGTTAAATTTCAAATGATACGTTTTAGCGACATCATTAACGTTATTATCATCATCATCGTTTGAGTTTGGGTTTGCGGCAATGTATTTTTATGAATAAAACCTTTAATTTGATACCAAACTTGACCTCTGCTGTTATTAATTGACTGTATGCACTATTAATTAACAGCTGTGTCTAAGGATTATGTCGGCCTTAGTCACAAACAGGACAACAAGATCGCTCCACTCATCCCACACTCATCTCCATTCATACTTGGCTTAAAATGCATACATTTGTATGGTCGCCATTTCAAAGCAACATGGCTACATTATCAATGACAAACGTGGAAAACCTTATACGAGTGTGAGTAAGTCCGAAAACAGAGTAAGTCCAAAAACAACTCTAAAACACAATAAGCAATAAATTGCAAGAACCGTTGCTTATATCATTGGGTATACACGTATGTACTGACGTGTATACTCAATGCTTATATCGAACGAATGTACATCGTGAGAATTTCCATTAGTTGTTCCATTTAGTTGTGTGTCCATTAGTATAATAGTTTAGTTGACTCTTTTAAAGTCAGCGGAAATTGTGACTGTTATTACCCTTGAAATAATGTTTGTGTAGTACTTTGCAATCCTACCAATGCTTATAGAATCATACGATTACAATTTTCTGGTTAGAATATGTCGCATAGAGTGGTGACTACTGTATCTTTTTGGTTTGCTTGTAAAACAGGATCAACAGAGATTTTCCATCGACTTAAACAATACGATACTCTCAAATTGTTTATTGCTATAACAAACTATCACACAGTTTGATGAATATTTGTGTGTAAACCACATACAGTACACCTGTATTATATCTATTTTTCCTTTTATTTTTCCAAGACTTTATAGAAAATCACGCATTACGTGATCAGTGAAGAAAGGCTGTAGCCCATGTGTTTTATAGGTAAAGAAGTAAAGAAGAACACTGCTTCAGGTCAGAGCATTCAGTTATCATCAGCAATTGTAATTCCCGAATCAGTAACTGAATCAATAGTCAATTATGTTAGGGTTTGTTGATTATTTATAATGCACTTTATATGCTCCATTTGATAGTTTATAATAATTTACTCGGAATCTATAAGACACCTTTGGCTTGTATTAAATATTGGGTTGGGCCGTTTAGTATTTTGAATACAATAGGGGTACTCGTCAAACAGTTAAATATTATTATTTCTATGAATTTAATGGGTAACTTTAAAGATTAGGTGGAATTTCTAACAATACTTCACTAACAATACTAATCAGCAGCAAACATACATAAGGAATTCCAGTTATTGCAACAGACGCTCTGACCTATTGCATAAGACCTGAAGACGGGTCAACGAATATGCTGAAAAAATAACGAGATAAGTGAGTGTAAAATGACTATTTATATCCGGTCGTCATACGCCACGAGACATTCCGTCAGTGAATGGGGGGCCCACACAAGGGTGAAGATCGATAACGCGCTGCATTTGGAATGGAATAATTAGCACAGGTCCTCGAAAAGTACTAAATTCTCGAGTCCCGAAAAAGTCAAGTGCCCAGAATGTCTTATACACATACGGAAATTCAAGTCCTCAAAATATTGCAATAGTGTATTTTCGTATAAATTCTTGAGACCCGAAAAAGTCAAGTCCCCAAAATGTCTTATACACTTACATATATATGAATTTGAACGGATGGTGCCTCTAGGGACTCAAAACGAAAAATTACATCGGTCCCGGGTCCAGGTGTTGCCATGAGTACTACGGTAATAGCTTATTCCCTATATGCGAAATTCGCTAAAAACCTAATAATTCTATAGAATAACTAGCTGTACCCGCTGGCTTTGCCCCGTTTAACTAATTAATTTTCAAGATGAGCTCGTTCGCATGGCTCAATCACGTCCTGGTTGAAGTTCGTTTGCTACGCTCACTCACCTTTAGGTTGGAGCTCGTTCGCTGAGCTCACTTGCCTTGGGGTTAACTCGCCTCCAGGTTGAAGTTCGTTCGAAACGCTCACTCAGCTTTTGGTTGCAAATTAGCTGTTGTCATAAATTGTTTAATTGACACAGCTGTTAAGATTCATTAATTCCTTTTAAATATGAAAAATCATAAGGTTAACATGGGAAACTCCATAGCCACTGGGGCGAAGCTCGAATGCCCTATCATAATAAAAATTACTCAGTTTTCCTATTTAATGCCCAAAGAATCGGTGTATCGAATTTCAGCCTCCTAGGTAAATGGGAAGTGGGAGAATTAGTGATGATGAGTGAGTGAGAGTGAGTGTGTCAGTGAGGGCTTTGCCTTTTATAAGTATACATAGCACATTCAACCAGCTGTTAGTTAAAACAAATTATATTGGACTGAAACGAATCGATGATTACAAAGAATACTTTAAAAAATAATTTGAACATCCTACTACTGTATTTTTTGCATATTTAATTAATCTGCCATCCTCGTACCGAAGAATTAAATGTATCAATGGTCAGCATTACACATAGTATAAATAAGCCAACCATAAGTATGTATTTGAATTTTTTTCCAAATGCTGAATTTGTGTCACAAATGCTGAATGTTACAGCTGTTATGTTAAGCAAATTATATTGTACTAAAAGCTAGCTAGAATCATTGACTTATTGGAGAAGGTTAGCATCGGCTGCTACACTTTTTAAAAACTAAAACTTAATTTAATAAAAAACTGGGACACTAATTTTAAATTATGGCTTTGAAATTCCCTAGTTCTCAAAATTGTCTTTCTTTCAATCAACACAAAACTAATGAAAATCCATCGTCTGGTTGATTCAGAATCGTGAAAAAATCCCATTTTCGTTTTAATAATATATATATGATAGTTTGGACAGGTTTCAACCCTTCCGAGGCGTAATACATTTACAAAGTTTATATGTAGACTACATTATAACTCATAAAATAGTTCTACAATTAAATGGATCTCCTTTTACAAACGTATATAATAGCCAGAAATTTTCAGATCGTCCTTGCGGGTATTTTATGCCACAAATTTTGACGAAAGGCTATACCTATTTACAGTGTTGACCAAACAGTTGGCAAGAAGCATTAATAGATAAGCTATGTACAAAATATGATAATTTTAGCTCTATTCTAATTATGACAAAACACGAAGTAACTAAAAGCGAGTTTTGTTGGTGTAGTAAGCGTTGCAGGAGGTCTACTTTACACTGAATCGACGTTCACTTTTATTGCTTTTGATCTTCCGGCACTGTTGACTCAGCGAAACTGAACTTGTATTTTACCGTATTTCGTTATATTAAAACTGCTGTTGCATTAGGTCAAATTCCCAATAAGTCAATTGCTTTAACATAGACCACGTTTTTAGCTCGGACTGTATTATTTGACTTACTGGGACTTTTGATCCAGAGACACTGCACACATTGTAGTTTTTGACCTAGCGGCACAGGTATAAATTATTTGATCTTCCGGGACTGTTGACTTCCAGCAACATTCCCTAATAGAACATTGTCATCATCTCTCACCAACTTTTGCCATAACGCCAACATCTTCTACGATCGCAGCTACACAAACATCTACAGTGATCACGATGATTTCTCTATAGATACTTTGTTTTTCCTAAAGAAATTTGCTTATTCCAAATCTCTGCTAATCTGAAAAGGGTTTGGTCTCAGTTAGTTGTAATAGCATGAAAAAAATCAATGCAATATTTTCAATCTACAGCAGACTTAAATGTTTGGATGTATTTTTAACTAGTCATTGTGTAACTTTACTGCAACTTTTATCATTGTTCCAGTTTCAAACCCTCAAAAAGCTATTGACTTTTCTCAGAATCTGTCCGAAAACTTTTGGTTTTTAGGCTAGCACTATAACTAAAGAACAACCAACCATCTCTAGCTCACTTTTTCTGTAAACCGCAAACTTTAATGCAATTTTAAACACCCTATCTTGTGGTGCCTATATTGTACCTCACCTGGAACACAATCTGTAACTTATTTTTAGCTTTGTTTTAGATAAATAACTATTTATATTTGCATGTAGAATTTATTGTCTTTCTAAAAACCGTGTTCTTATTAAATTATTCTAATTTGTTTATTTATAACATAAGTGTTATTCATATGATTAAAACTGTTGCAATAGGAAATGTCTACTCACTGTTCTGTTAAAGTGACAAAGAAGAAAAAATGAACTGTTTGCTGCCAGAAAATGAAATGTATTAATAAAAATGTGTTTTTCATCCCGCGCGTGCTTTGCATGGCACATGGGATTATGTATTTAATTTTAAAATTGCATGAATAAAATTGTTTGAATTGAATTGAACTGAGCCTTATAGAACGGGTGTCGACTTGGGTACTCAAAATCAATCGAAATATGATATGTAACGATTGTAGACTTTGTACTCTGTGCAGGTGGTTATACGTCAAAACTGCTCAACTGGGTGGTGAATGGCAAGAACCGCAGTGACGGCAGTAAAGACTCGGAGGCTCCACCTGTCTCACAAGAGATGATCAAGGCCAAGAGGGAGCTGCGGGCGGCCGCCGAGAGAGAACTGACCATCTGGGAGACGGAGCATATGTTCACAGACGGTGCCAAGGAGCAGATTGCATCAATGTGGGAGGTGACTGTAGATTATGTTTTGCAGATTAAAACTTTTAATGCTTGAATGTATGGTACTTTAAATTACAAGTGTTATATTTTCTGATCTCACCAGTGTTACAGTAGAGCTTCGTGTTTCAGACCTAAACCGGCCTCGGTAAGATCAGATAAGCAAAAAGATTGATTAATATGGAGTAAATCCACTAATGAAATAAACTCTCCGCTTTGTTAAATCTTTTCAAAATATTTAGATATAATTCTTTTAGGATATTTTTTTCTGCTTTGAAGCCACCACTACAAATGATAGAAAAGTACTAATGACGTCAAAAACACCACTGTAAATAATAAGAGAATGCTGAACTTTTTTTCATTCATCTTGTAATTCATTTCCTTATCTATTCTGTGTGGCAGTTTCCAGTGATCGGACAGTTCCTACACCTGGTGTACAACGTGCTCAACATTGATCCCATATCTCATCTAGAGCTAGAGCGAATGTTACTGATACCTCAGGCCTCCAAGACACTGGCTACACTCATCACCTCAATGATAATGTAAGTTGGATTTTTGTGATAAGTTAATGCTTATTTGATGAGTACAGAAAGTGTTTGAAAATGTTAAAATCTTGGCTAAATCTTGGTTTGTGATGAATCTACTTCACTGTCAAAATGAATGGTTTATGCAGGTGGCCAATATATATGGGAAGGTTATTAAAAACTCTTGTCGCTTAACAGGATTTATATGGTAACTATAACTTAAACAGATGATGACATCAGAGTTGTGAAAAGAGATTATGTATATTATAGACTTGGATCGCGACTATTCATAATTAGTTTGTGGTAAAATTATAATAACCAACTTCAGGCTCCCCTGTTTGTTTGTTGGTCTGAATCTGAATATTGATTACTTTGAAATATAGACTAAAAACTCAGTAACTAAATTTTACTCATTTCTTTATTAATTTTGTCTTTAAAATGTTTTACTTCCTCAAATCATTTCATCAACCTTAAGAAGACCTTAGGGAATCCTAAAAAATGTAGGACACTCATTTCTCTTTGCTATTTTTGTCGCTTTTCCTAGTGATTTCAACCTTCTCTGCGATAGGGCAAGACAGTCCAGCCACAAGTGTTCAAAAGATTTACGTTCTGTTCACAAAATTTGCATTGGTCTTTTTGGCTGAGCCCTATGGCTCTCTACTTCCATATTAGTACTTGATCAGTCAACATCCTTACCAACAACAACGAGTTGACAAAAAACTTCTAAAAATCAGAGAGTTTATTTTTATATGTTTGCAGCCCTCCGTTCTTCAGAGCCAAGCTAGAAGGTGGTCCTGCCATGCCGTACTCTGTGTGGACCAGAAGACTTCACACAAAGTTGTGCAGTTGGTATCGCAGCTACCATAGCAAAGGAGACAACACCATAGAGGTGTTTGACAGCCTCGGCATCGAGCCTCAGTTCTGGCTCGTCATGGGAGACGAGAATCCTCTCAACAATCACGAGTTTCATGAACTCAACTTCTTGCAGAGAGTATGGCTGCTGAAAGGCCTGTGTGACTTCTTGTTGGTGAGTCACTGACAGTCATGCTTGGCGATCATCTAATTCTGAGTGTTAACATTTTAATGAGTCAATGGCATAATGTTTGGTAGTAATGATCTACTATAGCAGATGGACAGGATAGACTTTATAAGTGGAAAAACACATTTAATTGGAGATAGAAATGTATAGATGTTTCACACATTGTTCCTAAAAGCTAATTATACCTTAGATTTTGAAAAGTAAAATTTACTTATTTTATTATTATTTAATTTGAACCACCTTAGTGACTTAACTTCTTTAATATGTAGAAATCTGCGGGTCCCCGATTTGTTGGGGTGAGTTTGGGCCAACAGTTGGCCCAAAGGATCGGTTCGGGCCAGAAATCATAGCTTTGGGATTCATGTTAGAGCAGTGCGAACAGCTTGATTTTCAAGTTGATTCAAGCTTATTTTTGATATTGCAGAAAGTGTCACACAAATGCGCAATCAAAAAATTGAGACGATTATAATGTCTCCGCAACCACAGGTGATGTTAACGATTTTGCTGTGATCGTAGACAATGTTCTTGATTTTCCGTGAACTCAGACAATTTTTTTGATTTCACAGTGACCAGGTATTTACAAGTGACTGCAGAAGATGTTTGCGATTACAACTTGACTGTGACGGGGAAGATTTCTTAAATTTCACTGTGATTGTGAGAGCTAATGTACAATACTGTATGCACCGATTGTAGTATTGAAAAAAATTATTTCACTTTGCAAACACAACCCGAAGCAAATAAGTTTGGCCTACTGATTCCAACTAATATGTAATTGATTTAGGGTATACTCAACTAGTGTTTGGATAACTATTAAATGTTTGGGAACAATTTATATATTTTTAAAGGTATATAACTTGATGTTAGTTTTGGTTTTCAGCATAATCATAAGACCATACAAGATCGCATCAATAATCTCGAAACTGAAGAGTTGAGAGAAATGAGGTTGGGAAAGGACCAAGAAGGGTATACTTACCACTATTTCCCCAATTTCAATGAAGTTCGGATCTATAAAATGGCTAAAGTACCTGACACGAAGGTAAATGATCGTGAAAGTAACATTAAGGTTGGTATAAAAATGCATGGGCATTGTTTTGTTTATTAGCATTTAAGTTTTTTCTTATACACCGTGTCCCAAACAAGAATGGATTAAATCTACAGCTTAATATACGTGTTACCAAGGGTCGTAGAAAAGTCAACTATGGCTGATTTTAACCTTAGGTTTTTTTTACCCTTCATCAGTAATCAGCTGTTCCACAGTTGTTGGCATGTTTTGAATTCTAAAAACGTATAGTTTCACTATGGAAATGTAGTTGAAAGCACAATGTATTGAATGGTTTATTGAGACAAAATCTGAGGAGTGATCTTTTTGTCTGGGGACTTGTGAAAGATCAAGTGTATTGCTTACCGATCTCAAACATAGATGAACTAAAAACAAAGGTGAAGCAAAGGGAAGCCTTTCAAAAAATGACCGAGAACATGTAGAGGTTAGGTGGTTAAACCACAGTAGGAAAAACAGGGAAAAAAATTATATAAATTTTATCTTTTATAAAAAAGTGTTTATGCCAGTTTACTTTTTACCCTTTCTTTTTTGGACACATGGTATTTTAAGCTGGTTATTGATCTCAGATTTCTATCTTGGTTTAAAAATATAATCCTAAATCAAGATTAAAACTAGTGATGGGCGGATCCAGGAAAATGTTAGTACCGGATCCGGATCTTGAAAAATTCGGATCCGGATACACACTGTCATAAGGGCGGGTTAAAAAACGTAATTAACAGAATGCCAATTTAAATCATACTGTTTAAAATTAAATTGGTAATGTTTAAAGGTTAATATATCAGTACTGTAACATTGCCCAACCATACAGATCATTGACGTCGGCAATATACAGTACTGAAAAATTGCCTAACCATAGAGGTTATTGATGTCGTAATATACAGTACTGTGACATTGCCTAACCATACAGGTTATTTAGTACGTATTAAAATACAGCACTGTGACATTGCCTAACCATAGAGGTTATTGACGTCGTAATATACGGTACTGTGACATTGCCTAACCATACAGGTTATTTAGTATGTAGTAAAATACAGTACTGTGCCATGCCTAGTCATACAGGTTATTGACGTCGTAATGTACAGTACTGTGACATTGCCTAACCATAGAGGTTATTGACGTCGTAATATACAGTACTGTGACATTGCCTAACCATAGAGGTTATTGACGTCGTAATATACGGTACTGTGACATTGCCTAACCATACAGGTTATTTAGTATGTAGTAAAATACAGTACTGTGCCATGCCTAGTCATACAGGTTATTGACGTCGTAATGTACAGTACTGTGACATTGCCTAACCATAGAGGTTATTGACGTCGTAATATACAGTACTGTGACATTGCCTAACCATAGAGGTTATTGACGTCGTAATATACAGTACTGTGACATTGCCCAACCATACAGGTTATTGACGTCGTAATATACAGTACTGTGACATTGCCCAACCATACAGGTTATTGACGTCGTAATATACAGTACTGTGACATTGCCCAACCATACAGGTTATTACATCGTAATGTACAGCACTGTGACATTGCCCAACCATACAGGTTATTGACGTCGTAATGTACAGTACTGTGACATTGCCCAACCATACAGGTTATTGACATCGTAATATACAGTACTGTGACATTGCCCAACCATACAGGTTATTGACATCGTAATATACAGCACTGTGACATTGCCCAACCATACAGGTTATTGACGTCGTAATGTACAGTACTGTGACAATGCCTAACCATACAGGTTATTGACATCGTAATATACAGCACTGTGACATTGCCCAACCATACAGGTTATTGACGTCGTAATGTACAGTACTGTGACATTGCCTAACCATACAGGTAATTGACATCGTAATATACAGCACTGTGACATTGCCCAACCATACAGGTTATTGACATCGTAATATACAGCACTGTGACATTGCCCAACCATACAGGTTATTGACATCGTAATATACAGCACTGTGACATTGCCCAACCATACAGGTTATTGACGTCGTAATGTACAGTACTGTGACATTGCCTAACCATACAGGTTATTGACGTCGTAATGTACAGCACTGTGACATTGCCCAACCATACAGGTTATTGACGTCGTAATGTACAGTACTGTGACATTGCCCAACCATACAGGTTATTGACGTCGTAATGTACAGTACTGTGACATTGCCCAACCATACAGGTTATTGACATCGTAATATACAATACTGTGACATTGCCCAACCATACAGGTTATTGCCGTCGTAATATACAGTACTGTGGCATTGCCCAACCATACAGGTTATTGCCGTCGTAATATACAGTATTGTGACATTGCCCAACCATACAGGTTATTGACGTCGTAATATACAGCACTGTGACATTGAGTAAAAAATCGGGGGAAAATCAGTCTTGTACATGGATGCAGACAGCTTTGTGTTAGTAAAAAAAATCGGGAAAAATCGGATCCATCAAAACCGGATCCTGCCCAAGATCCGGAATTTTTTGGATCCGTTCGGGTGTCTGTTCTAGCTGGGATCCGGCGGATCCGATAGTCCGATATCCGGATCCGACCATCACTAATTAAAACTAGGCCTACTTAAAGTCTCATTTTGGTATTGCAAGAAATTATTTATCAATGTTATAATAGGTAATGTGGATGACCATTATTACTCTTACGAGTACAGTAAAACCCCTCATATCCAACTCCGGCATATCTGACCTTAGGTCCCAATAAAAGGTGTTGCGACTCCTAAGTTTTGTACGACCCTTATGTACATATCAGTGGTGTGCGAGCAGCTCGAAATTATTAGCCGAGCCAAGCCTCATCTACTGCAAGCTCAAGAGATTAAACGCAAGGTCAGAAAATCAAGCTTGAGCGATTTAACGATTGCAAAGTAATTGGGATTGCAGAGCTCGTATGCAAAGATTGTGCGTTGTGAATGATAAAGTTTCAGTAATCATAGGGGACTTTGGTGATGTTTCTGCAATTGTGGGAGATGTTTAATATTTTTCTGAGACCCTGAAGTGGATGATGATGTCCACAGGACTGCGGTAGACGTACAGAATTTTGCCATGACCCCAGAAAATGATAACAATTTTTCTATGATCCTGGGAGATGTTCAGGATTTTGCTCCGGTTGTGGCTGACGATGATTATTTCCATGAGCATTGAAAAACCATGATGATATTACCATGATAAAATTGTGTATGTATATAAGTAGACCTACGGAATCATAGTAATAATTTCTCATATTCAATTAACACTTTTTTAAGTATAGTACAGAACATTTTCTCAATTTCTTAAAAGATTATTTTATAATATGTATTCATTGTTATTTATAGTTTTTGTGTGTGAAATGAATAAAGTTTCTGACAATGGTATGATCTTGTCATAGTCTGATATGAGGGGTTCTACTGCATCAATAGCATTACATTACAGTGAATTTATTTTTTATAAGAGACTCAAATATTTCTATTAAAATAATGAGTGTGTTAGCAAAGTAATTTTGTAATCTAAAACGCACCCATTGTTACAATTTTACAATATAAACCAAGTCCAGTAAATGAACTATGATTGAAATGTTACTGTTTTGCAATAGCCTAGTATTTAGAGTGGTTTTCTTCATAATCTACATAATACTTAACATGGCAGTTCTTGTATAGCTTGTTCAATATCGCTTCAACACGGCTTTGTTTACTGTACTTGGCCAAGTTGTAACATGTAAGCAGTGATGGAAACATGACTAACAGTTCCGGTTTTCCAGTGGAAGAATTATGAAGGTGGAGTGGAAGAAGCTCTCACCATGTGTGCTGCGGAAGATGAAGAAGATAATCCCCAGGAGTCTAACATTATCTCAGAAGGTAATGAGACTTTCCTACACACCAACCATTGATCATAGAAACAAAACTCATCTCCCATCTGTACTACTTAGTTGTTTTTATTCTCTTTGATTTAATACAATCAACAGAATTCAACCAAATACCTTGTTAAAAGTTAAATTAAAACAAAATTGGAAACATATTAATAACCTACTAACACTTTTATCTAGAACACAAGGTCCTAGGTTTTTGAGGTATTTTGTTGGGATAACAGATAACAGGCTTACCTGAATGTGAAAGAGTCTAATGCGGCACAAGAAAAACAACTTTTTCCCATTCAGGTGTAAGCCTGCTATCCCTTAACAAATCCTGCTAACTCGATAATCTGATTATTTATTTAAAATCACCTGTAAGCCTGAACCAATATTTTCTCCCTAAGAATTGCATTAATAAATTTGTTCATTTGAATCCCAAGTATCCTAAAACTTCCCATACAACCCAGTAAACATTTTTCCACTCAAACATATACTTGATCACAACCTCCTACCTTATGTTTGGCCTTGAAACCTTTCTGATGTTGATCATATGTACAAGACTGATATTTGCGTAGGTGTGTTCAGAAGGCCTCTCCACAAGCCGCCTCGGTCCATGCGACCCAACCACTCGGACTTCAAGCTGGTGTGTGAGTCGCTAGAGGATATCCGAAAATTGGTCGATCAGCTGAGTCAAGTCGACTCACAGACTTCCCAAGACGAGGTTGTCTAAAACTTCCTACTTAACTCAAATTATAGCTAAACTTTAGAACCAATTTAAAATTATATGCGTACATGAAAATGCAGTAGAGTAGACTAGTAACTTATTAAAATGTATACCATTAATGTTTCCAACGCAAAGGCCATCGATTCAATTTTAACCAATTGAATTGGCAATTGGAGAACAAAGAAATAATGGTGATATGTTGATTAATGTCACTCAATATTTTCATTTTGTTTCAATTTTTAAATGTCATGTATAGGTGAATGTTGTGGACTCCATTCACTTTTGGTTTATTTTGGTCCAATCAGGTTTACATGCAATCACCCACAATATTGTCCTAAAAAGCTTATTCTTTACATGGAAACTCGCTAAAATCAATGATAAATGTTTGTTTGTGGAAAATTTAAAAACGTTCCATGTCTTTAGGGTTATTGGAACCTATTTGTTCAGCACATTTTTTTATTCTTGACAAAAAATTAGTGATCCTCATTATTGATCCTAGTTAGTTTTATTGTAATCTCCAGTAACTAACGTGGAATGATTTCACCCAGGGACCAAACGCCGCTCTGGTTAGAGCTCTTCAGAACATCATCACTGATCTAGAGCCCAGGGAAGCCAAGATGGAGCTGGCAGTGTTCAAGACACGCAATAAGATGAGGAACGAGTGGCTTGACCTTCAAAATAGGTGAGAAGAAACATTAAACTAACCCTCTACGGTTCACACTGTTCTTTCCTGCAGCAATTGCACGATATCAATTTTATTTGGTTACTTGAATTTTGTGATTTTATTCATGAAAAACTATTCATGCATACATCTTTAAACACAGCTTCGACAGTAATCCTCCACATCAGTTTGCTTTTGAGTTAAAAAATAACGTAGAAAGCATTAAAGAATTGTACATCATGTTGCAGGAGTCCTAACTACGTGGATCCTGGCATTGCTTATTGGGAACGAAAAGAAAAAGAAGAAAAAAGTGGAATGAATGAAGAAAAACTAGGAGCAAACTTGGGTATGGACGTAGGGGTGCCTGGAACATCTGCTGATGGGCTAACGGATGATGGAAAACGTAAGTTTCTGTGGAAAACATTGGTTGTTAAATTGGTATAGCCTTTTCTTTATAGCTTGATTTTTAATGAAACTAGCCAACTAAGAAATTATAGGCCTTTTTTATGTAAGAGGTCCTAATGGTGTATTTTGCGTAAGAGCCTTAATAGATTGTGACTCCCAAAGATCATATATTCTGTCCAGTACAGCTACCAAAGTAGGGTATGCTCGCTTCAGTTTGTGTTGGTTTTTAAATTGTTGATAGCGAGTAGTGCTTTGAGTTAGGATAGTAAAATCTACCTGAGTAAGAGACGTAAGAATACAATTGATCTAGAGGCTATATCTCCAAATGAATACAATTGTACGTGCAGACTTCATATACCCAATACATAATGATATCCTTCTGATGAAATACCAAAGGTGCCAGTAACTAGATTTACTCGACTCTTCTTAAAGTATAGTTCCTGTTAGGATTATTACAAAAATGCCTAAGAATATTTATTTTTTCCATTATTTGAATTATTGTTGGATTTTATGTTATTTTAAACTAATAGATATTACTATTTTCTGCAATATAAGATATATTTCCAACCCTTAACCAAAATTTTATAAAAAATCGCATTGAAATAGTTTGTTATCTTATTAACTAACCTGTACAATTTTTCATGTATTTTTAGGTGAAAGGCGAACAAGAAGAGAATCTTCTTTAAAACTTCTTTCTAAAGAAGAAAATGGTATGGATGACGAGTCCCAAGAGGAAAGTCCCTTAGATTTTGATGATGATTCAGAAGATGAATGGTTTGCAAGTAAAAAAGACAAGGAAATCAAAAAGAAGAAGGAGAAAAAACTCATGTCGGCGAAGAAGATGAAAAAGTTGGCTGATATATCGGATAAAATGCAACAATCAAAAGATTCTGATAAGCTAAATCCACTAACTAGTACAATTAAAAATAACTACAACAACAAAGTAGGGTCCAGTATAGAGCCAGTGAAAATCAAAGAAGAACTCCCTGATCCAGATGAAACTTACAATAAGTTACCCTCTAAAACTTTGGAACAGGCAAATGTAGATCAGACAAAAGAAAGTTTACCACCTAAAAAGCAGTTTATATCTGTCAAAAAAGAATTCATGGAAGGTTCTCAGCCAAATGCCATGACAGCCCCTGTTGTGTCATCACAACACAGCGTCATTCAGACCCTGGTACCTCCTGTCAATGCGACAAACGTCAAAATGGAGAAGGCTTCCAAGCCGATTGCACCTGATTTGTCGAAAGTAAAGCGTTCCAATTCCCCTGAGGGCGATGTAGTTTATATCAGTGACTCTGAAGACTCCCCAGACATCAAACCCAGCCTCAAATTGCTGAATCAGCGGAATAATGTAGAAACAATAAACTACGTAGTTCCTCAACAACAACCACCGATGGGAAATTATATACTTCCAGGCGCTCCTCCTAACCAAGGTCAGTTTGTACCAGTAAATGTCGCTCAACCACAAGTCTACCAGCCAACCCAGCCTATTGCTTATCAGATGCAATCTCCTCAACAGATGGTTCAGCAACCTGTTATAAGACCGAATCCCACCATCGTTAGGCTCCAAGCTACCCCCACACGGCCCAATATTCCGCAAAACCAGAAATTTGTGGTTTTACAACCGAATTCTAACAACACCAATCAGCCTAACCAGTTTGTCAACAAAGGACCAAGGGCTCAGAATAATTTCCCGACTACGCCTACGATGCAGAATGTGAACTGGTTCGGAGGACGGGGTGGGTCTCCTAGGAGTAACGCGACCTACTCTCCCAGACAGAGGGGACCGTTGGTCACGTCTCCCATTCAATCACCTAGAGGAAGAGGTTCGCCCAGAGGATCTCCAGTCACTCCGCCTCGCGGTGGACCGAGGTTCTCAGGTAGAAGTCCGGCAACACCCAACTCCATGAGAATGCCAGCACAGGTGGGTCCTAGAATTCCATCGCCATTGAGAGGTAGAGGACCCGTCGCAGCGGTCAGGCCGGGTCCAGTGAGGAATCTCAACTTTAACAGAAGTCCAGCGAAACCTGTGAGCAAACCAGTGAACGAATTCCCTCCTGAGAGTGACTCACCGGACATAGAAGGCACTCTGGTGGTCAGTATGACAGACACTGGTGGTTTCGGTTACGCCGTGATGTTACCGGACGGTGGAAAAATTAGTTTGACTCAAGATCAGTTAGCGAAAATAAGATCCGACAATGGAGGAACATTGCCTAAAAGATGTAAAGTTCCTCTCAACACTCCTTCAGAACTTGACTAGATCAACTTTTAGGTTGTGTACAAATTATTTTATAACATTGACCCTTTGTGATTGAATGGTTCATATAGTAGATATAAAAGTAAGTGACTTCATTATAGCTTAGGATATTCAACGTGTGAGCAAGACACTGTCACTTTGGCTTCACATCATTGACATAAAAACCAAGGTAAATTTAAGGAATTTTAAAGTTCAAATTCAAATTTTAACTTAAGGCAACAAAACTGTATGGTTACGAGTCAGAATCCTTTGGAAATAATAATCTCAATTTGCCTATCACTTAAAAACAAAAATGCACTGTGCTAAAGTCTTGATATACTTGAGTACTATACACATTTTTTTCTGAAATGTACCTATTTCAGAACCATTTTTTCCTGTTAGAATACTTATTGTAGAAAATGGTGTTAAAATTGTAATTCAGTCATTTGTGTTAAACTGTACAAAATTACCAGTAGTAATTAAATGTATATTGGTCATTGATAAATGGCTGATTCTACCATCTCTACAGCAAAAAGAAAATGTATGATAACCCGATTCAGGGAAAATCACTTGATTTCCCTTCATAAAAATATCTAACAGTGATACTTTACAGTTTCCTACAAATAAACATCTAACAATTTTTTTAACTAAAGCATTCAAGCAACTATTTATAAGCATGAAGCATTCTACCACAAAGGGTATATTTATGATTTGTACATATCTGTATTTAAAATAGATTGTGAATTTTACATGTTATAAAGTTAAGGAAAAACTATTTTTATATTCAGTTATAAAATTAAATTTTGTTTTAATTTTAAGTAAAATAATGTTAATATGTATGTACATTTGTAAATCTAAAATAATGATATTATTAAAAATTACTATATTTTTCTCTTTAAGTTTTAGCTAACCACCAAACTAAAACAAGGATCTGTAAAATCTTCCAAATGTTTTTGGAAACCTTCCAATTGATATGAATGGAGTAGTATTTTATACCTTAACAAAAGGTTCATTAGCAAAGATAGAATTTTGATTGATTGATATGACCATGGATTATTAATAAATCATGAACCTACTGGTAAAAGGTAGGCTGTTAAGTAGATAACCATACACTAAACTCACAGGATCTCATTATATTTTATTGTTTTCTTTGTAAATTTGTTTACAGAAACGTGCAATATCAGTTAGTATCAAAGTCTATCTAGTTTTTTTTTTGTCTGAGAGTTTTTTTTTACACATTTTGATTTTAATTCTCTATGAAAATTAATTGTATTGTTTGTAGAACACAATTTTATGTGTTGTATTTTTCATTTGCGAAATAGTGTTTAGCTTGTAAATATTTGTAACAATGTTTCAATTGTGAAAGTTTTTGCATTTTAAGAATTTCTTACTATTGTTTCGTAGTGATTGTCCAATTTTAGTATTGTTATCACAGATATGTTTGTTTTATAAATATAAAAAATGAATCGTGGTCCAGTTTTGTATTCTGTTATTTACAACCACTGGATTTGAATCATGTAAAAATCAAGCATATAAGTTAGCAGGATTGTATTGTAATAATACTTTGCTATCTATTTACTTATTTATTTCATAGCCTCCTCTAATCCAAGGCCGCGGTGAGACAAAAGTGGCCCACTGTCCCCACAAACAGAAACAGCTGTTCAACAATTTATAATAGAGCATGGCAATGTTTATGTTTACAGTTTGTTATTACCATAGCAACAGGATGGCCAGTGCATTGCCGCACACTAAAAACCTGGTTTTTGAGGAGCCTAATGTTAATTATTTGTACTGTAAATGGATTTGTAATTTTTACAGGATAAATACAGGATCTATATGTGACAACTAACTAGTTTAGTACATTAGTAAAATACCCCAACCGCCCGAGTAGGCCCCTACTTATAGGTTTGCTGCAACAGGGAGAGATACTAAATTGAAACTTATCAAAAACATCTATGTCAGCTAGATAAAGCTCCAAAATAATTATGAACATTTTTAAAATTCATGAAACAAAATGGCGGCCATTTAAAATTTTGTTTCTTAAATAACTTAAAAACCCTTGAGTTTACAAAAATGTTCCAAGAATATCGTAAACTTAATTACAAATCAATTGACACCCTAATCTTCAAGATTGGATGAATATTAACTGAGATATGGCAACATTAGTAATGTTTTTTTTATCAATTATCAATCATTTAGGATGGCTTAAAAATTGCACACCTTTTTACTGCCTTTAAAATTTACACTAAACACCCAAACCTTTGAAATCAGCTGTGGTGAAAGTCAACGTACTTGTTTACAAAATAATCAGCTGATTGTATCGTTGTCTGAAGATGTTATTGTTTATTCAATGTAGTCAGTTCCTCTAACTTTTTACATTCACTTTTAAAGTGTACTCAGACAAACCACTTGGACACTGCACTCAAATCAAGTAAACAGAACCACCACCCTTGAGGGAACCACGACTGGTTGAGGGGGGCAGGGGCAGGCCCGGCTGTTTCGCCGGTATGTGTGTTCATCTCCTAACTCCTTAATGTACAATGCCCCGCTGGCCGCTACCCGCTGGGCCGTTTAGAACAGCCGGTCCGGCGAAGTAGAGAATATCCGGTGGTTTCGCCGGAGCATTTTCCCGGGACCGGAGACGTGTGGGCCATGAGAACTGCGACTGTACGTGTATACTTACGAAATTGTCATCCAGACGCAGCTGCTGGTTAGCATAGGATCAATCTATTTATTTATATGTCACACAATGTACAGCGAACACAGTACCTATCACAAAAATAAAATAATCGGATACTGTTCAAGCTGGCTGTTGTGAATTCATTTTTTCTTTGCTTATTCAAACAATATCACACTAAACTTTTACAATGACAAGGTTGCACAGTATTACAGTTTTACGGTTAGGGTCAAGGCAGTGGCCCTAAGACCTGTCAAAGTTTACGGTGAGATAATATGGGTGAAAGGTTTGTGGGTGTTTGGTGAGGCTATTGTGCATATTGGGGATTTATGGCGTAATTTGTAGTTATTGTAGTATTGTAGTTGTTGAATGGGTGGTGTTGCATAGCCTCCTAAATGGTATATGGTGATTGCGGTTGGTTGGATTTTGTTGTAGTTCGGGATCTTGGAAGAATATAATCAAGGCAACACTAAAATGTGGCCTTGATATAATGCAAGCTTTTGACGGTTATAAGTATACAAGCAAGTAAGTATACAAGGTTTAATACTTTCTATTGTTGTTGTCTAACTGCAACAGTATAGATTTCCCATCCTTATGGAACAGCTGAAGCCAATTTTATTGTTAATTCTGTCCGGTTTTCTGTAGATGTCGTGTTTTGTTTACAATTTGTTTCTTGTTATTTCAGTACGTAGTTTAAAACATCGTTTAACCTAATAAAACTATATAATCATAAACAATAACTTTTCACTAGCTATATAACCAAACAGTGAGACATAAATAATGAGAAACTAACCCTGAAATAACAGAATTTTTTTCAAACAAAACACGACATCTCTACAGAAAACCGGACAAAACTAACAATAAAATCGGCTTCGGCTGTTCCATAGCTTAATGCTACAACTAACGGGGAGTATGTTTTATCTATGAACTAATCAGGCACAGATCCAACCAAGGCCACACTAAAAAAACGTTACTAGTCCTGAAAATAAGTGTTTACCGGACGAGTGTGGTCGTTCCCGTGCGAGACGAAGTCGAGTACGGGATTACCATACGAGTCCGGTACACACATTTTGGACGAGTTACGTACGATAGTTTACGCCATACTACTAAATCCGTACAAATCCTTATTTCCACCAACTAAAGGACTAAAATTCACTAGTAATAACCTCTCATGTTTTTGTTTATAACTACTCACTGCCACCTAAATACAGTATAATCAGCTGATTGGTGTCCGGCAAAACTCATTGCAGCAAAGTAGTACGCAATGAAACCCCATTTGAATAAGCTGGCGGCAAACTGCTGTTTTCTGGACTAATTCCTTGCGTGGGAAGTTCGTCAAAATAATGTAGTGTGGCGTAAACTTTTTTTTAGTGTGGCCTTGATTCAACTCAAGAAAGAACAGAAGATACAGAGGATGCAATAATCGAAAAAGAATAAATTTAGAAATTTAAAATATCTATAGTATTAATACAAATTGTACTTTTGATGGATCGGGTATTAGTAGCATATCCTGATTAAATCATATCAATCAATTATCAATTATTTAAGATGGGGACGCCACTATATGTGTGTATTTTAACCCAAAATATGTGTGAAGGAAGATTGGCGCAATATTGTAATCTTGTTAGTGACTAAGGCCGTAATTTTCCCTTAGACACAGCTGTTATTTAAAAGCAAAGCACATACAGCCAATGGCAACTAAGGGACCTTCAGTTTTTAGTGGAATCCGAACCACATTTTCCTTGTAACTAACGAATTGGTCAAATTATCAGGGTAGAAATGGTAGAACTGCGCGGATCCGGATAGTCATAGTTACTCACTAGTACGGACGTTAATCCACTCCAGTGAGTATCGCATCCACAGTGCATTTCTATGTGCTATAAATACCTATCCACAATTCGTGACCTCCTAGTTAGTTAGTAGTTGGATTACAGGACGACAGAAAGTGTAACAGTCTACGGTGTAACGTAACGGATATTTTAAAAGGTAACACGATGATTCGGGAGAACAATCTAAAGATAACAGTTTTTCAATTACCGTTTATTTAGTACCATTGATTATTCACTTTTACATATGCTTGAACGTTATGCTATATCAGCTGACTTTGAAAAAACTGCGTGTTCAGTGATTTCTGGTGCTGGCTGCTGGCTTTCAAATTTCGTGACGTCAGTGCAACGACAAACAAATTTTGCGAATGACGCATGCGTATGTTAAAAACCTAGTTCAAGCCCTCCCGGGATTATTTTCTGATTTCTGATTTTGTGCGGTTAAAAAATTATAATCTGTGTAATAGGTATTTAATTTAATTCTATTAACATGGCGAAACAAGAACAAATATTACAAATAAACCCTCTTCATGAACTAAAATTCCGTGGTAAGTGTTCAATCTCGATTAAGTTACTTGTGTTAGTTAATTGCAATATCTTGCTCGCCACACTGAAGAAACGATATTATACACAAATAAAACCCTAACTTGTGTTTTAAATACACTTCAATGTTACAGAATATTACACAATTACGACAAGTGAAAAACATACTTGTTCATTACATCTTTCATGTGTGTTTTGGTTCTCAATGCAGTATTCATAAGTCAGGTTGATGACTGGTCAGCACAAATCCAATTTTAGGCCGAAGACAAGTTCCAGATTTTGGCCACTTAACTCTGGATAATTAGCGCTTCCTATTGGCGCTTATTGCTATTTTCAATGAATTACTTTTTGTACTGCAAATTCAAATTCCATTGTAGGCATAAGTTTAGTTTGTCAAAAAGAAGAGTAAGAAAAATGCTGTTCCTCTTCACCAAACTTATAAACTTAAATTTAGGTCTTTAATTCCCACACATCTGCCAACATAGACTAGAATAACCTAGTATGTTTAGCTAATTTAAAATCCATTATTCCAAGAATTTTGAACCCAAAAGGTGTGTAAGTTTCTTGCCAGTAAATTAAACTAGACTTAGGCTAGGACAAATCTTTTGGTCTAAGTTTACCCTGTGTTATTTAAACTTTAATTGTTTTTTTTAATAACCTCTAGACCAGTAACTTAATGACAGTAGGCTAACATAAAAAATGAACAAACCTCATAACATAAATTTATAGGACTAAGCCTAGCCTATAATAGATTTAACCCTCCGAGTGTTAAGCGTCGCATAATCGACACGCAACACACCCGCCGTGGTGTTATGCGTCGCTTTTGTGACACTCAAACATCGTTTACGGCAAAGGCTCTGGGACTGACTGAATCAGATTGAACTGGATCGAGATTGGTATCGTTGTTTTCGGCAGTTTATAAGCTTTCTCCTGATGTCTGTTTCTAGAAGCTTTTCATTTTAGTTCTGAAAATATTGTAGCAGACAGCTGACGTGCGTATTTGTAAACAACGGTGAGCACTTTTTCACTTTAAATTAGTTGACGAATATCGAAACTGGATAATCAACACTTTTACAGCTCGATTGTTTTTAGAATTTAGTACATCACGATATCAATAGTCCACCCCACTCCTTCCATTCCCGTTCTCCTTTGACTTGTGATTTGTGAAGTTGACAGTTTGAATTTAATAATGGTAGATCATTAGGAGAGAACATATAATTGTAGCGCCTAGGGTCGTAATGTCAATTTTTTAAGAGAATACATAAATTTGTTAATACCTTACGATCAAATTCTTCTTCTGTTTCTATTTATCAGTAGATAGTTATGGGAATAAAATTCAAAGTCAACAGTTGAAAAGCTTATTGCTAAGGTTATGTTCATTGACCAGAATTTGTTTTAATCAAAACTGAATATCATCAGATGGAGGCCATTTCTATTAAACCTAATTTGTATTATTATTGTTAGTATCAACCCAGCTCTTGTAAAAAATGCCAAAATGCCTCCTTCCTGTGAGGGAGTGTAATTTACTCTTTTCCTTATGCTTAAGACTAATAATTTTAGAGCTTAGTGATGAATTAAAAATTACAAAATTATGACCTTGCTCACAAGTTCTTAGAAATTTTATTCCTGATTCCTTCATTAATCTTATTTTTTGTCTGGAGAATTATTATGACCTTGCTCACAGTTCTTAGAAATTTTATTCATGATTCCTTCATTAATCTTATTTTTTGTCTGGAGGTCGATATGATTATAGTAGGCTACTCAAGAGAGTATTGAATTGAATGTAACAGTAACTTATTTAGTATCAATTTATTCAGCTCAAGGAGTCTCTTTTAGTTCCATTTAAGCAATGATAAATCATGTTTATTTTCGGACCTAAAACATCATTTTTTAATGTTTATGATCCATACCGGTATTTTTCTAGTAATCGTGCTTTAAGCCAGTCTCAGTCAAACCAATAAAATTTACTTCGATTCCGATTCGATTACTCTAAAACAATCGAGCGGTAAAAGTATCGATTTTCCAGTTTTGATATTCGTCAACTAATTTGAGGTGAAAAAGTGCCCACGGTAAACAACTTGGTTAACCTCGCACCGATGACTGATGTGTTTTATTACGTTTATCATTGTTTTAGTGTTAAAAATAAAAAGTAGTGATGTACGTGGTGCATTATAAGAAGATTTAAGTGATTTTGAAGGGCTGGTTGATTATCCTGAAGTAGGTAGTTATTGATGTAAATTATCGGCCAGATTTGTAGCTATGGTTAGGCTAAGTTTATGCATTCTTAGCTGCCGCCTAATGTACGAATTACGAAATCTGTTTTTCACCCATAACTTATTTATTTGCAAATTTACTTCCATATATTATTATACTTTTGTAATCCTTTTAAAATTTAGAACAAAGTGGCTATTTTAAATTATTTGTAGACTTATAAATTATAAACTATTGAGCGCAAACATAATTTTTTTTATTTATTTTATAATTTTCTAAAAATGTTAACCCCACAAAAATGTTTGAATTTTTTTTTTGTAATGTTTTATATATATATTTCATTGAAGCCCATAATTTTCCAAACAAAATGATATATAAAACAGTATAATTTACATTGTTTTTAAGTTTCTGAGATACGTTTTAATAAAGCCCTGCAATTGCGCAATAAATGGGCGGACATTAATACCATTACTATGGACACTTGGAGGGTTAAGTCAATAGGATACCGGTACCTAAATTAACTTAACTTAAGTTACAGTATGTTAAGTTAGGCCTAAGTAGGCTAAGTAAACTTAGGTAATAGATCAACATGACATTAATTTCATTTATGCCTAAGCTTAGGCCTTTTTGCGGCAATTAATTACTAACTTATAGGTGCCAGAGGCGTAACAGATTTTTACGGGATCCCCTCTCATGAGTTATTTTTATGAGTTATTTTTTTATACATAATCAAACCCCCCCCCCCCCAGAGTTATTTTTGGACAACCGATACAATTAATGATCAAACAGATTAATCATAGGCCTAAATGGAGTAGGTAGTAAATAAATTATGGACTAGGCTATGTTCCATTAAGGGCGTCTTAAGTATTTCAGTTTTGGTTTGATGAAAAAGTTTCATCATTATATCAATAACAGTTTTTGTAAATAGCTAGTTTTGAAATAAAATCAAAATACTTACCTTATTTTTCATGGGTCTGACTTAGGGGAGGTACGAATGAGGCATTTAGTTCAAAATTCCTCCGTGAACAGCGCTGTAGTAGAGAGCACTTTGGCAATGAAGGTTTACTAATCGCAAAAATAGTTCTGTTCATAAAATAAAATTATAAATGTCTCAAATTCAATTTTATAATTTTTTAATTGTAAAATTAAACTATCATAACCTAACCGAACTAACCAAACTTGCTGATAAAGAAATAATATAACAAAAGTTTGGTAATCGGAAAAATAATTCTGTTTATTAAATAAAACTAGAATTTGCTCGATTAAAATTCTATAATTAAACTGTAATAACCGAACCAAACCAACCAAACTTGCTGATAATAAAAAAATCTTGGACAAAAAGTTAATGCTACCAGCAGGATTCGAACCCGGGACCTACAGAATATCAGCCCGGTACGCTAACCATTAGACCACCGAGGCCGACGGCTACCTACCGTTTTGTTACGGTAATGGCGTTCCCTCAGCTAATAAGAAGCCCACAGCTGTCATCGTAGCCTCTTCTATACCTCCCCTGAGTAAATACCATTTTTCATCCGTATCAGAATGTTTATATCAAGGAGGTTTATTCATTAGTATAGTTTAATCTTTGGTTATAACTAACTCATACACTAAAAGTTAGTTAATTTAAAAGATTGACGGTACTTTTATCGCAGGCTAAAATAGCCTTTGCATTTTTTATTTTATCTTTGTATGGATTTCAAGCGTTAACATTACAAACATGTCTTTAGTATTGGTTAATTGTTAGGTAAAATTAGATATATAGGCCAACAAACACAGTCATTAGTGTAGCAATAAATTTTGTATTTAACAAAATACAATCAATATTAGGGCAAAACTATAAATGTAAAATAATACAATATTAAAAGCCCCCAGCCAACGTTCATGCCTCCAGGCTCCAGGTAACTAATGTTTCAAAATGTTTGCAGACGACATAAGCAGTGTACTAAATCACAGAGAAGTAAAATATTTCCCGGTGACAAAAGTCAGATTGCATAATAGGCCTAATCAATGACCCACGTCATAAAACGTTAAATTTGTTACCTTAGTTCGTTATCACTGAAGAGGCCTATCGAAATTAAACAATAACACCACGTTAAGACTTGTTCAATACAATTGAATGATTGATGATACATTTAAATAAGAATGAAACTCCAATTTTTCGGCCCCACTCGTCTCATGGGCTTCTCTGCTCGCCGTTTTCCGCTCACCGATTCATGGGCCCACTCAGCTCCCGCCCCCCCCCACTCCCCCCCCCCCCCCCGCATTACGGACCCTTCTGTTACGCCACTGATAGGTGCCTCCATACGAATTTTTAATTTTTATGTAACTTTATATTCCTCCCCCCCTGAATCCAAATATCTACTATTAGGCTATTTTTCACCGCTGATTGAATATTTCTCAAGATATTGCCGTAAAATATATAAAATTACAATAAACTAGGTAGGACGGATAACATTTACTTTAAGTGAAATGAACTGTGGGTGAAGTAAGCCAACAGCTGATTGTTTTCAATCAGTCAAGCAAATAGAAGTGACAATTTTTTTAGCTACCTAACTTAAAACTTAACTTTGATTCGGCAGTTTGAAAATCACCTACTACCTTAAACTTTTACTTAAAAGCTTTTCACAAGTTAACACCTTTAATGTAATTTATTATTGTTACCAGTAGGCCTATTTTATACTTACTAGTGTCCCTGTTGCTCGAATTTGAGCAATTGCAAAGTATTACAGTAAAGGTGTTATTTTGAAAATGAATAACAGCTTGATAATTTCCCATGTTAATCTTATGGAGAAATACAAAACTTCTAAGGGCCCCAGGGCCTCACTCGATCTTATTATTTACCTAAAAAGAAAGTTTCCTGCAGAACTTCACGTTGTAGGCCTACGCTCTTTCCAATCACTAAAAACATGTCAATCGGTTCAGTAGTTTCGGAGGAGTAATTGTCACAAAAATCCTGCTTGCGTATTAAATAAGTAGCCTACCTATAGATTAATGATCTATATTTCACCTAAAAAAATTACATAAAATGGTGCTGTTCTAACATAACGTAACCAAACCAAACCTCTAGAACGTTAGCAAACTCCTTTTGGTGTCAGAAAAGGCATGTCAGGGTGGTCGGCCGTGCTTTATGCAAATTCGTGACTGCATTAAGTCCTTTGAAGGTACTTAGGTTAGATTAGGTAAGTTAAAGTTTAGGTTATAATGAATCAAGTTGTTAGTTTATGTCTCCTGCAGACTGTGTTTGTAAAATTAAAATCCTAAAAAACACACACAAGCATTTTTGAAATAGTAATTTGAAGTGTTTTTCTCAAATGATACCTATAGGGCCTAATAAATGTAACATTTAAATATAGGTAGTTTATATAGTGCTTGTAATTTATTCCTTACTTTACAACTTATATCTTCTTCTTCCCCTTTTTCAGAGATTTGTCCTCCTTACTCTCATTCACATTTTTTTCCTTGATGATTTCCTTCTTTTCAAAGTCTGAAGTGTCCCATTGGGTTCCCATCTCTACTATTTCCGGCTTCACAATTGGTTTTCTCAGTGCGCCTGTGCACAAATATTCTAATTTAAGTGAAGATGAGGATGAATTAGTTTCTTGGGAGCAAGAATTTACAGATTCCGCAATTTTAAACTGAACAGGTGGTTCTTCTGCACTTGGGTCTTTCCCATTGCCTTTTATTGGCCTCATCTTGACATGATATACACCGTGTTCTTTATGAACACACAAGGTCGGGGGTACATCTATTTCTATGCTGGAGGTCCGACTTTTTGATTGTTTGGTTGTACTCGGTGCATCTGCAGTTCCGGGTTTCTTTTTAGATTTCTTCCCCTTGAATCCTGTCGGTGTTGTATAGAGCGGTTCTGACATTAGACGGGTTCTCAATGTTTTCTTTCTCACACCCAAAGCTATAGCCCCTGGACGCCATCCGTGAGGAAACTAAATCAAATATATTATGTGAACTGTGCCTGGTCTAAAAATTACAAGTTATACATTCTACTGAGTGTTAAATTTTTGTAGCCTAGAACCTAAGATTAATATTTTTGAGGATCTATAATTATTTTACATTTTGAGGTGTTTAAAAAAAAATGGGGAAAATGATAAATTAAACATATTTTAAGGTTCTTTAGCTCATGCTTTCTGCATTATTTCCTATTTATTCATTTATTCATACGGTAAACACCATTTTTACAATCGATAATACATGAGTGGCAAGTTACAAGATAAATATTTATAAATACAGTATATATATAAGTCAGATTCAGATTCATCTTGCTAGACAATAAAAAGATTGCTAACCTGAAAAATGACATCAACAGGATTGTACCAAAAATGCATTGGCAAACAAAGATTGGATCATTTCACATTGTATTCATTGTATTGCTACCATCCACCTAACCGTATCTCAATTTAGAATTTTCTGGCCAATGAGTGCACCAATTTTTAGTATTCATACCATTCATACTAGGCTTATAAATTGTGAAACTTAAGATTTAAAAGATCTCAGAATTATGTAACACCATACCAATAATTATATTACACGCTTATTTTTAAATTTGGTTTCAGTTGTGACACTTCAAAATAATTGTGTTTAATGTCATATTTTGTTTATATTAAGAGATCTTGAGGTTTTGCAGCCTCAAAATTAATAGACATTCCTTTTCACTTTCTCCCCCTATACATATTATAGGGCCTATATGGAGAAAGTACCGTTTTGTCAACATTTTCATGTTTCAGTTTTAAGTGGATACATCCCTTTTGGGCCCCCCTGAGCAAAAAAAAAAAAAAAAAAAATGGTTCTCAAAGTGATGTCTGTGTGTGTAGGCCTATGTGTGGATGCGTACAGAACTACAGACCACACCTGTCTAGTCCGATTTTGATGAAATTTGGTATATGTGGGTAGGGGAGGTAATCCGTGTTATCTCCAGGCTTTATTTTCATTTTGATTTTAATGGAGATTTTTCTCATAAAAGCCAAAAAGAAAACAGAAAAATCAGATTTTCACAAAAATGGCCTGAACGATTAGGTAAAATTTAATATGTTATGTATAGACTAGTCCATAAATTCTGAACTACATGTTACAAATCCCATTTTCGTGAAAATTATGATTCAAAAGTTGTTGTAACTGATGTTATTTATCAATAAAAAAAATCCCATAAGACAACAATCGGATTTGAGGAAAAAGCCGGATTTGACACAAATTAATCTGTTATGGTCCTTAAAATGCTGAACAAAGTAGTGCAACCTTCCATTGCTGACACAATTACGGTTCAAAATTATTGTGCAACTTTTGTGATTTTCCCAATAAAATATCATTTACTCCCACCGCTTACCCATGTATAGGTTGTTGACAAGCTAATGGGAAAGTACATGTCAGATTGCTGATACACAGTTTATTTTTATTTATACCCCTGCAGATTCTGTGTATCCAAGTATTACTATTGCAACTAGTGTTATATCATATTATGCTATAACATGTCTGATAAATTCAAAGACCGCCTTAGTTATGAAAGTTTTTGGTGCAAATATACAAAAAGTAAGGATGTTTTAAAAGTACAGTAGCAAATTTCTTCAGTGATGAAACTATAAAAGAATCCACCCATTCTTCAATTTTGTATTAGAGCCATTTTGTTTATATTAGGTGAGCCACTCCCTTCAAGCTGTTTCACAGACAGAAGCTTAACTCGTTAAACACCTGGTACCTGACCAAGACAGTGTTAAAACCTCGATATATTGTGCTATTTAATTGGAAGGAGATGTTACACCTGTCGGTTGTCGATTTTGATTGAATCGGAGAAAGTTAAACTTAAATAAATTAGAAGGTGGCAATGTTGGTACGGTGCGACCACAACTTTAGACTAGGCCTACCACGTTTTACTTGCCAACGCTCTTAGGTAAATTCCCGTTTGAAATTGATTCCAAAAATCTTATGTTCTGTCTACCACCTACTTTAAGATTTTTAAAAGTCTGCCATAGTAGGTTTTTCTGTAATAATCTATTATCTAATTTAATAACTGCTGAAGTAATGGAATAAAATCTTAAATTGGTAAAAATTCAAATAATTAGCTTGAAAGGGTAGTGTAAATTCTAAATCAGTTTGCAACCTCCTGGATGTTTACATCACTTTAGGCCTAGTCAGTATTAAAGCATAATTGTTTTATGAACTTCAAACTAAAATGCCATGTGGATATATATAAGGTGTCTACCTGATTTTTTGTAATACTGAAAATTAATCTGTAGTTGAAGTACATAAAATTGCATGTAGATGTCGTAAAACGCTGAAGCTCACAAGATAAGGCCTAATAATTTCACACTCAACACTTACGGGTTCCCCTGTAGCCGTGTCCTCTGAATTCCAAAGCCATCCCATGGTTTTGGGAACAAGTTCCAGTTTTTCAGTGCAGTTCTTATGGCCAACTTTAAGACCTGGATACATGGCTGCCATCAGATCACTTAGCCGGATAGACTTGGTATTCTTACTCTTCCCCGACGGCATCGGGGATCCTGGTGTGAATTTAAATGAACTTGAATTTTTGCTAACAGTTTTAACCAGAGAGTGTTTTTGAGGTTGGCTAGTGCTTGCACCAACAGTCGATACACTGAAAGAACTGTTGGCTTTATTTTGAGGCAAACTGCGTCTTCCTGTGCTCATAATTTTTTGTTAAAAGGTATTCCAACAAAGTAGTAATGATAATTTTTGTTATTGATAATTTTTACTAGCTGAAAATTGAGCTACTTTTATATATTTCACCATGGTAACGATATCATAAGTAGATTTATCAACTTTTTTTACTAGGCTTTACATGAGTAATCTTTTTTGGTTATAATTAATTGTGCTCAGCATACAAATTAATTTATTGGCATTTAACATGGGCTATATTTAAATAAGTCCAAGGTCTAAACAAAATTATAAAAGTAGCAGCCAAAACAAACAAGTTTAGTTAAAAACATTGAGCAGGCCTTAGTAAAACAAATCAAATTCTAAATTATGAACAGCTTAGTTAAGTATGTTTCATTTACAGAATGCTGCTGGGATTTTAACCCCTTATGGGTGACTTTAAGTAAATTTATCCTGATAAGTTTTCTTGCGGACTGCTTGACAGATCAGTAACTTGACGTTAGTTATTTAGGTGCTCTTAGATACCGTAAACATTATTTTATATTCATACTAGCAGAGTACCCGTCCTTCGTATGGGGTTGGGGTATAAGGATAAAATGCTTATTGCAGTTATACCTGGTTTTGTGTTTGCAATGGGAGAGGACAAGGTTGAAGAAAATTTGATTCTTTTAATTTACTTCACCAAGTGATGTAAAAAAGTTGTTTACATCATGCTTGGGATAGGGAAGTTTAACATGGCGGGTTGGGTAAAAAAAGATGAAAACCCTGTTGCCTAGACGTGAAATAGTCAAAATTAGGAGACCAGAAAGAGAGCAATGGAGGTGTGTAGATTGAATGGTAAGGGCTTTTTTAATCCTTTCAATTCCAGCAAACATAAGAGTTTCTCTACTGTTTTTTTATTACTACCTACCCAAAAACCAAAAAGAAGGCCAAACCAATTGTTTTACTGACTTATTGTAGATTTCAAAGTTTGCATAAGTATAGGCCTAGTTTAAATAGTTTCCTTAATAAACCTTTATTATTCAATACTTTTACACATGAAATTTGGAAATGCTCAATTGAATACCTACTTGGTTACCGATATGAAGATTGTATTCAAAATTAAAACTAATTTGTTTAAGTACGTTGTCGGAAAATCAGTAGTCCTATTATTTGTAAGTAGGAGATTTGGAAATTACCTAAAGTTACATTAAGTTCCCATTAATGACTTTAATTTTCTGACAGAAGCTTTTCCTATTAAGCAATCAATCTTGAAAACATGTTTCCCCAACAATATTTAATAAGTCTGCAGTATGTTGTAAATATACCATTAAAGAGGTGCGCACTTGTTTTGATCAATAGACAAATATAATAGAATGAATGTTGTCATTCCAAAAATATAAGGACTTTCTTACACAAGTAAATTCCAATATTGTTAGATAGATTAGTTGGTACTGATCGAATCATTAATTAAGATCGTACACTATCAATTATGTTTTTTCAATCAGTTAAAAAAGCAAGATAATTGTCTTTAGTTGGCTGCTTTGCCCTGTTTTATGTTACTGAGGTGCAGTTTATTACAGGAGTGCTTGTATGTGAGTAATACAATGACTCAACAGTTTGATTGAGGTGCACACATTGATATCTGTATCTCTGTGGTGGTATAGATGATTTTTGCTTTCAACATTCAAAGAGATTTAAGAAAACCGTTCAAATTATTTGTAGGACAACTTTTTATAAATTTTCTAAAATTGGAATGTTAGAGTTTTTTAGTTTATTTTTTGTTTTTGTATTTTTAATATTGTTTGACATTATTTATGTATACATATGTGCATGAAATAATAAATAAAGAAGATTTGATTTGATTTGATTTTCAAGAGATTTTAAAAATGATTTTGCTTGCAGTAGTTCACAAATTTAAATTTGAATCATTTTTGGAAATTCATGTGAAAAATGGATATGATTAAACCACCAATAATATCAAGCATCAACATTGTTAAAAATAGTTTCTCCTTTATACATTTCATATTTATATTGGCATTACAATGGAAATACTGTACTTTTGGCTTACTAATTGTGGTATTTTTATTATTAGAGTTGGACAAAATTAGGGATTTAATTTAAAAAATGTAAATTTCTGGTATAGCAGTGAAATGTTTCATAGAGAAGAAAAATATGAATAATCATAATTTCAATTAATTACGGAAAGTAAATAAAAGAAACGTCTTATAACACTTAAAACATATATTTACGCTTATACTGTTACTCACAAGACGGTAAATATACAAAAACAATGGTAAGTGGTGATCGATTTCGATTGGACACTCCAATCATCATCAGACCCAATAGGCGAATGACAAGAATCTTGAATGGCGTCCCTACTTATACCCTATTGGCTACCGGAAGCACCGGCCAACACATTTTTATAAGTACAACTGGAATCAAAATGTATTTGTTCATTAATCAACTTATTTCTATCTTTACATTTTTCCTTATAAATATACAATTCCTCCCAAGCATTCATTACATATCCTTTCTTACAATTCTTTAAAATATCTAGACTATCCTCCATTTTTCCTAGTGAGTGCCCATTTTGTAACAGGTGTTGTGCGACATTTGATCTTTCCGGTTTGTTGTTCCTCCACGCAGATATGTGGTTTTTGAAGCGGTTTACGAAGTTCACAGTCTGTCCAATGTAGAAGCTATCACAATCGTTACAATTGATTTTATAGATGCCCGAAGTGTCAAATTTGTTACAATCTTCTATTTTTGGATGCAGTATTTTACTCATGGTGTTCTGAGTCCTGTAGGCTATTGAAACTCTGTATTTCTTGAATCTGTTAGCAGTCCTTTGTGTTGTAGTCCCCGTGTAGCTAAATGTGATATATCTGGTGCTTTCCTCTTTTATCTCTTCTAATGTTGTTCTGCTGTTTAGTGTATTCTGTCTATCGATTTTTCTCCTCGTCTTCCTTGCGATGTCCTCTATCGTCTTGGTTCGAAATCCATTCACTTGGGCGATCTTCTTAATGGTGTCCAGTTCTTTTTTCCTATTGGCTTGGCTAAGTGGGATCTTATAGGCTCGGTACAGCATAGATCTAAAGGCTGCGGTCTTGTGGATTGTCGGATGGATAGACTTGTTGTTGATTGTAGTGTCCGTTTGCGTAGGTTTCCTGTAGATGTCAAACTCTATCTTGCTGTCTTTTCTCTCTAGTGTGAGGTCCAGGAAGTTGATCTTTTTGTTTTCTTCAAACTCGTTGGTAAAGGTGAGGTTTGGGTGGTGGCTGTTTAGTGTCTGCATCATCGTTTCATGCTCCTGCTCCTGGGCTTGTCTGAAGATAACAAGAATGTCGTCTACATATCTAACATACAGTTTTACATCATGATTCTTTCTTAAATTCATTAACATTTCTTTTTCCTGGTGCTGTAAAAATATTTCTGACAAAATTGCCGAAAGTGGACTTCCCATAGCTAAACCATCTGTTTGTTCGTAAAATCTATTGTTAAATCTTAAATAATTTTGCTTCAAAACAGTCACAAGCAATTTTACAATCTGATTGACATATTAATCGTCTAAACTATTCTGCAAAAGCCTACATTTAACAAGATCTATAGTTTCTGATACAGGTATGTTTGTGTACAGATTTGCGATATCAAATGAGACTAGCCTACTATTCGAATCTATATCTATGTTCTTTACACGTTCAACAAATTCATAACTATTCTTTACATTGTATACATATTCTAATTCTAAATCATTGCTGAGCTTACTTGCTAACAATTTTGAAACATTGTAGGTAGGAGCACATTTAAAGTTAACTAATGGTCTGATGGGTACATTCTTCTTGTGTATTTTTGGGATCCCTTTCATCACGGGCGCTTTAGAATTTAGGATGTTCATCTTCTGTCGATATTCTTCGGGAATCACTCTGGTGCATCTCTTCACGACGTCGGACAGCTCTCTTTGGTACCTCTGCGTTGGATCCTTTTTCAGCTCTTTGAAGTTATTTTCTTTGATGAAATCTTCCGTCTTCTTTATATATTCTTCTTTTCCGAGCACTACGATGGCGTTGCTTTTGTCTGCTTTCACAACAATTGAGCTATTCTCTTCCAGCTTCTTCTTTATATTGTTGCATGTCTTCAGTTCTTCATTTCTGCTGGGGTCTATGGGTCCTAGGCTGGTGAAATCGTTGGCTGTCACTTCTTTCCGAACGGCATAATGGTCTACGTCTCTGAGTGATTTTACATTTGCTTCGACTTCAGTAGCTAGTAGTTCATTTTCGTCCTTCTTCTTCATTGGGAAATTGTACTTCATTCCGTAGTTCAGTATTTTCGTTTCTTCTTCACTGAATTGAATGTCTGTAAGGTTGATGACTCTCTTCTGGAATTTGTGTTCTGTATTGGTCCTATCCAAGTCTTCATTAGGTGTATTCTTCTCTACGAGTTTGTCTAATTTGTCGTTTATCCGTAAATATTTCCGGTCCATGGCGTCTTCAACCTCTTTACTGACGACTTCGTGTAGTAAATTCCACGCAATTAGTCCGTATAATCTCAAAAATTGTAGGTGGATGTCGTAGGCAATCTGGTTCAGTTCTTCTTTTTCACAGTAAAGTTGTTTGATCATATTTTTGATGAATAATACCTCTCCTTGTTCCTTTGTTCTTTTAGCGGCAGTGGTGTTACAGTTGACCTTGATTTTAGCGTATTGTGGTGTAATCCTCTTCTTGATACATTCTTTGTTGAAGTAAATATCTGCAATCTTCATGGAAATCTTAATTCCATCTTAGTATCTTAGTTCAATTACGGCAATTACAACTTCAGACAACCTCAATTCAATTACAACAACAGAAAACCAGGTCAACGACTCTGTCTTCTGGAAGGAAAACTCACTAATCTTAGTTCAATTAATTCCACCATACTTGTGCAATGTGCATGCTATCAGTAGGCCTAATGTATGCTACCACATAACAATGGTATACAAAATTTCATCTCAAATTTTAAATATAAGAACACCCCACTTTTCTTGAAATGTTGTAGGTGAACACAAAACAATGAAAGTTTCCTGCCAAATGTAATACGATTAGTGGTAAACCTAATTTTAATCCCTACTGTAGGATCTTTATTTGATTTATTTTCTATGACTTCTAAAAGAATTGCTTGCACTTAGGGGCTGAGAAAGTTTTTAATTATTTTATCTAAAAGCTCCAAAAGTTGGGGTTATTAAAGTAGTTTTTTATAGAATTTTAAGGGCTGTTTTAAAAATTTAAAAACTAGTTTTTGTAATGAGCCTAAATAATCTGGTGTGATGCATTGTAAATATAGAAACCAGAAGTTAAGTTGGACAAAGAACCAAAACATTGTCTGACTCATTTAATTATTAACATTGTTCTCTTTTTAGAGGATTTTTCTGACTTGAGAACATCCACCTTTGGCATTTGTGGTTTCATGACTCCTAAGACTTGAATAATGGATAATATTTTGAAGTACAGTATTTAACGGTTTGTCAGACGCTAATATTCTCTAGTCTACAATAAATCTGTTGTTTCAGGCCCGTTCACCGTCCCAGTCACTTCGTACATGAAGCTTACAAACCCGTCAAATCACAAGGTTTGTTTCAAAATCAAAACTACAGCTCCAAAGAAGTACTGCGTCAGACCGAACTCGGGAATTCTCACCCCAAAGGATGTCATAGAGATTGCTGGTAAGATAAGATAATTGAAAACCCACTGTGCGAACACACACACGGATAAACAGAAAGTTTACATTTGAAGCCCAAGTGTTTGTGAATGCATGTTAAAAAGTTTTACAATAAAAAACTTGATCGTGTAATCTGTAACATCTATTCTGTCTATGGTTGTGTTTATCTGTCATTTCAGCTTTGTGATGATTACAAGGTTTTGGAAATTGTGTTTTGTCGATATTTTTAATTGAAAAAAGTTCAAATATGTGTAAATTTTGATAGTTAGTGGCCTAAAACATTAGACTCGTGTCATATTTTGGGTACAAAACATTTTTAAGGTCTTATGATTTACACCTTAATATATTATGTACTTTTATTACAAAGTTAACACTGTAGGATGAAATGAAATGAAAAAAAGTCTTTATTTAAGAGGTGAAGTTAGGACTTGTAAGTCCACCCTACCACTTAACCTCTAAAACATAAATAAATAAAAACTTGTTCACTTATATAAGTAAATTTAAGTAATCTAAAGTGCTACATTAAATAAGTAAACATGAAGAAATAGGATGTGTATTTTAAAGGGAAGATGTCTGAATGATGTGTTTTTAATGGGTGATTTGATTGCTTTAATACTGTCCAAGATCTACTAAATATTTTTACTGCTAGGCCTAGTGTTTAAAAAATAAAATTGTAATCCCAATTTGTTTAGAATGTTTTCAAGCATAGTCCAATTAATTGAAAGTTTAAAGTGTGAATTGTTGTGTCTGAAAACTAACACAGTTTGTGTATTTTTAGTGAGTTTGCAGCCATTCGAGTTTGATCCAAATGAAAAAAATAAACACAAATTCATGGTTCAGACGATGATTGCACCTGATGGGGAAATAAATTTAGACCAGTTGGTAAGTACAAGCGAAGGGGGCTAATGGGATTTACACTGTTGTAGAATCAACACAGTAGCTGTTGCATAACACTACTTATAAGCATATACTGCGGTGAATGAGGTTGTAAAAATCAAATGTTCAACACGTAGCCTATAATTATTGACGTACTTACAAAAATTGATCTTTTTAATTATAAGTCAACCAAAGTAGACCGACCCAGTTTTCTTTTTTCAATGACTAATTATTTACATGTACAGAGTTGCAAACAGAAGTTAAATTATTTGTGTTACTTTCAACTTTTTGATTTTAAGATAATTGTGTCAATCTGTTTACTGATAATTGATTTATTCTTCATTGTTTCACCCTAAGAAATTGTATACTTTATTCAATGACATAATTATGGATGGTAATAGTGATACTGACCTTTGGTAGATTCCAGTACCTGTGGTAAGCTGTACTGGTTTGTTATTGTATGTGTCTCGCCTTTGGTATTTTAAAATATTTTTTTTTAAGGGACAAAAAAATATTGTACAGTCTTGACTGTACCTATTTCTCTTGTGCTCCTTTAAGTTCATAAATAAACATGCCCAGTAAATGTCAAATATGAAATTATCTTAAAAATTTTAAACTTATTCAAATTGTAATCACATATACGGTACTTATGTCCCATTGAACATTTTAGATTTTTTTATGTTGATCGGTCTACCTTAAATTTATTTGCAAAGACCTAGATAGAAATACCAGAGTAGATTTTAAATTGGTTTTTGATGTTGGGCTTTAGAATTGGAATCATGAAATGACATCAAAGAACAGTACTGGGATTGATTTTGTGGAATTCGAACCAAAATTAATTTTATTGAATCCGAACCCTGAATCTGTTTTATTGAATCAGAACTTAAATCAATTTTATGGAATCAGGGCTAGAATTGATTTTTTGTAATAGACTCCAGAATTGGTAGTGTTAAAGTATAAATGAAATTTACCCGTCTCTACTAAAACTGTTTATTTTTCCATCAGTGGAAGGATGTGACAGCAGAGAATCTGATGGATTCCAAGCTCAAGTGTGTGTTTGAGATGCCGGTGGAGGAGAACGCAACCAGCGCAACCGCCCAGGAGACCAGCAGTGCTGTCGAGGAGAATACAAAGCGAGTTGGCGACTCGGTGAGTCACAATTAAATAAATAAATTATTTTATTACCATTACAAAATTACAAAGTAAAAACAGTCTTATTATTGGAAATATAACTGACCACTTAACTGATATGAGTTGTGTGGTCAGTAGAGAACATTTTTAATAATCTAAAAATAAACATTAAGCCAGCCTAGCTCAACATAAAAAAATGACACCTGCTCTGTGATGTTTGACAATCTGTTTCTTAATAAAGCTAAGTAGGTAAACTAAAAAATCAAAGGAAATATATACTATAGTTTAAATTTTTTTAATGATTCCATTTAGATTAGGCATTTTCATGGACAACCTCATACATCATGCTATTTGCAAAATTTTGTTTATATTCATTATCCTCATTCCCAATCTAAATAATGAAGAGTGTACAACAAGGATGAGGCCAGCTGATAACATTATCTGCCACATTTGTAGGCGCACACACACAAACAATGTGAATTCCCACTTGAATTACATGTTGTCTTCAAAATAATATGAAGGTTCTTAAACACACCCCTAAACTGAGTCTCATGAACTTACCCTATCAAGTTTTACTAACAAAACTAATTACTAAATTGTTCCCATGTACTTGTGTGTAATGTTTTAAGTGTTATACATTACATATCTTATATATACTGGTACTGAACTGAAAGAATTACCTGGAGCCACGAGGCTGGAAGAAGCTTTTCAGCACACCCAGCTGGACTGGAGCTGCTAAATCTATTGTAATAATGGTTAAAGAACATAACATTTTAAATCTAATAATAAAAAAAGGCAAAACATAGACTTAGTCAAGCAATCTTAGTAAAGTAAATTTATCCTTACGTATGATTTTATTAGTAAATATTCCCTACAAGACTATAACAGGTTTGCGAGTCTTTAAGACAACACAATAACACACAGAGCATAAAGATTCCTGAAATAATAGTATCAGCTTTTGTAAGTTTAACCCTCTTGGTGTCAGTCATTTTGTGTGTGATAGATTTTCGGGCATTTCACAGCAATGTTATGATAGAAGAATAACATAAATCACTCACTAGGCCGATTACGATGACCTTTACCGTCTTTACGGATAAGCTTGAAAACATTGCAAACATATCATCATCAAGTTAGTCATTATTAATATTTTTTACTCCTAAATACTTAGCATAAACAGATGAAAATCAATATTTATTAGTAAATGTAGTAACAAATAACTTCTAAACAACAACAACAGCAAACAACTTGTAAACTACAACAAGCAACACAGCAACCAAATTATTGACCTTTTTCTCAAAATATCAAATACCCGGAAAAGATATAGAGACAGACCCCAGAAGAAAGTCAGTTTTCTGCTGTTTAAAGTTGTACAGATACTGAAGTATTATAATACTAAGTCCGGAGCCCAAAAGGATTTTTGAGATAAGAATATGCTTAAATGTTAATCGGGAATGTGAGCTTTGATCATGCCAAATTTCAGCCCATTCCGTCCAGTAGTTAATGCGTGATTGAGCAACACACAAACACACACTCAAACTTTCAGATCTATAATATTAGTAAGATAATGTGCAATTGTCGATGCATCAACGCTTGGCAGTCCCATTGTGTGTCTTTGCTGTCGAAGCATAGATGTTTGATACTGGGAGGGTTAACAGGATTGACTTGACTACAGTGCTTCAGAAGGAATATTTTCCATACTTTTTTTCTTTTTTGCAGCCTAGCGTAGCTCACGATGGTGAGTTGGTCAAAGCAGCAAAGGAAGTCAAACATCTGAGGGAAGAGGAAAGCTCTTTGAGACAAGAGAATTTGCAGCTTAAGGTAATGTATTAAAATATGTGTATTACAGTTTCTGGTTAGAAAGGAACAATTGTTTCAGAGTTACATAAGCCTATTGCATTGGACCATAGAAAAATGAACCGTTGACTGCTAAATTATACCTTATATTTGCCTGACCTCGATTCTTAAAACCCTACCTTATTTACTTCCACTATCATATAGGGTCTGTAATAATATGTAAATTTACTTGATCGGTTTATTGATCACATTGTCTTCATCCAAACCCTGTAGTTTATGTAACTTACTAACAATGAATATTTTGGCAACTACTTTGTCTGGTTGTTATAGTTGATAGAGGTATTTGTGTAATATTCAACACCAATCTTCTCCTAAGTTAACTTAAATTTCATCTTGGAAGCGCAATCGAAACCTATTAATGCAAGTTGGATTTGGCTGGTTGAGGAATAAGAATACACAATGTATTCTAGCAGATAAAATTTAGATTGGATTCAATTTGCACTACTTGAACACACCAAGGTGTGTATTTAAAGGCAAAGATGAGTGAGGATGGGTGTTACATTAATAAAACCATTGGTTCCTAAATCAGGGCCAATTAACAATGAAAGCTGGGGTCAGTTTTAAACCATCAAAAAAATTTCCTTAACTTTTCTCACATAAGTCAGATAAGTTCTTTGTACAATTGTAACTCTACTTAACATAGGAGTGTACAGAGATCAAATCCAGGATGCACGTCCAGGATGCATCTAAATAAAATGTTCAGACAAAGTCTACCTACACAAATTAACCCTGATTTTCTGACGCTGATTCCCTTGAAAATGTCTCCTGTGATCTCGTAGAATACAAAAACACCTCCAGTTTAGCTAATGTTGATTGCTAATGATGGTTTCAGGAGGAGCTGATGAGACTCCAGTCCACGCAGTACAAGTCGGCCAGCTACCCTCCTCCCTCTTCTCCCTCCCAGGTTTCCCATGATTCCGCGTACTCCCCACTTTTGATCATCACCGCCATCATTATGGCCATTGTTGGCATCGTCATCGGCAAGTACATACTTTGAACCCAATCTTCCCACCTTCTCGTGTAAAGTAGACGACACAAGCTTCCCCACGTACTCTATGACTTCTTTTAAAATTGGTTATTGTGTATAAACAAACTGACGTTCGGTCGTGAGACGGCTGATAGGGACGAAATGCGAATTAGGCTTATCGTGTTCTTCTGGCTTACTTTGTGTTTGTACATAATTCTTGTAATGTGTTGTAAATGGAAAGTTGAGGGTTCGGTATAGATTATCGTTTCAAAATTCTAGTTGATATATTGTATTTTAAGTATTGGCACTACATGGTTAGCCGTATGTTCTGTCCGTTTTAATATTTAGATATTTTTGTGTTTTAATAATTCCCAGTGAGTTTGTTTCCCCTATGCTAAACATCGAGCTAAAGCTAAGCTTAAATTCATTGTTCAACATGCTGTATTGTGTTTACAATTTTTGTTATCGTATATATATATATCACAGTTATCACCTTACTTGTTGTGTTTGTTTCATGTTACTGACACCCGAAAACTAACATTTTGTCTGCATTTATTCTAAGTTTCTCGTACTTTGTTTGAAAAACAAAACGAGCAGAAGCATTTCCATGTAGTAAAACTCGCATTACATAATACTTCATAGAGTATTGGTTACACGGTTTGCAAAAATATTCATCAGCTATTATATAATATCATGTTCCTTATGTAAAATGAAAACTGTTTTATCAAATGTATACAATTGAATACATTACAAAATACAGATTAGTTGCACCTTTATTTTACCTTGGTTTCGATGAAAAAAATCTCTTCCTCGTACTGTTATTCGTACAATAGTTTGTTTTTTAATATAAGCTGAGAAATCAAAAGGGTAGGTTTTTAATTTTAAAGTTTGATCCACAAAAGTTATAACACTTTGAAAAGAAATAAATTTTGCATTGAATTGTTTATCCAAAATATTGTAGGTTCTTAAAATTCAACAACAAACAGTATTTGAAAATTAAACAATAGAGGAAAGCAGTTGAGTAAGTAGCTGTTAATAGATGAGTATCACAATGTTGAGTACCCAATAGAATTTACAAAAAAAGACAATTCTCAGCACAGTGTGGTAGATAAGAAAATACCCCCGCCGCAGCAAACCTGCATACTAAGCGAATTTCCATTTGCTTGCTTGGATTTACACAAAAATGTCTCCTTAAACATTTATTCCCTATTTAAATAACATGAATTTAACGAGTACTTAGGTTTGCTGCAACAGGGAGGGCAAAAATGTGGTTTTTTTGTAAAATATTTACTTTAAAATAGTTTAGAATGAAATGAATGCATTTTCCAAATTTGATCAAAATATGTTCATAAACAAGCAAACTACAACAGTTTACTTATTCTCCATAAGAATAACATGGGAATTTTAGATTTACAGTTTTTTGGAATTTTCTCCGTAACCATTAGGCGCATAATAACGCTTCGATATACTAAATTATTAGTTTTTTAAGCTCTACAAAATGGTTTGGAAAGAAAATGTTAAATTTTAAGTTTTTAGGGTTAAAAATGAGAAAAACCAATTTTTACCCCATAAAACCCCCCATAAACACCTGTTCCCATAGTCCGATCATGCTGATTCGCGAACTTGTTCGAATAAACGTAGGTTTACATGTTTGTACCAAATTTCATCAAAATCGGATGAGTTTTGCTCGAGTTATCGCGCTAACGGACACATATATAAATACATATATGTATATATATGAATTTGAACGGATGGTGTTTTTGGCCTCTAGGGACCTCAAAACAAAAAAGTAAATTGGTCCCGGGTCCAGGTCTTACCATGAGTACTACGGTAATAGCTTATTCCCTATATGGGAAATTTGCTAAAAGAATCTACATTAACCACAGCTATAGCCAACAATCGTGGACGTCCGGAGGAATCCAATCATTGATACCAATTGACAGCTATAGCCAGATGACCCGAGGCAGACAAAACATGACTTATATATTTTATAAGTCATGAGGTAGGCAAATATATTTGATTTAGTTAGAATCTAAGACTTCCAAGGTAATTTTTGTTTTTAGTATAAATTTCTATAATATTTGCTTAAACCAGATTTTTATCTTACAGTATGGCGTGGCATTCGAGAACCTAAAGAAGCGATGTAAACTACAGTAAATATCACATGGTTAAAGACCCAAAATAAGATAAATTTCATAACCAATTAGAAGCATTATCTGGAAAACGACCTGGTTAAACGGAACATGACTAATCACAGAAATTATGCTAAATAGAATGGTAAATACAATTCACTTGCTAGAATCAATTATGTTTAAAGTTATTTAATTTAATTGTTTTATCCATTGAAATATATTGCTATGCGTTATTAAAGGTATAAATTAAAAATGTTGGTTCGAATAATTTTTGTTATTTAGCGTTTCTTTTCATATTATGCAAGATAAAATTGCATACAGTAAATTTATTTTTAAGAGATGTAATAAATAAAATTCGTTTTCATTGAACAGTTTTTATGTTGGACGCCATATTGAAAAATAGCTATAGAGCTAAAAATTAACAGATTTTTCAGTTTCTGTAAAATATAAACAAACGTAACAGTGTATTCACATAAGAGGGTAATCAGCTGATCTAGGGCTAGAGAGAGTGAAGCTTCGATCACCGAGGTAATAAGTTCGAATTCCACCAATCTTCAATGGACTGTATCCAAGTTATATTGCCACAACCCTCTAGGCCTAGTGTGAATTAATTTTGTAAAACAAATCTAGGATATAAAGATGGGACGTACATATCTCTATATCAGTGTAGATAAACAGTCTATGATATTAATCACTTGCACAAACTTTGTCCAGGCTGTAATTTTTTTGTAAAAACTATTCTTAAATTAAAACACTTAAGAAAATTCTTAGTTTTATTCAGTTTTCAATGTCTGCATTGGTTAACAAGCAACCATCAATATATGTATATTGGTTCCATCTACATATTTTATTGATCTAAAATCCAACCATGACACGAGCATCAACAAACATCGAAACATCACACAAATACAAATAGCAGGCTGTGTGGGATAAAATATTTTACAACAGTCATACCTCCAACTTGTTAAAGAAAATTAAAGATACTGATGTCTAGCAATGGCAGTCTGTAATGAAAGAACAGAGAGAAATCTTGGATCATTAGTGACAAATCGTTACTCTACATGCTAAGGCAACCATTAAATTAGACCTATGATGGTTAAAGTTACTTTCACATTCTGCAGCAAAAACAACGTTCTCTGTACAACAAAGTATTTACTCTGTACTTAAAGTTAATACTTTAATACTTTTATATATACTTTTCTTTGAAATGGTGACCATACAAAGTAGGTACTTTAAGCCAAGTATGAATGGAGATGAGTGGCACGATCTTGTAGTCTTGTTAGTGACTAAGGCCGACATATTCCTTAAGACACAGCTGTTAATTAATAGCCCATACAGCTAACTGGCGACTAAGGGACCTACAGTTTATAGTGGAATCCAAACCACATTTTTTCCTTGGTATATACGAATTGGTCTAATTATCAGGATAGTACTGCGGATAGTCGTAGTACTCACCCATGCGGACGTTAATCCACACCAGGGAGCATCGCATCCACAGTGCATCCCTATAAATATCCACAATTCGTGACCTCCCAGTAGCTGGATTACAGGACAACGCCACCCGTCCCAGTCGTACGTGAAACATATCCAGCAAAGCAAAGGGTGAGCCGGTACAGTGCAAGGATGAGGTGTATTGATAAAAAGTAGCGGCAGTGACCAGGATCTGAACCCACAACATCGCTGCCTTCAATGATACATTTAACAGTATACCAAATTTCATGAAGATATCTTTAATAGTTTAAGATGTATAAATAGTATACCTCACTAGGGCTTAAAAGTGACTCTTTTGAGCAAGGGTAGTCACTTTTGCCTGTGTAATGAACTATATTTTTTGTCATATTGCAAGCAACATTATCTAACTAACTGTAAGCTAGGAAATTAAAATAATCTCATATAAAGAAATCCATTTAAAACAGCTTCCCAACTTGTTTTCAATTTGCTAATGCAAATAAGCAACTGTTTGGTATAATCAATCAATTTGTTTATTACGATTGTGTTAGTTAACCTCTACTGTAGTTCATAGTTCCTAAGGGTATAAAAAAAGGTTCTTTGGATGAATTATCATTTCAGTTTATGACACAATAGGAAGAATAACATTTAATAATTACAAAACATTTTTATTTCACAATGTGCTATGTACAAAATAATACAAAAGTTGCTAGCGTACATTGCTTTTCAGTCGAGACTTAATTGAAAAAAAAATACAACTACTAAATAAAAACATTTTTAAATCCAGGTTTTATTATCATACGATTAAAATCCTTCAAGTCCCAGACCATTAATACAATTTTTTAAGAAAGTATTCAATTTCATAAAATAAGTTGCAGAGTTAGCGTTATATTTGATTTTTTGCTTATATTTTTTTATATAGGGCCTATAGTTTTTTTTAGTTATTCATATTATAGTATACAACAGATTTTAAAACAATGTGAAGCATATTTTTGTAATTTTAATTCATTCCTTACAACCCGAAGCACTTATCTATACTTTGGATTCTAAAAAATTAAAATCGTCTAAACCGGTTAAATGTACAGTTTTTACATAAGGTGTTGAAAATAGGTTATGTAAAACAGTAACATTATTTCACCTAACCACGAATTGTTGTGTAACCAATATTAAAATGGCTCTTGGCTAATTCAAAAACAATTTAAACTACTGACTCAGATGCAATATCTGAGCAAGGAAAATATCTTTGGTTTGAAAAGCTAAGCGAACATTACTAGACTTTTTATTCATTAGAGTGGAGAAAGAGAGCAACAGGAGTACTACGGAAGCAGCTTATTTCAGAAACGTTTACTAATTAGGTTTAAAATTCTAATTTTATAATTATTTATAAGGTTTAACTACAATCCGATGAGAGAAAATATCACAACAAACTACCTAAAGATAAAACATACTGAAATTCCACAATGTAGTAAATAGTTTTTTTTTACTTCCTATGTACTTACAGTGGTTGGAAATAACTACTAATCTCATTGCTTATATTATGTACATAAAAAAAAAAATGGTCACTATCAAAATCAGCCGAAATAATAATGTAGGAAAATAAACTAAAAGTAGTCACATCAAACCAATGGCGAAATAATACTATCCAATATTATGAACGTAAACTACAAGGACTTTCAATTTATTCTAACAAAAAGTTGGATTCATATTATGACAATAGAATAAAGAAGTAAAAAAAAGTATGACAATGAAAACAGTTCATACTGCCAAAAAACCATGTAATGTTTTGACAAAATGAACAGTAGACCACATGAGAATGTTTTAATGAGAAGTGGTGTTGTTTCTATACGGGAGTTGCTATTAACTGCTAGTATTTTTATCGATTCTGATAAAAATATCGATATTCATCTTCAAAGATGTAAAAATCTGGTAGTTCATTCCAATAAAAATCAAGTAAGAACTAGATTTTGATGCTAAATCACAAATTTCTCCAGTTAAGTGAAAACTAAATGGCCCTAGTAAACTAGATATAATAAAATATTTCAAAATGTGATAGTTCGGATGGATGTTAACTGCGTTTATCTTTGATTTATTATTTCAATGCTTTTCATTGTAGACTGCTATATATCTGATAAAAATAAAAAAAACATGTTTAAAACTTAGTCAGGACTATAACATAATCAAAGGTGATACACTGTAATTAATTTCAACAGAAGTTTTGTTAGGTCTTTAGTTATTTTATTTATGTATATTTTTTTTTGTCCTGAGTAAGAAACTCTAACTTTTATTGTGAACAGTCACAAATATTGGTAGGCCTACATCCAAATTATTTTACACTCAGCCTGAAAATTTTGCAGCCCAGCATTAAAACCTATGTGCACTTGAATTATATTGCAAAAAAGTAAAAAAGAATTAAAGTATATACATTGCCAGCCCACATAACGTGTGAAAAATACAAAGTCGGAATTAAGTAGTGTGAAGTTTTCAAACGAGGTGGATTAGGAGAATACTATCACACGCATAAATAAACTCGGTTATTGAACCAAATTGCAAATATAGTTTAATCATATTCGTGACTGCTTTCCCGTTTGTTGATGAGCAGATCTTTCTCTTCATGTGTCGCCTCCAAGGTCGTCACCCTGGACAGTTTACTGAGGCCTTCCTTCACCCCACATTGACTGACTCTGTAACATAAATCAAGGATGAGGAAAGGTCAAAGTATGTTTGTAATACAATATTTAGGAGATAAAAAAAAACTAATGGAACTTGGGCAAATCACTTTTACTTTATCCCCTATTCATAGTATGGAGAAAGAATTGTTTTCATCAAAATTTTCAAGTTTGACTTTTGAGTGGATATATCCGATTTTGGCCCACTGAACCCAAAAAAGTATCTGTGTGTGTTTGTCTGTATGTGTGGTGGATGTGTAGCTACTATTTTGATAAAAAATTATCTCCAGGCATTTTACATTTTTTTAAATTTTGAATTTCAATAGTGATTTTTTCCTATAAACCCCATAAAATAAAGGAATAATCAAAATTTTACAAAAACGGCCCAAACAATTTTTATTAAAATTAGTAGCTTATAGCCTTTTTAACTCTAACTCTTTTTACTCTCTGTAGAAATCACGGTTCAAAAGTTATTGCAGATTTTGTGATTTTCCCCTTAAAATATCATAGTGACTCGCATTGCTTAACCTTCATAAGGGTTGAGGAGATAAAGGGAGAAAGTATGTGTCAGATTGCTGATACCATTTTTTAACATTACTATAGACTACTGATGTACTACACGGTGTTCAGCCAGACAGTGAAGTACATACAACGTAAGTCACGTTGCCCGTGAAGGCCAGCTGGCCGCAGAGATGAAATGACTGTAACGAAACTAGCAATGTTTGATTTGTCAGCCCAAAATGTTGCCATTAAGCTACCGTGCAATGGTTGAAACAATATCTTTCCCAAGTAAACTGGACATTTTAAAAATAATAACAATGAATAAATTATTTTATGAATCATATGATACGTACACAACATCCATTTCGTCATCAGGATCTTCCTCATCTTCATTGGTGACTTGGAAGTATGGGTTTGCTGAAGCCGGTCGGAATTTGTAACCCGTCATGACAAAGAATACATAAGTAACCATCTCCCTAAACATTTCATCCAGCCACTCATACTGAAATGACACTGTCATCTGAAATTAACAAACAATATCATTTAAGTTTCTAGAATCTAACAGTTACACCAAAGAAGTGGCCTACAGTAAATTAATTATGTATTTGCTGAGCTTATGGAACTCTTAACTTCCAAATGTAAACACTGCTACATTTTCAAACAATTAAACACAATTCATATTTAAAATCTGTCAACTGAGACATAATTGTTTTCAAGAACAAACAGTAAACTTAAAAGACTACCAATCCAACCTGTAATAAGTAGACAATTATTCGAGTGAAGTATATGTAGCACACGATCATCACGTAGAAGTGCCTGAATAGCTTGAGCTTTCGGAGATTAATGGCAGCTTTGCCGTCAGTGTGGGATGCTTCCTGTAAATGCCTGATTGACCTGCAACAAAACAAAACATTTTAAAATGCTAAAAAAGGTCTATTGTTACTAAAATATTAGTAACAAAATCAAAGGGTTCTCATTATTGCCATTTAGTACAAGCGATAAGTCATAAAGAGATTGAAAATATTCATTAGGTACAAGGAAATCCATAACTTAAAAATATTGTATGGCTTCTCAAGATCAATAGAACTATTGACTTTTGCATACTGAAATATAAATCCCATTTTCATTACTCTACACACGAAAGTACACTTTCTAAACGTAAAATGAGATAAGAAAATAGGTAATTCCCGCTACTTCACGGAAAAGTTACATAACGTTAACTTTCCGTGCGTATGTACTGCACGGAAAGTAACCGCTATGGGATTTTGCGGTGCAGTCAGATCAGCTGATTGTATTGTTGTTGAAAACACATTCCTCGCTTATATATTGACATTGTCAGTTAGGTTATGTTTGTTGAGATAGATTCTTTGAACTATGTGTACTAATATGGATAATATTCCTGAAACTTTGATGAACAGAGCGGTAAGTGTAACAAACGAATTATTGCCTGATGTGTCGCGTTTAAGATACGAAAATGAATACGATAAGCTTTGTACTTGGTGTCAAAAAGAAAACATTAAACCTAGCCAGGTTAATGATGACATACTTCTAGTCTATATGTCAGAACTGTCGAAAACTATGAAACCTAGCACCTTGTGGAGCAAGTATTCAATGGTTAAAAATGTCTTAAAAGTAAAAGAAAATCTTGGAAATTTAAAATTTCCAAAAACAGTTGCATTTTTAAAGAAAAAGTCTGTTGGTTTCAAACCTAAAAAAGCGAATGTTTTTACATCTGATCAAATTTCTCAGTTCATGATCAACGCTCCCGACAAAGAATGGTTGTTAAGTAAAGTAATTTTGACGTTTGGCATTTTTGGAGCCCTTAGGCGAGATGATCTATTACGCCTTAGCATAAATGACGTAAAAGATTATGGCAGTTTCATTAAGGTTACATTGAGAGATGGTAAAACACATGCTAGCAGAAGTTTCATCATTACAGACGATGAATGTACGTATCAACCCTGCCAGCTAGTACGTAAATATTTGTCTTTACGCCCATCAAAAATGACGAGCCCTAGACTTTTTGTTGGCTTCAGGCAAGGCACGATTTCGGATGTTCCCAAAAAGGTCGCCCAGTACCTTAAGCTAGAACAGCCTGAATCCTACACAGGTCATGCTATTCGACGCACATCCGCGTCAATGCTGGTGGAAGGGGGAGCGGATTTACTCACACTCAAGAGGCACGGAGGCTGGAAAAGTGCAACCGTTGCTGAAGGTTACATTGAGGAGTCCATAAATAGAAAAATTGATGTGTCTAAAAAACTTTTTTCAAAACCAAGTACTTCAATCTCAAATCAAAACAATTCCTCTTTGAATTTACTTCCAATCAGAGACATTACTAATTCAATTTCAAATTACAACAATTCCTCTTTGGATTCACTGCCACTCAATAACATTTCTAACAATGATGAAGAGGTGAATCTGGTTTCAAAATAATATTTTACAATCGACGATGTAATTTCATCAGAAGAAGATACTGTGCAAAATCGCAATTTCATTCAAGAAAATAATAAAGTTGATGGAACACACTCGGAAGTCAATGTTGCAGAAATGAGAAAAAACCTAAAGCTACCACAAAAAATGTTAAACATAAGTGAAAATCAAAACTGCGACTTTAACATACATTTTCATTTTCATTAATAAAGATTTATCAGCGTGTTGATCCTATGTAATCATCAAAGGTCTCTTTCTTTATTTGTTTATTCATCAGCTTGTTCTGTAGTTAATTTAATAAAGATACTTTTTTTTACCCAAAATAGTCTGTTTTTCCTCAAACTATTGGCCATGCAATTATTAATAAGTGCACGGAAAAAACTCATAACGTTAAGTTTCCGTGCTTATGTCGAGGTACATACACACGGAAAGTTAGCGTTATGAGTTTTTTCCGTGCACTTATTAATAATTCAGAGTTGAGTTTTTTTTTCATTAGTTCGGTTTTTTCTCTTAATACTAAGTTAAATAAACGAAAATTTTCATGTTTTTATAAGTTTTCGGTATCGTAATGAAAAATAATGTTCAATACTCGCCTCGAAAGTGTCATTGCGGGGCACGATGGCGTTTCCAGCGCTCGGCTTCGCCTCGCGCGAAAATGCCATCTCTCCCCGCAATGAGTCACTTTCCAGTCTAGTAATGAAAACTACTATTATATGGTCCATTGTTACCCAACCTTTTTACTGGCCTACCACATCTCAAGAAAAAAATACTTTGCGTACCACTTGGTAACGTGGATGTGGTCATTAGGAATGGATGGGTCCTAAAATGGACGGAAATATATGTAACCGATTTTCAGGAGGGATTACATTTAATTTGAGATTTTTACGGTTCAGAATTTGTCTAAACTTTCACCGTGATCACAAGTGACAATGATGATGTATCTACAATCTTTGGAGACATAAATTGGTGATTGATATTAGCTCAATCTGTCAATGAATGAGTAACACAATTCGATGTTCATTTTCATTTAAAGTTTGGTTAACTAACAACTTTAACATGGGACTGGAATGTGTAATTATATCAATATTGAAGGATAGAACCGAGATGTGATTTACAGTTAATTGTCAACAGTTTGAATTTAAATTTCAATACTTTATTACCACTCACCAGACGACGGGGAAGAGAATGGCACCACAACAGAGCAGGTCTACCAACATGAACACGTCCAGCCATGTCTTGTGTTCCACGTCTCCTTCCTCGGACTCCTCAATTATTATTTTTGCTACGTTTGCTAGTACCTAAAACAATATGTGTATTCACCAAACATGCCCAGCATGGGCATACTTATTGTAAAAGTAAAATTAAATACGGCCCTCTACTATGTAATCAACTTTCTTACAAATAAGTTATGCTGGAAAAAAATTCATACAGCATGATTTTTTATCCAATGTTGATAAATTAAAAGATATGCTGTGATGCTTGTTTAATATCAGGTAGGTACGTGTGCCATTTCCCAAAAGGCCTGGTTGTTCCTAGGTAATTTTTTTTATGATAATAATTTCAGTGAGATTTCAAAAGGACAATTCTAAGATAAGTAATTCAAGTATAGTTTATGATTTTCTAGAATATTTGAATTTTAACACGTTTAATGCGGTTTTGCAATAGCTGGTGGTGTAAACAGCTAATGCGCTGCGAGGATGAGTGCGCAAAAACGTTTAAATTTAGTTTAATCCAAATGAAAGGCATATATTGCGTCCCAGACGTTGTGCACATACTTTTAAAAGAACCCAACAGATAACACAAAACAATACTGCTAGCCAGCCCTCAGTGTTGCCAAATGGAGGGAAAAAGCAGAGGTGAAGAACCCAGATACACCATAAAAAATATCACAAAAAAACGGTCAACCACTATTTTGAGATTAGGTTCCTTCCACAATGCTACAGTATATTCATTATCGTTATTCCATTGCATGTCATTAGATCCAATCCTTCACACTACAATAAATTTGTAACAATCCCTACCATCTATAAAATAGTCGGATCTGAAAACGAATTACCGGTATTTCAGATATATTCTGGTACAATAAGCGGCAAGCAAAACGCTAACCTCACATTGGAACAATAGTTTGTAGTATACTCGTCGCGGGTCACTGGAAAGCGGCAGTGGTGACGAGATTACTCGTAATGCGCAGTGAACGTGTTAACTGAATAAAAAATTAGGCTTTTAACTTGATTTAATTATATTTTCCAAACTATATTTTCCAAAAATCACTACGGTAAATTTTTTTACAAAAACACTGCCAAATAAGGAAAATTATTATTACACTTTGTATTAAATAGAATTTTGTATTAAGGACTTAATTGAAGGAATTTTCCTTGATTTACAGGAAACTCAAAATTGTACATAAACACTAAATTTGATGCAAGGTACTTTGAAACACTGCAGTCTTAATAACAAATAGAGGATGTTGATATTTAAGAAAAACTACATTCATCATATTTATTTAAGCCTACTTCTTATCCTAAAAGCTAACATGCGTTATGAGAAATCTTAACAAATAAATGCAATAATGTACTGTACCTATAGCATATTTTTTAAACATTAGACCCACATAAAACTTTTGTTGAAAGCGATGTTTTTAACTCAATTTGAAAATAATCAGTAAATCCAAAGAAAATAAAGAAGAAAAGTTGGAAGGAATAAATAACTAGGAAGGGAATTAAGTTTGACTACTTTAAAAACATGTATATACTTTTCATTCGATGATATTCCACTTGTAACATAGTTAGGTTAGGAGAAAATCACCCTTCTTGTCTTTATATTAAATCATCATGCACCCTTGAGATCCCCAACCGTCCACAAAACCGTTGTATAAACTGAGCTGTAGTTTACAACAATTTTACAAATTATCACGCAAAATAGTAATAAACAGGGTGGTCCACGGGAAACGGATGGATTTAAATAAGCTATTGCTCTTAAAATTTTAAGCATAGAAAGACATCAAAATTAAGGAAAAGTTATGCCATTTACTAAATAAAATACCTTATTTTAAGTTTTGAAAATCCAACTTGCTCAAATTGCGGCCATTGAAACGGATATACATTTCAAGCTTGCTCAAAAATGTTACACTGTTCAGTAAACTATCCATTAATTCGTTTAATTTGGCTCCCGATTGTTGCCTTCAGTTGTTCCAGAGTACATGTTTGTTTTTTTTTTAACCTGTCTTCATGTGACTCCACACCAAAAAGTCATTCATTGACAAGTCCGGTGAAGACGGTAGTCACACAACATCACCAAACCATGAGACCACACGCCCAGCCACACGTATTGGCCTTGTAAGCAGTTGCCCCATCTTGTTGAAACTATATGTTCTTGGTGCAGATTTTCTACCCTTTATGTTCGGGAATGAAAACGTCTCTTATTGTGCAAAATAATTAACGGTGACTGGAGTTCTTTTCTTCAAAGAATGATGGCTCATAAATCCCTCATTTTTTACAGCACACTAAACTGTATTCCAGGTGTTTCTGATTGCATAACTGACTCTTTAGTTCTAAATAAGAAGCCCACCTTAAAATTGTATTCTGACTCGGAAGTTCACCATGACGACCAATACAAAAGTAATGTCTAAAACATCGTTGAGTTTCCACTCTTGACCAACCACGTTGAGTTTCAGTTTACTCACCACTTTAAAAAAAACATCGTATGCCAACATGCAATGATCTTTCATCCACAGTGGCATGATGGCGACTAAATAGCATTGGATGGGGAGCTGAATAACCTTAAATCCGAGTTTCTCACTCTAACAGTTGCAGAGAAACGCGTGATTCAAAAGTGTCCGTTTCCAATAGCAAAATAATAGCAAAATAAAAATTGACAAGCTTAGGACAAACCAATAACCAACCTGTAATGGTATGACGATCATGAATATCTTTTTATCTTTGTCAGATAGAATGTGTTTTATAAACGTCCATCCAGTACCAATAAGTACAATCGTGATGAATAGAACCGATCCTTTCAATCTGAAACCAGAAAATAACTATTAAATTTCAATCTTAGATTAGCTTTAGGGCTGTATTTTCAATTGTGTTTCAAAGGAAGTGTTACTGCTTAGGAATTGGTTTAGTTTAAACCCACACTAGACTTTGCTAATCTCTTAAGGACGTTTCAAAATATGATTCTACTAGATTTATTCTCCATGCCTCTAGCTTACTTTTGACAGGTTAAGTAGTCAAAATTTGTTTATATTAGACAGCTATAAATTTGCATACACCAAGAGTTTTTAATAAATTAAAAAAATCTCTCTGATGTAATTTATTATAAGTTGAATGCAAAGAAGAGACTTCTTACTTTATGTCAATGTTATAAATTAAACTCTGTACTTTTCTGTTATACCATTGGCTATTGTATTAATAGTCAAAGGTTATAGCGACCACATCAGGTTATTACTGTTCTATTGACCACACCAGGTTAGGTTACGTTTTTTTACATAACAAAGTAGACATACTTTCATTTAAAATTTTTTTTACCTAACCTAACTAACCTGGTGGGATCAGTATAACAGAAAACCTATAACTCAAAAAACTTACATAAAACAACATATCTGAAAGGTGTATCGATACTAAAATTTACCAATTGTGTGTAAAAAGTTTAGAAAATTTAAATACAAACAATTCTTATTGCACACTGTGAAATAGTAAAATGTTTAAAAGTGAATTACTCACAAATGAGTGATGTAGTAGAGAATAGCCCAGGCCGCAACATGCTCTCCTCTAATCTGGATGAAGTGATAATTGATGGAGTGGAACATGAGAGACAAAGACTTGAGGTATACCAGGACTGCCATCAAATAGTGGATCTTGTAAACAGGGTGTCTGTGCAAAGATATGAATTTACAAGTTATTTCAACAGTTTAACATGAGAGTAGTCAGAAACTTTCACATTCAGTGATTTATTTCACTTATCAGGGGATATTTTAGTATAATAAAAAACAACATTTCATTCATGACAGTACACCCAATACTTATTTTTAAGTCTGCTTGCTTAGGGTAAATATGTACAAAGTTCTTTGGAAACACTATTTCATGCTTGTGGTTTTAAGCACTTATGTTTCTTATATTCCATAGTCTAATTTCACCACTATCACCAGAACCTTGTCATTTTTTTTACGACCAAAGTTGCTCTTGTTAATTCAAAGAAATCATCACACAACACAAAATAAATGAGGCTGTAGCTGCTAAAGGGGTCTAAGTCGAGATGGGGCCCTTATAGATTAACTATTATTTTGCGATTTTTTTAGATTTGCTATTTCGCTTCCTAATGTCTTCTAGTATAAGCTTTGATCACTTGGAATGGTGTATTTCAGTTTGTTTGGTTGGTATAACTCTGAAAGCCAGCTGGTGTCACCAGGCCCTTCAAGCTTAGACGACTGCCAATGCAGACAGCCAAACATAACCTCTAAACTTTTATCAGCGATTATTTCAAAACATCAGTTTTTGAGATAGGCCCGTTTAGCAGCTACAGCCTCAAATGTCCTTAATTTTTGTTTGTAAAAAACTTAGTTTACATTTCACCTATTGAGTTATACAGCAGTTGGTTTAGAAAACAAAATGTATTCAAGATTTCATGACAAAGCTACTACAGAGTTTGTTTGAGAATATTCAGCAGAACATCCATGGTTTGGTCATCAGCCAACACAATGTCAAACAGTTCTTTGTACTGTTCTAGAGCCTCTTCGATATGATCATTGAGGAACCCAATCTTGAGAACAGTGTCATGAGGTAAACCATCTGCCATTTTAGCATCTCCGACTGAATCTCCAAGTACAATGATATTACTGCGCCCATAAAACTCTGAGTAGCAAGTTTTGTTCTGGATAAGTTTTGCGTTTTTGCTGAAGACGTGAATTATATCGCCTTGACACCCAGCGATTTTCCCATCCTTTATACTGAGAAAATTTGACACAATGTGGACGTTGTTTGTCAAGAAACCTTCATGATTCAGAGACAGTTTCACCACTTCTCCAATCCCAGCCGAAAAGACCAACACCGGAACATTGTTGTTTTGCAATCGGGCCAAACATTCTTTGGTGTGATCTCTAAAAGGCTGCCTGTTTCTTCTGACGTATTTGTCTACAGCATCAATATCCCATTCAACGCCTTTCATGTACTCAATTCCCATTTCCCACCATTTCACCATGTGGGGTATTTTCTCCTCTACAGTTAGCTTTGGGTCAATTTCAATCGGTAGATATTTTTCCAAGTTACGTTTCAGCTTACCCCTTATTTCTTCGTTGACGTTGGAATAGTTTTCAAGAAGACAGAAAGTAGCTTTTGTCACTATTCCATTTTCATGGCTCTTAGTTAAAGTTCTATCGAAGTCAATTATGAGTTGTAATTTTTCTCGACCACTAGAGGCAATGGAATTTATTTTCTCCGATACTTTTGTTGGATTTTTCATATAAACATGAGGCAGTGATAACCACAACGGAGCCTTCAGTTTTTTCATAGTATTACGAAGTAAATTCATTATTTGATTGATGGTAACAGACCAGAGGTTTAATACATTCAATCGAAAAAAATTAAGATTGTACAATATTTGAATTGCTAAGCAACCATGATGTTTGTGTTGTTACTCAGTTTTTAAAATTGTGGTTTTGTTTTCTATTTCTTTGTAAGCTTTTGTTTTATTTCTTCTAGTACTACAAGGGAAGTTTTTTAAGAAACGGCCGTTTTTGCATATCGCTCCTTAGTTTGCATTTATGTTGCAACGAGGCTTCTCGCCGCTTACTGTCATTATTTGTAAACAGAATGGAACCAAGAGTTGTGTATTTTAGCACAATTTTAAGCCAGTTACTCATTAAAATTAGCTTAATTGCATAGTATTTTATATAGGGCATCTTACAGGAGATAGTTGCACAGCATCTTTATTTTCTTGGTGTAACTGTTTTATTGTTTTCACTTGTATTTTATGACACAGTTCATGTTATATTTTATGAACAAAATTAATAGATTTGATTTGATTTAGTATCTTAACGTCAATGCTAAAAAGACTTACTTATTCATACTTACTTGCTCTTAACTAAAATGAACACCCAGAAACAACCCGACAGAAAGAACAGAATGGACATCATCGTGTAAAGAGCTGGTAGAGGCATTTCCCCAGCCGAGAGGTAATTGCCTTTGTTGTTCTCTTCTATCTCCATCTATGAAAATAGATTGCAAAATCACTATAGCCTACTGGCATTTCGGTACGGGATAAATTATTCATGGCTCCTCAAAACCTTCAAATTTCAATACATTTTATAGCATAACAAATTACGTACAAATTTGACTAAAAAATTATTCAACCGTGGCCAAATTGAAAATATTTTATAACCCCCTACAAATTAAAAATAACTATGTCTAAATGAATCAATCTGTATATGTTAGTTATTGGTTAATTATTCAACCAAATATTGCATTATGCTATAAATATGTCAAAAATACATACCGTGAAGTCCAGCGAGACGGGAGAACTACCGTAGTTAGGACAGCTGTGGAAGTAGAGGTTGTACAATCCCTCTTCAGCTTCAGTCGCTACGTAGATGACAAACTGGAAAATATATTAGGCAGAATTGAAACCAACAAATTGCCGATAATTTAGTATTACAGTAAATTGAGTAGTGTATCTATATTTTAATTTATCAATGCTATTACATCATAGCGTTTGTATAGCAAACAATTTAAGAACATTTATAACCCTCTTTATTTGTTAAAATGTTCAAAAAAAGTTCTACAAAATATTAGTAAGATATTCATTCAAACTTACACTAGTGTTGTAAACGCCACGATTCTTATCGTAAACAATCGGAATCTGTAAATCAGCGCAGGAAGACTGCTCTCCTGGAACTGTCATCTTTTGCTCTTTCTCTTCTGAAAATTACATTGTGCATTAGCTTCTTATTAGACCACATAGTATTTCTTACCCTGGGTGCTTTTTCAGTTCACCTATCTTACTGTGTTTTAAGGTTTGTTTCTAAATTTCCAAGGTATATTAAAAGTTATTTGTAAACATAGCTCATGAATTTTAATACAAAATAAGGTTTAGGTTTCCAAAAAAACAGGCATAACAAGATATAACTTTAATATGCAGAACAAGTAATGTTAGGTTATGTTCATAATCTAGGACCATTCCTATAGCAAATTGCTAATTAACCTTCTATTAATATTATTTTGTTGTCTGTCGCAACCAACTGAGCCATCCACTTACAACTGTAAAGGTTTGTAGTTTGTTTAGGTGTAGGCTAAATTACCTATATTTTTGTATAAGAAACAACATAATACTTACGCTGATCCCTCTTCCTGCGTGTGAGCATGAGACTTTGGTCACTGAGTGAGTCTCGCTTGAGCCGCAGTGGTGGGATGGACGAGCGGTTCTTGTAGATGTGCAGGTACCGCAGCTGCTTACTGCAGTTTACCCGCAACTGTCTACTCTTTAGGTCTAGTGTTAACAGTACGGCGTCGGCGCTTGACGACTGCAGCACCGGAGACTCCAGCAGACAGTGCTCCTGGTGTATGTCCAGATACGGGTTCATGGCATCATTCATAGTCCGATCCACGCTGAATCCGTACTGTCGACAATTGTGTGTGTAAAATAGGCAAAAATAGAGCAAGAATTTCAAGTGATATGAATATTTCAAACTCTAGAGAAAATTACATTTGCATTTTTGAAACATTGTTGATATCATACCAATGCTGTTAGTGCATCCAAAATAATATATTAACCCTTAGAGTGCCAGGCGAGAAATAAAAGTAACGCTAAAAAAATGCCGATGATTTTTCCCGAAGGTCGCGCTAAAAATGCCGAGCGCGATCTGGCGATTTTTAGGTTAAAATTTCGTAAAAATCGAATTTTCGATATTTCGACCAACGAAAATCGATGTATCGCATCTAGTAACTTTCGACTCAATGTTAATATATGGGTTAAAAGAATCCGAGTATTCATTCGGTTGTTATGACAACTGTTCGATCATTACGAAACGTCCGGTCAGCCGGACGTTGGCACTTTTGGCTCGTTCTAAAAACGTCCGGTCGGCCGGACGTCGGCACTTTTGGCTCGTTTTAAAAACGTCCGGTTCCCCGGACGTTGGCACTCAAAGGGTTAATCAAAGTTGAATACCCTTTAAGTTAATATTGGGTTTTAAGTTACTAAATCCTAAGTTAAGAGAGAGAGTAAGTGTTGGAATACAATAGTAGAAGTTAGTTTAGGTAATGTTAAATAGCCTAAGAATACAACTTTTTAAAATCTTAACTGGTAGCCTAAACACTTTTTATTCTTTACAATCTACTTACAATGTCAGTTTCTTTTATTTGAGGCGTTCCTTTAAACATCGAAAGCTTAACATCCAAGATGCCTTCTTTGTAAAATCCAAAAGTGCTAAGAGCAATATACTTCCTTTCATCATTCTGAAACAATGAGATTAATATACTGAATATGAGCAAACAGAAGCTTAACGTCAGTAAGTAAAATGAAAAAACAGATGCTAGTGAATTAATGCCTGGCTGCTCCAGCTACAGTTTTGATGTTGCATGGACGTAGGAGAGTTAGTTGACATGTAACACAGTTATCAAACATCTAAAAAAATACCAATAAATTCATCCAATTATTTATTTGCAAGGTTAAATTTAATTCCTAGCTTTCAAGTTTCATCAATTTAAGTTAACTAATTTAAATAATTTAAGTGCAAATGCTCTTCATTGGTTTTAAAGGGAATCCCTAAGTTAGCCCTAATGCAATAATTTGAAATGTTTTGTCTACCACAGAAGAGGTTTTAACTTATGCGATTTTGCTGAGGTAGGCCAGTTAACGATCGTAGTAATGGCTACATCGCTGATAGGCAAAATTGTTTCTTATCCTGGAGCATTGCCAACAAACTTTGTCAAGGAAACCTTTGGATCTTGCATGAGTGAATAGCCCTGATGAAATTAACAACTATTTTGTGTGTGTGGTTGGCAATATTGCAAGTGAGTTAACTCCTGTTGATGGCCATCTTTCACTTGACAAGGTGGAAACATGCTACACCAGCAGAGGTAACATTACTGGTTGTCGATTTTTTTAAAAACAAGCAAGATGTAAGTTATTTGGTAGTCAAAATATCAATAAATATCGGAGAAAAACATCAACCAAATGCTAAATAATGAAATATATCATTTATATCTCTTTAAATTCCATTAACATTTTGTTAGTTACAGGAGAATATAAATAGGCCTAGGTATAACCAAAAAGTTTTCCTCTCAATCTCAATGTGTTATTTGTACTTATCGGACTTATTCCAAAAGGGCTGCTTTCCCCAAATCTATATTAACTCTGATGATCGTGGTTAAGACTATATTTTAACCTCAGATTAAACCTCAGGCTTAAACTGGAAAAATAATTACTTCCAATGCCTTGATGGTACAAGTGATAGTAAAGAATCAATATCTTGTGGGACGTTTCTTTATAGAAGTAAGAACATCAAATAAGTAGCTTACAGTGATTTGTTACAAATCCTCAAAGCTGTTCTTTTCCTTCTCACACATCGTTAATATCGCGATCACCAGTGGCTGACAAGCAGCCCTGCTGATCACTGGCGAGCAGCCTAGTGTGACCCGTGCTTTACTAATCGAATCGATAGTTTCAATCAATATTAGCATAGCCCAGTTAAGAAACTGTACCCTCCATGATTCCCGATCCCTGGATTGTGGAGAAGACAACGGATGGTAAATGGTAAAATGGCAAGCCCTGGCCCTAGGCATAGCCTAAGTTAAAATAGTCGAACTTATATTAACTTATGCACTTAAAATATAATTTAGTAAACTAGCCTAGGTATTAAGAGTCTTCATTATTGAGTAACCTATGTTTATTTTTACACCAAATATAAAGTATTGGAGCTGTAAAAACTTAGTAAATAGGTTAGCAAATATATAAATAAATGGCCACCTACCTTTATATCTAGTTTGTGTATTCTACAACAACAAGATCCAATAAATAATAGCAAATGGACAGCAAATATTGTATGAAGGATTGCCATAGTAATTTAATTTACAGCATTACAATGTCTCAAACAAAACTAGAATTGAATTATTAGTTGACTTATTGCAAAGTGCATTAGTCAATATCTATGACTGCAGGCAGACTGCATCTGCAAGCCTATCTAAATGAACTTTTTTCTTTGACTGTGATATTTTTATTTTATAACATTAAATTGAAAAACAAACAAATTGATGACACTCGACAGTCGACAACATTGAACATTTACTTGGATCCTTGGATGGTTCCGAATGTTCCGATGGTTCCGATGGTTCTGGTTCGGTTCGATACGATAGGTTTCCGTTGGTTCTTCCGTTCTTCCTTCTGTTTGATTCGATACGGATTGGACGATTGGATGGATGGATACGGAGTCACGGACGATGGTAGCCACGGCCGCCTTTAACTACAGGCCGCGGTCTGGTAGAATTGGCAACGTCGCGTCGCAAGCACGGCCACCTTTAACTCCAGGCCACGGCCTTCGAAGTGGCAACGTCACAAGTGGCAATGTCGCAAGTGGCAACGTCGCAAGTGGTGTTGTAACGTAACAGCTGTTTTGTTTGAAAGCAGCGAATGGTATTTTGAATTTTGTATTTACGAAAGATTGGTTACTGGACCATGTCAGTATTGACTCCACTTAAAATGTACAGCTATAGATTTTTAATTCATATTGTTTCGGTTTTCAAAACACCACTTGCGACGTTGCCAATTCTACCAGGCCGTGGCCTGTAGTTAAAGGTGGCCGTGATATTATTCATGTCAACTGTAATTTGTATCGTGTTAAATGTCAACATACTTTCTACGAAACCCATCTGGGGCCCATTTCATAATAAAGTACAAACTAATATTATTAGTAAATCAGCTGATCGCCCAATGCAAATCTAATGGAAATTACAAGTTACAAGTTGTAACTTGTAGCTTGTAGTTTATTATGAAATGGGCCCCTGGTGGTTACTGTATTTGGTCGTTAAAGGGCCGTTGTGGTCGAACCCTACTATACAGTTGCATGTAGAAAAGCATAATCACATTTTCTATGGAGGAATACAGTAAAAAACCAAAAATAACTTTTGTTTGTCTTTCTTAGCAAAAATAGAAATGGCCGACACCGCAGGAAATTGGTGTCTCATCGAGAGTGACCCCGGTATATTTACAGAATTGATCAAGGAATTTGGTAAATATAGTGTCTAAGATAATTATTGGTCACTTAAATTCAATTTAACAACTTCCTTAGAATGGGCTGTAGGCGCAATTGTTTTCTATAAGCCCCATAACAAAACCTAACCTCATTGGGTTAATCTAAAAAGTAGTTTGTCATCCTTATTTGAAACCCCTATTTTGGCCTAAGTATGCCAAAAACAAAACCTGATACTTGTATTTACGCTTATTAGTCCAACCGCCTTCATATTTTTGTTTAATGTCTCGGGTCTCAGTCTCAACATCTTCCCTACTAACAGCAGTTTAAGATTCAGCATCTTGGTCCATTGTTAGTGTGTGTCACTAAACTGAATCAGTGTTTTGGGATTGAAGGAAAAAATAGGGCTTACTATTCTTGGCAATGCGTGTGAATTAGGCTCTAGATTAATCTCAAAGCTCACATTAGGGCCTAGTTTGTGTTTTAAAAGGATAATTAGGCTAATAAACGGATCCTTTCAATTCGTAAAAACTTCTTACAGGCTCTATGGCATCTGCGGCGTTCTTTAACTTAGTTTATCACTGAAAAGCAACTTTTGGGTTGAATCTTATTGTTTTCTGATTGTGTGGGACGAGTAACTTAACTTAATGCTGCCAGGAATGGCTGATGCTAGGTAGGCCTAACCTTAGAACAAGGTAAGCCGAAAGTTAAATTGCCTTAAATAAGTAAAACTATCCTTTACATGTATCAGGAAAAAACTGCTTGTTACAAAGTTTATAGACTTCTGATCTTTGTGATGATCTAACAATCTTTATTAACAACCTAGTCCATGCTGCCAAGCATTCCAGAGTGTTGCTACTTGCAGATGATGCTAAAATCTATAAGGAAGTAACAATGGACTTTGAATGTGAGGAGCTGCAGAGTGACTTGGACAATGTGCTGCGGTGGTGTTCGCAGAATGAGATGGAGTTGAACATATCTAGGCCTAAGTGCGTTGTAGCCTAAGTTACTCTCTTTTTCTCGGCGCAAGAATGTAACGGTGTTCAACTAGGTATACCTTATTTGGTTTGACTCTTCACCGATCCTCTCTTCAGTGAAAGATCTCGGAGTAACTGTTTCTTAACTTAAGCAACATAAGTGGGCGATTCTCGGTGTGTTGCACGAGACATTCAGACAACACTTATTATTTAAATCAATAAAAATGACTTTAAAGTCTGCTTTTGATGTTTGGAGTAAGCTAGGTACTAGATTTATGGTCATAGATTTTATAAGTATAGATGAATAAGTTGCATTACTTACCTTTACTTTTTTTTGTAGCAATGGTATTAGAAGCGTGTTGCACGGGACTCGTACAAAGAGTTTTTGTAGTTGTATTGTAGTTTATTGTTTTATTGTTTATTGCACATTTTATGTGTCCTCCCCATTGCAAACGCAAAGCTTGAGTATAACTGCAACTAAGCATTTTATACTTATATGCCAACCCCGTACAAAGGATGGGTAGCCTACTCTGCTAGTCATAAATATGTTTGTAAGACTTTTCCGCATTTTGTTGTGAATCGAACGATACCAGATGGGTCATCACACAGGACACTGACACAGATACAGGTGTGGTGACAGGTGATGCGCACGCTCCGGTCAACGACCTGACCTTGGCTTACTTGGAGGGGATTTGGTAGGCGAAAGTATGACTCATGTGCTATTGTTCGATTCAAACAAAATTATGAAAGTCCTGCGAACATATTTATGGTAACATAACCGCCGCAGCGTGCTGTATAAGGGTAGCCTCCGTACAATAAGAATACGTACCCTTCACCCTATAGACTATACAAAACCAACAATATGTTTTAACTTTTTTTTTAAAGAGTTTTTATTTGCTGGTAATACAATTTTTAAAGTTGTGCTATAATGAATACTGTTTTTGTATTTTAGGCTGTAAAGGTGTTCAGGTTGAAGAACTTTGGAGTTTGGACGCTGAACAATTTAAAAACTTGGAGTAAGTAGCCTACTTGCACAATAGGTTTTTATTAGTAAAATTTAACAGTTTTAATTTTATCTATTTTACTCCCCCTCAGAAATTGAATCTAGATTAGGTATGTAAAACCTGAAAATAATGGTTTTCTGTTTAGTTAGAATCAAAACTGGTTTTCAATCATCAATTATTTAAGATGGGGTACTATGTGCGTAGTTTGATTTAAGGCTTGAAAATCAGTTGATACAATTCTAAAATATTCAGTTAGCTGTGACATACCGTACTTAAGGTTTAATAGAAAATCTATTCCAAATCAATTTATGATTGTGTAGGCCTATCTATATATTAAGTAAATCTAGGTACATATTAAATCAGGTAACATAAGTAAAAGTATTGTACCTAAAGGGTTAAAAGATTTTGTTTATTACTAAGTTAACCTACCCCAAATAATTACTCTTCACAATAGTAATAATGAATATGAAAATAGTAGCCAAACTATTGAAGAACGTTAATGACTTTACCTGCATAAAAAGCCATCTGTGAAGAGTTGAATTCTTTATTTTTCATTATGTTTTAATCTTGGGGAAAATAGCTCCTGCATGCATATAGGATCCTATCATGTGTGTAAGTGAGTAAGGTTTCTAGACTGTGTTCTAATTTGCTGTGTTTTCCACTGCAGGCCTATCCATGGTTTGATATTTCTTTTCAAGTGGGTCCCAGATGATGAACCTCCTAGTTCTGTTGTGAGAGATAATAGGCTGGAGAAAATTTTCTTTGCCAAGCAGGTAAATGATAATAAACTTTCACCTTAATGTATATTTTCAGTAGTGGTTTGAATAACAAATATAGAGTATTTAATTACATATTCAGCTGGGGATTCGTTAGCTGTAAGCCAGTAGGCTCAGCCAGCGTTTGATCCCATCTCCAATAATTCAATTCTATAACCATTATTTTGGTGTGCATGTAACGTTTTTTTAGTTTAAATGTTTTCTGTCCAATCTAGGGTTTTTATTTAAAAAAGCAAAGGAATTAAAGTTTGCATTCTCAGTTTTGTACGTTCTGTTTTAACTTAGATATAGAATGTATAAATTGTTAAAAGTTGATTTGGGTATTACACTAAAACTACTTGCATAAGTTGGTACTTGAACGTTTTTTGTAGGTCATCAACAATGCTTGTGCCACTCAAGCCATCTTGAGTATTCTACTTAACTGCAAACACTCGGATGTCACCCTCGGCCCAACACTCTCCGAGTTTAAGGAGTTTTCTCAGTCTTTTGATGCCAACATGAAAGGATTAGCCCTCAGCAACTCTCAAACTATTCGATCAGTTCATAATTCATTTGCCAGGTAAAGGCTAAAATTGAACTTTTATCAATAACTATACAACCATACGTTTTGCTTGAGAAATTTGTTTGGACTCAAAAGTTTGTAATTGCAATGTACTGTACAGTCAAAAACAAATAATTTTTTTTACATAGGCTACCTAATATAAATTATATGGCACCTTGGATGTAAGTATTAATCTTGGTATAAGAGGCTTACATGAATAGATTTTTTCAAGTGCAACGCTATCAATAAAATCATAATTTTCTGAGATTTAATCCCAATTTGTCAATTGGCTTTTCCTTAATTTTAGCGAATTTCCCATATAGGGAATAAGCTATTACCGTAGTACTCATGGTAAGACCTGGACGCGGGACCGATTTTTTTTTTCGTTTTGAGGTCCCTAGAGGCCAAAAACACCATCCGTTCAAATTCATATATATATATATATATATATATTTATATATATATATATATGTGTCCGTCAGCACGATAACTCGAGCAAAAATGATCCGATTTTGATGAAATTTGGTACAAACGTGTAAAAGTACGTTTATTCGAACGAGTTCGCGATCCAGCATGATCGGACCATGGGAACGGGGGTTTACATGGGGTAAAAATAGGTTTTTCCCATTTTTGACCCAAAAAACATAAAATTTAGCAATTTCTTTCCAAACCTTCTTTTTTTGTAGAGCTTAAAAAAACAAATAATTTAGTATATTGAAGCGTTATTATGCGCCTAATGGTTACGGAGAAAATTCCAAAAAATTGTAAATTTAAAATTCCCATTTTATTCTTATGGAGAATAAGTAAACTGTTGTAGCTTGCTTGTTTGTGAACATATTTTGATCAAATTTGGAAAATGTTTTTATTTCTTACTAACTATTCACATTTTACAAAAAAAAACAGTTTTACCCTCCCTGATGCAGCAAACCTAAGTACTTGTTAAACTAATTCTTTTTAAATCAAGAATAAATGTTATATTTTTAAGTAGACATTTCAGTGTAAATCCAATCAGTCAAATGGAAATTCACTTAGTCTGCAGGTTTGCTGCGGCGGGGGTATTCATACTTATTACAGTACTTGAAAATTGTGCAGGGCCTACTTTATACATATTTGACTGTTACTGCGGATAGAAGTATTCAGTCTTTCGAGAACCTTGTGATGCAACAGTGTACAAATCGATACAAATTTGATTTCAGGCAAACACTGTTTGAGTTTGACAACAAGAGTTCAAACAAAGATGAAGACGTTTTTCACTTTGTGGGTTACATCCCTATTGATGGGAGGCTGTATGAGCTCGATGGACTGAAGGAGGGACCGATCGACCTTGGAGCAATCCCAGCAGAGAGTAGTTGGCTGGATGTGGTCAAGCCTATCATTGAAAAGAGAATACAAAAGTGAGTAAATAATTAATTACCTTACCTATGTGGCCACTCAAACTTCTGTAGATTTTTGGCCTCACCAACTAGTCACTACCCTTCTCTGTTTTCCATCCTTTCCGTCACTGCTCTTAACTTTCCTTTGTCTCTTAGCACCTAGCCCTGCCATCTTTGCCGAGGTCGTCATCAATTATCAATTTGCAAACTAGTGGCCGTTTTCACCAAGAAATATTTTCAGATTTGATTTTAACATTGAATATTCTTCTCTTCTCTTCACATAATCCATCTCACCATCTCATTCTCCTCCTTTTTATTTGGGCTTTTATGTCTGGGTCTGTGTAGATGACTTCCCATAGTGCTTTGCTTGTCCTGATTCTCCACACACCAGTTTCATCAATTTGACTGTAGATGGTTCTTAGTTTTTTATTTTCAAAAATATATTTCTCTCTTTCTTGTTTTTTGTTTTGTTTATTTCCAGGTTTCAGATTTGTAGAGTTACTATTGGCTGCTTTAAAGTTTAGCAGAATTTGTTTTGGATTTCCTTGACAAAATTCTACTTTTTAGCAGTGATGTAAATCACCTACATTATGTATCTTTATCTTAAAACATTACATTACAGGTCCCTTAAAAATATGTTGCAGCTAATGTTCTTTGCAGTGTAGCTTGAGGTTCTAAATTAATATATTCAAATAAGCTATGACATTTTATTGTTGTTTTTTCTAGATATAATGAGGGAGAAATCCATTTCAACTTGATGGCAATTGTCTCAGACCGGAAAATGAAATATGAGGAGAAACTGCAGCAGCTTCAGAAACAAATTGAAGTAAGAAACTAAGGATCACTTTATTTAGCAAGCCTAAGATTTAATAAATGTCTTATAAATAATTTCATTGAGAAAAAGCACTAGAAAATAATAGCCATCAACATGGCACGATAATTTATCTTAGGTTCTACTCTGTGTAAGGGTCCTGAATGTCTTAAACACTTGGTTGGACATGAAGGTTGTTGGAAGGTGAATGGAAGGAGTTATCATGTGATAGGCTATGCAGAGATATATTTTTCTGGTCACATGACAACATTTTCTGTACCTTCCGTCAACAAAGGAAAAAATTGTATGACCCCTCTTCTTAGTTACAAGCCCAATATAACTATGGATGTCACAGTAAAATGCCTATAACAACATTTTCCTTACACTTTTACAAAGAAATCTTAACCAGACTTGGCAACTTGATCATTTTGTGATATGTGCCCCAGCTCACATTATTGTTGCAGAAATGTGGGTGGTTTTATTTTTTGTTAGGAGGGAAAGTGTTTAATAACTATGAAAAAATATCAAAATTGTTAAGAGTACAAATTTAAACATATTCTTAGTCTCAGCAGGAAGGACTAAAAAAAATAAAATTGAAATTCAAAAGAGACACATAGGGGAATTTTTGTGTGTAAGATAGTTGGGGGTTTCTCTTTAACACCCCTTTTCAACAGCCGGGTCGTTGCTTTTTAAGAAAGGGCTGTTTTTGCATGTTGCTTTTAGTTCACCAAATATGTTACACAATTCGCCAGAGAAAAAGTGTCATTCTGTTCACAAATGATACCAGTAAGCGGCAAGGACTTACGGAGCTATACACAAAAACGGCCCTAACTAAAAAATCGCCTTTGTATCACTATAATGGGGGGTATTACAGTAGAACCCCTCATATCCGGCCTTGGTTTTACCGGTCCTCTGTTTATCCGGCCCCTTCCAGGAAGCCAATATCAAAATTTTTTTCTCACACCTTACAGACGTTTAGATACAAGCACTAGTCTTTGTGACTGCTTAAGTCATAAAATAAATTGTTCTCATTATTTATCTGTTTGTTTATACATTTATTTGCTGAGTCACTATACTCAGTTGAGCTAGTAGGCCTAACCTCTGATCAGTTGGCTGATTATTTCCAAAGTGGGTTTAGTACAGTACAGTACTAGTACATTAATTTTTGTATTTCACAAAATGGTTAAGAATGTTGAGTAGAAATGCAATGTACCATTTAAGTACTAATGATCTTTAAGTACAATTTATTGTCATTTTTACCTCCATTTAATATGTTTTGTTACCTGGAATCATAATATTTGTAGCCTACATTCATTACTTACAGTAATGACTTTAACCTACAAATATTTTTTTCCTTTTTACAAACATGTTTATTTTTCTAAAAATGATCCCAGAACAGAATTAAATGATACTTTTTATTGCATATATTGATTACCTATTATTATTAGGTATGAATTGTCATTTTCATAGTAGGTTGGTTTATCCGGCCAAATCGTTATCCGGCCAGGGGCTTGGTCCCGTGGTGGCCGGATATGAGGGGTTCTACTGTAATTGGTTAACGGATGTCAGGCCTTTTTTCTGCCACGCCCGGCGACAGATAATTGCCTTCATGACCTGCCATTCTTGGCATATTTAATTTTAAAAAAACCCTTATATCAGCCAGATTAGCAGGGTTTTGCATTTGTAGCATATATATCAACCCTTATATTTCGGTATGTTATTTGTCTAGATTTCAAGTTTCTGATTTTTCTAAAAGTTCAATGATATTTTTTACAGGAAAGTGGGATGGAGACTGATTCTGTTCAAGCTGAAGTAACAAGACTGCGTCTGGCAATTGAAGAGGAAGAAAACAAGATCAAACGCTACCAGCTAGAAAATATTAGGAGGAAACACAACTACTTACCACTCATTATAGAAATTTTAAAAATTTTAGCTAAAGAAGGCCAATTACTTTCTCTATATGAAAAAGCTAAGGCTAAAGCTATAGAGAAAGAGTCTAAGAAATTAAAGACTTGATTTGTCTTCTTGCAGTTTATGTCACCTGCCAATCTCAATTTATTTGAATGCTATTCTGAAATGTTGTGATATTTTGCAAATAAACAGTTTAACCCTTCCTATCTAGCCTATTTTACTTTTCCTTCCTATCTAGTTTATTTTACTTTTCTCAACCATTTTTAGTCATAAATGTTGTTGCTCGCGGTATATCAAGAAAAATGCCAAGGGTGAGATTGACTTGATTTTTGAACACTCAAAGCTTGAGTTGTAAGATTGCTTAAAGGAAATAATCAAAGTAACATACAATGGATGCGACTGTGCAGACATTATAAGCGATTATTTTCATACCCATCTATACTTAAGTGAAAGATATATACACTAGTCAAAACGGAATGTTTGCTGCTGCAGATGAAAGGAACAAACAATGAAAGGAGTTATTGGTAAGATTATTGTCACTGAAAAATTGGTTCAAACCTTAATTATCTTCAGTCAATAAAGGTTTTGTATTTACAAAAGAACACTCGAGCTCAGGGATTGCTTTTAAGTGGAATGTAGTTAAATTGGGAGGAACATATCGTCATAACTCCCAGACTGCTTTTTAGGCAATGAGAAAAAACATTTAAATAGGTTGCTATGGATATTATAGAATATTTTTATTTGCATCATGTTACCTTTACGTACAGTTGGTTTACTCATTATCTTGGCGGGTTTAGTAACCTTTATTGTTATTGATATAATGTGGGACTTTGATTTTGAATAAATTGATCAACAACCAACCGGAAGCAGGTTTACCATTCTTCCCTGGGAGACACAACATTCCACGCAGTCCTGCCTACACCTGGTTGCTGCTCTGTCGGTAATCCACCTTTGAAGGCTCTGGAGCTACGCTACCTGAGCTCCGAATTTCCTCTGCCCCTACATTCAACGGGTGTCCCCACAGTCCTGCCTACACCTGGTTGCTGCTCTTTTGGTAATCCACCTTTGAAGGCTCTGGAGCTACGCTACCTGAGCTCCGAATTTCCTCTGCCCCTACATTCAACAGGCAAACAGAAGAGGCTACTGCACTGCGTCAACTAATCCTGATGGTCTACCCCTGCTACACATTGGAGTTGGACATTATTTTCTGGTATAATTCAAATACAAATGTATATTATATATATATATAGGTATATAAATATATGTGCCTAACTTTCTTTGTAAATACTCAATTTTAGTTTTAAGGATAATTGATTGTTAAGTCTGGCTAATGGATCTACTGGAAAAATGTTTGTTGGAAAATTTTAATTTGAATCCCGATTCAGAAAATATAGGCCTACTCTACTTTCTTTGGTAAGCGAATTGAGAGTTCTACCAGCAAATTTTCCCGGTATAGATCTTTACCAAATAGGAGACAACATAGCTTGTCTGGTGAAGACTTTAAATGATTTGAATAAAAACAATTGTGACCTGGTTGGGACAAACAATGAACTCTTTTCTGAAGTCTCCTATCTTACATCACATATAAGTTTGTTAACAACCCAAAAGAAAAATGAACTTGATGAATCTTTTAAATTACAAGACTCGATTGTTGAGGAAAATGACACTTTGACTCGTGAACTTAACTTAAGTAAGATTAAACTTTCAAGCCTCCATAGAGAATTTAAACTTACTAGAAAAGAGAACGAAGTTTTAAAGGATTCAATTTGTAGATTAGTTTCAAACATTGACGATCAAAATGAAATAATAGCTATTTACATAATACATTACAAGTGTAGTAAGAGCGTTTTTACACCACACAGGTGAATGTTGGGTGCAACGAGCAGAAGCGAGTTGCATAATTCTCCTAAGTGATGTAAACAAGCTCTTGCGCAACGTGTAACGTACAAGATTTTACCTGACCCGACAATATACAGGAGGTTACGCAATAATTTTCATCATCCATTTCACTCATCTTCTAACAGTAACGTTAATTTACAAACAAAAGCTAGGTTAGGAAAATTCTTCAAAGCATAACAATAAAATTCAAGCGCACAGCTGATTTCTAGCGTTGGAACGACGTTGGCTCCATAGAGGTACATTTTTTAAGTTAACCACTCGATGTTATTTAAATGGGTTTCATTATCTCGCCGTATGAGTTTTTTCAACTTTACATCACTCGTGAAGTAAAGAAGTTGTATACATCACGCTTGGGATAGGGGAGTTTAACATGGCGGGTTAGGTAAAACTCCTTAAAGACAGTCTTGATGAAAAAACATTGCAGTAAAGTCGTTGACTGATAGGCTTGAACGTGCTGTGGAAGCTCACTGCTTAGTTTCGTCCAGACATATATATATATATATCCAAATCTTTGAAGTCAAAAACGGATTGTGCCATTGTCACTGACGAATGGCTAGATGATTCTGTCTTACAATCGTACTTTTCCTCCTTTCAAGAAAGTGACAAAGCTGTGTCTACTAAAGCTTTATTTGTCGGACCAAATAGCAGTGAGCTTTTAAAGCTTGGATCTCCTAGTGGCGTAGAAAAACTAAGATCAGATCTATGTATGGACCGCTACAGACATAATTATAACTGGTGAAATACATCTTAAACTGAAGTAATAATTTGAAAATGAATCAAATTATTATTATTATTATTTTTAGTAATACAGTAGGTAAATTTATGCCGATGATTGATGCGAAATCTATGCGTGCATGCCTTCAATTTCAGACCTCAATCATAAAAATCGGTCGGGTAGAAGAGCCACACGAATTCGGAAAAGAAAAACAATTTTTTAAATATATAAGATATAATAAAGGGAGAGAAATAAACAAATAAAAAGTTTGACTTATAAACCTTTACATTATATTTTTAACGCGATCTCTTACACATTCAATGCCACTTATTCATTCTAGAAAATTTTTGAAAACAAAATGTATGACCTAAAGATAAATAGACACAGTGCATTGAAAAAGATGCAAGAAAACAACACTGACCACAAAAAAATCTAAATGTAAATTAAAGATGTGCTGTGTTCAAAATAACACAATTGAAAGCAATAGTTTCTTCAATAAATAGCTTTTCAAGTTCTTTACAGTGATCACTTTTTGATTCTCTTAACTTACTAATGTATTGATTCTAGTGTTTTCAATAGAGTTTTTCTTTCATTAAGGAGTTTCCACGCACTTTCCTGTTCTTTTTCTGGTATAGGTTTTTTCTTCTGCTTTAATATCAGTATCTTCCGTGATACTTCCACAACCTAAAATAAAAAATAAAAAAACTGAGTTTACAAACAGCTAATAAATAGTCAAAGAAAAAAGATAATTCATTAACTACGGAGTGTTTCCTCAACGGTGTGTTTTTGTGTAGTCTTTACTCAAGACAATTTATGTTTTCAAATACGTTGTGGGCACCTTTCTATTAACAAAACACAAAAGTTAGTGTCCTGTTAACCTAAAAATAACTAACCGATAATAGACAACTTGTCTGTAGCTATCCTATCATTTTTGTTTTCAACTAATCATAAATTTTTTCTTCTGACATAAAAAAGGTTGATAATTTATGGAAACTACAGTGTTTATTAAAGGCCAAGACTATGAGAAAAATAGGTATAAATCTACAGAAATAAATAGAGTACATAATGACATATTGAACAACCACTACAAATACCAAACATTCATGAAAAAAAATAATAAATAAATAAATGAATGATAAAGCGCAAGTTCCTGGACTTGACGAGAAAGGAGAACCTGCTAGGGTCATCTACAAGAAAACTTAAACCTACTCCGTCAAATGTGGCCATCAATTGGGCTTTATGATAAATGGCCAAAATTGATAGCAGTTCAACACCCGAGTTCCACAAATTAAACTAATTGGGACCCTATTTGATTAGTTGGAGGTGCAGTAAAATTGAATTACGAACAAACAAATATTTTTATGACACAATCACAAAATTGGTGATTTACGATCGGTGATTTAGGATGTTATTTACCTCTTGTTCCACCGCTTTCAGTTTCTTCCGCACTTCCGATTTCTCAAGTTCCACCTCAGCCAGTTTGATCAGTCTCTTCAGCTGCTCCACAGTGTGCAACGCAGTGGCTCTCAGTTCCTCTTGACACTTCTTTATTTCAGCCAGAATTTCATCATTATCTTCCTGTAAGAAATACGGCTATTACAAATTGGCCCAAAAATGTTCAGTCATAAAATATGTTTTGGTAATTTAAATTTAACAATTTATTAGTTTACAGTCATGATATTCTTCTGACTCCTAATGGTCCAAAGTTTTATAAAGGTCTGCAGTTTCTATTGTTGTTAGCAATCAGCCTAGAGCACATTTATTGTAGGATAACCATTTATACTATTTGAATTCAGATTTATCTCAAGATTCCTTCATTTCTTCTCAAAATGCCAGGATTGGAGACGATATAAAGTTACCACTGTTAAATAATTGAACTATAATCTACATACAATTAGAATAAACATATAGTAAGACAATCAGAACGGACAAAGAACTGTGTGATATCCACAGAGATATTATAGGTTTAATTGAAAGCCATAGACTTCGATGGGCATATGTATAGAAGACCCAGAGGGTAGTGCTGGATGCGGTACCTTCTAGCAGGAGACCATTGGGACGACCAAGGTTGCGATGGTGGGTGAAGTCAGAAGACATGGGGAGGATGTCCATGACAGAGGAGGTGATGGAGGACAGAGAACAATAGTGGGAGCTGTTGGGGAGACCAAGGTTGCGATGGTGGGTGAAGTCAGAAGACATGGGGAGGATGTCCATAACAGAGGAGGTGATGGAGGACAGAGAACAATGGTGGGAGCTGTTGGGGAGACCAAGGTTGCGATGGTGGGTGAAGTCAGAAGACATGAGGAGGATGTCCATAACAGAGGAGGTGATGGAGGACAGAGAACAATGGTGGGAGCTGTTGGGGAGACCAAGGTTGCGATGGTGGGTGAAGTCAGAAGACATGAGGAGGATGTCCATAACAGAGGAGGTGATGGAGGACAGAGAACAATGGTGGGAGCTGTTGGGGAGACCAAGGTTGCGATGGTGGGTGAAGTCAGAAGACATGGGGAGGATGTCCATAACAGAGGAGGTGATGGAGGACAGAGAACAATGGTGGGAGCTGTTGGGGAGACCAAGGTTGCGATGGTGGGTGAAGTCAGAAGACATGAGGAGGATGTCCATAACAGAGGAGGTGATGGAGGACAGAGAACAATGGTGGGAGCTGTTGGGGAGACCAAGGTTGCGATGGTGGGTGAAGTCAGAAGACATGAGGAGGATGTCCATAACAGAGGAGGTGATGGAGGACAGAGAACAATGGTGGGAGCTGTTGGGGAGACCAAGGTTGCGATGGTGGGTGAAGTCAGAAGACATGAGGAGGATGTCCATAACAGAGGAGGTGATGGAGGACAGAGAACAATGGTGGGAGCTGTTGGGGAGACCAAGGTTGCGATGGTGGGTGAAGTCAGAAGACATGGGGAGGATGTCCATAACAGAGGAGGTGATGGAGGACAGAGAACAATGGTGGGAGCTGTTGGGGAGACCAAGGTTGCGATGGTGGGTGAAGTCAGAAGACATGAGGAGGATGTCCATAACAGAGGAGGTGATGGAGGACAGAGAACAATGGTGGGAGCTGTTGGGGAGACCAAGGTTGCGATGGTGGGTGAAGTCAGAAGACATGAGGAGGATGTCCATAACAGAGGAGGTGATGGAGGACAGAGAACAATGGTGGGAGCTGTTGGGGAGACCAAGGTTGCGATGGTGGGTGAAGTCAGAAGACATGAGGAGGATGTCCATAACAGAGGAGGTGATGGAGGACAGAGAACAATGGTGGGAGCTGTTGGGGAGACCAAGGTTGCGATGGTGGGTGAAGTCAGAAGACATGAGGAGGATGTCCATAACAGAGGAGGTGATGGAGGACAGAGAACAATGGTGGGAGCTGTTGGGGAGACCAAGGTTGCGATGGTGGGTGAAGTCAGAAGACATGGGGAGGATGTCCATAACAGAGGAGGTGATGGAGGACAGAGAACAATAGTGGGAGCTGTTGGGGAGACCAAGGTTGCGATGGTGGGTGAAGTCAGAAGACATGGGGAGGATGTCCATGACAGAGGAGGTGATGGAGGACAGAGAACAATGGTGGGAGCTGTTGGGGAGACCAAGGTTGCGATGGTGGGTGAAGTCAGAAGACATGAGGAGGATGTCCATAACAGAGGAGGTGATGGAGGACAGAGAACAATGGTGGGAGCTGTTGGGGAGACCAAGGTTGCGATGGTGGGTGAAGTCAGAAGACATGAGGAGGATGTCCATAACAGAGGAGGTGATGGAGGACAGAGAACAATGGTGGGAGCTGTTGGGGAGACCAAGGTTGCGATGGTGGGTGAAGTCAGAAGACATGAGGAGGATGTCCATAACAGAGGAGGTGATGGAGGACAGAGAACAATGGTGGGAGCTGTTGGGGAGACCAAGGTTGCGATGGTGGGTGAAGTCAGAAGACATGGGGAGGATGTCCATAACAGAGGAGGTGATGGAGGACAGAGAACAATGGTGGGAGCTGTTGGGGAGACCAAGGTTGCGATGGTGGGTGAAGTCAGAAGACATGAGGAGGATGTCCATAACAGAGGAGGTGATGGAGGACAGAGAACAATGGTGGGAGCTGTTGGGACGACCAAGGTTGCGATGGTGGGTGAAGTCAGAAGACATGGGGAGGATGTCCATAACAGAGGAGGTGATGGAGGACAGAGAACAATGGTGGGAGCTGTTGGGACGACCAAGGTTGCGATGGTGGGTGAAGTCAGAAGACATGGGGAGGATGTCCATGACAGAGGAGGTGATGGAGGACAGAGAACAATGGTGGGAGCTGTTGGGGAGACCAAAAAACCTGCTTAGGTTTGAGTGGCCAACTAGGTAACTCTACATACAGAAAAGGTCTTTATCAAATACACAGAGGAGAATTGGATTTTTATTTTATTTTACCTTGTAGTCTTGAGGATCAATAAAGCCAGAGGCTTCCAACTCTTTCCTAATTCTCAGCTCAAAACATGCAGATGTGTGATATGTCGGTAGTTTTCTTAAGTAGTTGGGAACTGCATTTTCACCTGCAAAACACATTGATACTTCAACAATAGACATTATTACAAATAAAACCTTAAGCATTGAAAACCACATATCTATCTGACCAATAGGACTTTGGAACAATTAAAAGTAGATACAATGTTACATGTAACAACAAGTTTGATTAAATTGTAATCAAAATGCAAGACCAAGACCTGAAATTATACCAACTTTACTGATGCTTGCGTTCAATTCCTTTAACTCAAGTTTTTAATGGGAATTCTGGAGGTTGAAAATCTGCTGTCTGAAGGCCTACTATTAACATTTGATTATCTACAATATTATATGCAGGCTAAAAAAGAGAAATTTTGCTGGATAGTAAATTTAGCTGTTGAAATGGTCCAACATAGGCCTACCTTTGTTTTCAGAAGGACTTCCAGGATCTTCAAGTTTGGTCTTCTTTGTTTGCGGTTCACCTGTGTCAGATTCTGATCCGATTTTGTCTGAAAAATGTTACATTATTTAGACTAATTTTGTCATTCAAATGTTGTATTCAATCTAATACTTATAACTTAAATACTTTTAATTAAAATGGCAACCATACGAATGTAGGTATTTTAAGCCAGGTATGAATGGAGATGAGTGTAGGATGAGTGGCGTGATTGTGTAGTATAGTTAGGGGCGGTTTGGGAGCTCGGTATTAGCGCTAGTCCGCGACTAAATCCGGATTTTTCCGGTATTTTAGGCTGCCGCCTCGAAAACGGGTTTGTGAGCTCGGGATCAGTTAGGCGCGCGCCTAACTTGTGCAGGGATAATCTCGCGCCTAAATATTGTTGGTTTGGGAGTCAAGTAGACTTAGGCGCCAGCCTAAGAGATAGTCTCGGTGGGTTTGGGAGACCAATTTCGGGACTAAGATATATGTTTTCGTCATAAAAATCAGTGAGTTTAGTCCCCAACTTTAGTCCTGCCAGGGGGCAGGTCTAAGTCGACATCATGCCGGTATTAGCTCATTAGCAAGTTAATTGTTTACATATTAAGTAAAAGAATGTTATATTCGAATTCGTTATTAAATTCCGAACAATTTCATTACCCTCAAAATATATTTGAGAAAAGTTTTTTTTAGGTTTCTGTTGTTCAAAATTAATAAAAAATCTTGCGGGAAGTAATTTAACGAAATTTTATTTTGTTTTTGTTTTTACTGTTAATTTTAAAAAAATATATGGAGCCTGAATATAATTTATTTCGACTGAGAGTTTGGTTATAAGCACCCGTACCTAATAATAAATATTAATAAATATTTTATTAGCTAGGAAAAAATTAGCAACCGCATACAAACCCCCCCCCCCCCACTCACCCATTACGAAAGAGTGAAGAGATAATAAAAAAAAACATAAAAAACTGCAAATAGCTCACAGTCATAATCATTTTCTTTTTATTGCGTTGTGATTGAGCTCAGTTCAGTGTCATTGACAAGTGCTAGTTACATCAAAATGTAGTACCTAGATTATTTGGAGTATAAGAAAATATATACAGTATACCAATAATCCCGCCACAGAAAACCTGCAGACTAAGCGAATATCCAATAACCTAATAAGACTTTCAATTAAATTTATATAAATAGCTTTAGGTTTAACAAGTAACTAAAACTACCTACGTGTAGGTATGCTACTACAGGGAGGGCAGTAAAGTGTGTTTTTTACCTAAATATCAACAGCTTTATATAAAATAAATAAATTTGCCGAGATTCATCAAAATATATCCATAAACTACAACAGTTAACTTATTCTCCATGAGAATCACATGGGAGTTTTAAATTTACGATTTTTTAATAGTCTCTGTAGCCAATAACCGTACAAAACATTTAAGAGAAACTAATTTGTTTTTTATACTCTTTAAAATATTTTAAAGATTAAGATTTATGTTTTAGGGGTTAAAATTGAGAAAAAAACTATTTTTATCCCATAAAACCCCGGGTTCACATGGTCTGATCATGCTGGTTCGCGAACTTATAAGGGTTTATCGCGCCTTACACTTTCATGCCAAATTTTATCAAAATCAGACAAAAATTACTCAATTTGTCACGTTCATGGACGTGTATATAATGTATGGGCTATACATATATAAACATTTGAACGAATAGGGACGAACGAATAGGGGATGTTTTTGGCCTCAGGGACATCAAAATGGAAAAGTATATCGGTCCCGGAACTAAGTGCTACCTATGGTTATAGCTACTTCACTATAGGAAAGTTAGATAAAAGAGTGTCATGTTTAAAATTTTTTAAATTTACAACAATTTTTTTGTAAGTATTAACATATATACATTTGCTTCACACTATCATAACCTCTGCAATTACTTAAAATACTTTTTATTTTATTTCCGTCAATACCCATATATTATACAGGACAATTGCTGTTTAATTTTTAAGCTTTTTATTGCATGAAACCGAGTTTCAGATGTTACCGTTCCACACACAGGGTAATCTTTGTTAAATGATTAGGCTACCTAATGTTTTTGATCTCTGAAAGAAATCATATTGATTTTCAGAAGCCTATGCTGCACTGTACGTATTTATAAGGTGTAGTACCAGATATAAAAAATAGCCGTCATTGAGATGTAAATCAACGATCTTACAAAACTAAATTGTTGCAATGGTACAATGCAGTAACTTAAACCATAGTCTACTAATTAGCCACCGTTGATATACCAAGATAAAATTGTATCCATCTTCAATTGTTCATCGTTTGTTGTCAACGGTAACGTGCTCTGCAGTGGCCGTTGCCAACGTAAAAACCTGAATTCCCCGCGATTCCCTGTCCTTCTAGCTGCGCTGCAACTTAGGCGCGACTATACTTGATCTACGACCATTTCAACTTAGGCGCGAGCTCCCAAGCCTGGTTTCTTGTCCGGGGACTAAAGTTAGGCGCGTCTAACACTAGGCGCGTACTAGCTGGGCTCGAGCTCCCAAACCGCCCCTTAATGACTAAGGCCGACATGTTCCTTAGACAGGACTGTTAATTAATAGCCCACACAGCCAATAACATCTAGGGGACCTACAATTTATAGAGGAATCTGAACCACATTTTTACCTTGTAATTTACGAATTGGTCTAATGTCAGGATAGTACTGCGGTTAGTAATAGTACTTACTAGTGCTGACGTTAATCCATACCAGGGAGTATAGCATATAAAGATAATGCCTATAAATATCCACAAAATTAATTTGTTACCTCCAAATAACTGGATTACAGCACGACGCCACAGTTCCAGTCTAGTTTGACACAGTCAAAACTTCACCACTAAATGAATTTGTAAATGTGTTTTTTTAATAGTAGCTAGTTTATAATAGTAGTAAGTTCAGTCAAAATTTAAAAACTCACTCAATTTATTTACTAAAACCGACTCTTTGAGAGGGGAAACGTAATTTTCTTCAACAAGAGCAGATACAAGCCGTTGCACTAGAGGTCCAGGTACTCTGTCACGAATTCTGTAAGAAATATTACACATAGGAATTATTTGATATTCATCACACTTACAAGCCTTACCCTTGATTTAAGTTTTATAAAGTAACTAATGATATAAAATTTGAATAAGTGGTGGATTATGAAAAAAAAGAAAACTCACTTTAGGGATTGAGTTATTAACATAGATTTTTCTTGTTATTGAATTAGACAGTTCATAGCCTATGGATAAGCTGCCAATGCTTTGTCAAAACAACATGGCTGAAAGAGCCACTCACAGATTGTGCTGGAATGAAATTTAATCTCCTCTGTTGTTTTTTGCTACTGAAGATAACTTATTTTATGACATTTAACTGTAAATTATCCTATGTGACTTATGTAAATTATGCCTTGGTTAAACAGTTAGCGTATTCAATAGAAATGAGTAAATGACATCAACACACTATAGCTCAATTCTGATGAGATAAAATATTGACTTGAACTGAGTGGCCACAGAAGCTACAAAATTGTGTGTGGAACCTCAAACAAGGTAAAAAGACAAGAGGGACTAGGTGTCAACAATTTCAAATACACCAAAAATATAAAACTTACACAATTTTACTTGCTTTCTTCAACATTTCCTTGACATCGTCAGAAGGTTTCCTTTTCAGTTTAGTGGTAGATGAACAGTCTCGTTCATCTAGCAAGTCTTCTTCAGCCCAGCGTAAAGTATAATGACGTCCTAATGGTGGTATCTTTTGTATTTCCGCTTCTTTTTCACAGGTTGCTTTCAACTCTTTTAAAAACTGAAATAGTAAATAGACAATTTACTCAACTTAGATGAAAAAATATGTGAATATCAAATTACAAGAAAATTACCATCACTTTGAACATACATGATTTGATAACAAATAAACACTCAATAGATGGATAGCAAATTAATTACCTTAATATCTTCAGCAGTAGTCTCTGCACAATATGGCTCCACCGACAACCAAAACTTGTTAGGAGTATCATTTTTAGGTATGAGTAGTTTTGGTGGTTCCAGAGATGCAGTGGTGCTGAGTAAATCAGGGGACCCCTGATAGGCAAAGTAAAAGTATTAATTTCAATTTTTTTAATGACATCAGCAAAAACATATTATTGCTTGGGAAATTTGTAAAAGCTAACAAAAACTGGTTGAAAACTTCCCTAAACCAAATTGGATAAAATGTACAAATTTAACTTCTCTATTTCAAACACTAAAAATATTTCATCCTAAACTAAGTACATTAGAACTCCAATTATCTTCTCCAACCAACTGAACCGCACATTATCCAAATGGCTTACAGAGAGAATAAATTGCAAAAAACTTAAAACCACAGTAGGCTTATTAGAATCTTTGTTTAAAGAAGGCAGAAGCTGTAATTGCAGCAGAACCCAAAAACACTCTCGCGGTTGTTTATTCATCATTTCCCACAGTCACGAAGACATTGTCAATATTTTTCACGACCACGGCAAAAGTTTGCACACTTTCTGTGGTCTTGTGAAAATATATGTCTCTCGCAGCTTCATAATTTTTTGTAATCGCGGAAAAATGTAAAATATGTCCCACAGTCGTGTAGCCTCACCGTCTCCAGCGGTCATACAAACTCGTCATCGTTTTCTGTGAGCGTTACCAAATCTTGAATGTTTGCCGAAGTCTTGTAGACATCATCATTGTCTCCAGTGATGGAAAATCAAAATCCTCCTCCACAGTCGCGGTAAAGCATGAATTTTTTTATTGCGAAATCTTCGCAGACGCGATCTGCGAATACGATAGTAAAAGCTCAACTCAACTTAGCCTTTTTTTTTAAATACCCCGGTTTTTGGGGAAAATCCAACTATCAAAATATATGTTTTGGTTTAAATTGATTCGGATGGTTGGAGTTCTACTGTAAAGTCAACGAGAATCATCAAAACACATAAAGATTATAATTTACTAATGTATTACAATATTCTTTTCAAGATTTAAATGTTCCAGCCTTCAGCCGATATCAGCACAAATTTAAAAAGGGTTAACAATTTCCTTAGAACGTCATATTACCAATATGTGTAATACAACTAAATCTTAAAACACAAGTAGTCAACTAAAACAGCACTGCCTAATATATTCCAAAAGATAGCATTGACAACCTGAACAATATAGTTCATCACATATTGGGCACTTTTTAACTAACCATTTCATAAAACTTACCAAAACACTGGGATCATCCAAAGTGCCAACTCGAGGTCTAGACTTCCCCATTGGGTCCCGGTTCTTCCTGTCCTCTTCCTTCTTTTTGGACTGGAAAAGAGTTTTGTATTGTGAAAGTAGATAATGTATTTACCTATGTTTGCAATACAGTATGGCAAATGAATGTTATTGCCATAATACAGATTAAATATAAAATATCTTTTAAACACTTACACTTTTAAAATATAATTCTAAAAAATGAAACTTTATATTTTACATATTTTCAATACTAACATCACATTATATCCTGCCAGTAATCTATATATCTGTGCTGCATATATCTGTATTTATTGCAGCAATATTTAGGTGATCAAAAGATAAATTGTACATACTGTCAGAGCAAGTTTGATTTTCTTGTCCCGCCTCTCTTCAGCAATATTCAAAGTAGCAATTTCATTGTTCAAGTCTCGTATTCTGACGGCCACGCCTGTCAGGAGGGATTCCAATTCCAACTGAAGTCTGTCAAGATCTTCCATTCCAACTCCCTCTTCCCTACTGCGGCTGAGAACTGTTCAATGGAAAACATCTCACTCTTTTTGTTTGGTAATCAATAAAACGTTAGGCCTACATTTTTATGGCTCAAACCCTTTTGAAATTGGTTGGATGCAAAGTACACTTCATTGCGGAGTAAATTCCAATTTTAAAGTTGGATACAGTAATAAAAACAGGAACTTTTGGTCACAGGGCCATTTTACAGTTCTGCAGATGGGGAGGTTAAATGTAGAAAATCAGCTGTTCTCAATATACAAGATACACTAGCGTCTCAGTGTCCTAGTCAATAAACCGATGAGAACCTCTTCTGCGAAGGAGTGGTGGATTGTGGGAGAGCCCCTCACGTCGATTTAGGAAAAATTATAAAACTTATATCATAATTATTTAATTAAACTGTCATAACCTAACCTAACCAACCAAACTTGCTGATAATATAAAAAAGATATAAGATAAAAATCGAATGAAGGTTTACTAATTGAAAAAAATAGTTCTGTTCATAAAATAAAATTATAAATGCCTAAAATTCTAACAAAAGATGTACAGTTAAAAGTTAAGAAGTAATCACATTCTAAGTAAAATCTTCGACATAAAGTTAGTGTCACCGGTGGGATTCGATCTGGACACCTCATTGAAATCAGCCGCTTAGGCTATGCTATTCACTACGCCACGAACACCGATGGCTGCACTTCGTATCTTTGCGGTATTGGTGTTCCCTCAAGAGAAGAACGTGACGTCTCGCCCCCCACTCCTTCGCTAAAGAGGTTCTCATCAGTTTCTGACCAGGACCCCGAGACGCTTTAACAAGATGCAACTTTAACATTCACTAACCCCACTTTTTCCCTCCAGATCTATTAATTCTGCTATGTCGGATTACATTAGGTTTTGGGTTATCCACTGTCAAGTGAAAGGCTTATGCAGCTTTCTGTTTCAAATAGGCCTTTGTGCTTATTTTGAACAATGAAAACCATTTTTAGTCTGCTTTGTTTGCATCCCAAGACTGACCATTATGGTATACAAATATGCTACAACAAAGGATACAAATTTTAAAAAATGTTGCACAATCGATTAACCTTTGACTGGCTACATCACTGGCTAACTTACACGCCTCTAGGTTACAGTTGCACTTTTAGATTGCTACAAGACTAGGATATTTGCAATGTTCCCTCAGAAAAAGTATACAGTAAATAACTCAACAGAAAAGTAAGCGGAGACAAAGCTGAGAATAAAGGGATCATACATTATACACATTGTACAAAATATGGTTTTAGAAAGGGCAGCCGCTCCAGTTGACCATTCGGGCAAAAACTTTCATTTTTTAGATTTTGTTTAGAGATAGGTACCTACCTACTTTATTGGCTGCCCTTAATTTTTGAGTTAGGCCTATCGATATTGCCCCTGAATTGATTACGACATTAAATGGTTAAATTACCTTCAGTTATCCAGTTCAACTCATATTCTTGCGTATTGCGGTCGTATTCTTGCGACCTAGGTTTCAGCACATTCTCTAATGGACTATAAATAGTTTTAACCCCAAAAAACATCCAATAAAAATAGGCCTATTTAAAATGTCTATCCATTAGTCACAAGGATACACAAGGACTACAGTTGGAGTTGAACTGGATGGTTGAAGGTAATTAAAAATGGGTACCTACATTATCACTAGGCCAATAAAATAAGCTTTGGTTTACCTAACCAGACTAACATGGTTAAATACCAACTAATATCCAATGATGATATTATATATATGATCCAAATAATATAAATCTTTACTCACCTTGGCAGTATGTTGGAAGTTGATTTTTTTCAACAATTCGGAGATCAGGAAAAGACAGAGCACACTCTTCAGGAGAATCAGGTGCTTTGTTTTTGGAATCTTTTGCTTTACCATTTCCGTATGATGGTTTCCCATGATCTCTGTGTGGTTTTCCACCAATGCCTTTCTTGGAACTGTGCTTCGACTTCATCATTCTAGAGGAATCCTTCAAATTGGTTTCCTCCAGTTTTTCAAACTTGCCTATTAAAATTTTTAAGTTAAATTATTTGTTTGATTTACCTAGGTATATCTTATGCTAATGCTGAACATTCTTAAAACACGATAGCATTTTATTCATACCATTAACCCTTACCCACTCTCATTGTAAGGGCCTATGCCCTACGCCCTAGGTTTAATTTATTATGCAGGTCATTAAGCCTACCAGTATTTACCCGGTAACTTTCCTGTTAAAGGGAATAGTTTTCATTATTATCAATGATTTCTTTTTGATATATCAATATTTTTGTTTTATTTCACGATCCGTATTCCTTCCGTTTTTCATCAAACGCACTTTATAAATTATTGGAGCCTATATAAGTTAGGCTATTGGATTAAGAAATGAAACTATTCTAAACTAACCTAACATAACTAACCAAACTTGTTGTGGGCTAAGTTACCGTATCAAAATTCCGTTTTATAACAGAAAAGGCATGGGATTATCAAACGGAATTTTGAAATGTTACAGCAAGTTTTGATGGTTAGGTTAGTTTAGAACAGTTTCATTTCAATATAATATATTTATTTTAGTGCAGCATACCTTCAAACAGGCGCTTGCCGCGCAACTGAATCGGTGAACACAATTGGCATTCAAATATTTCAGTCTGACGAATAAAAAAAAGCAGCAGTGATTGTGCTGCGTTAGCCCGAGAGTGGACGTAGTTCACTGAAACACCCAAAGATAGCAACACTGCCTGGATTCGTAGCCAGTGTCTTTGTAAAGTGGCTCGAAAAGAGAAAATTGCCGGAACCGGGACAAAAGCATTGCCAGACGGGATTTTACAAGAAATGTTAGTACCAACCTACACCAGACTAAAGCTTATTCTAAGCTACAGGCTGGCAACGATTATCACGTTCCCCGGCAATGGCTGAGCTCACATTGAATATTTATGACTAGCTGTAACCCGCGGGCTTTGCCCCGTTTAACTTCTTAATTTTCAAGATTATCTCGTTCGCATGGCTCAATCACGTCCTGGTTGAAGTTTGTTCGCTACGCTCACTCACCTTTAGGTTGGAGCTCGTTCGCTACGCTCACTCACCTTTAGGTTGGAGCTCGTTCGCTACGCTAACTCGCCTCCAGGTTGAAGTTCGTTCACTCACCTTTTGGTTGCAAATTAGCTGTTGTCATAAATGTAAAAGAAATAATAGTGCTGCACCCTGTTGGTAATTTTTGTAACTTTAATGCTATTGAACATCACAGAACAGAACCAACTTGTTTAATTGAAACAGCTGTTAAGATTCAATAATTTCATTTCTCATAAGGTTAACATAGGAAACTCCAGAGCCACTGGGGTGGAGCCCGAAAGGATTTTTGAAATAAGAATATGCCTATATGTTAATCGGGAATGTGAGCTATCATCATGCCAAATTTCAGCCCAATCCGACCAGTATTTTTCGCGTTCACTTGTCACAAACATACATCCAAACTTTCTTATTTATAATAGGCCTATTAACTTAGTAGGATAACCCAACCTAACATAACCATCGCAGCACGCTGTATAACTACTTGGCGGAGTACACTATAGCGGTGGAGAAGCATTCAACTCAATCCTCGCAGACATCCATGCCTTCGAGGAGGCAGAACTCAAAGGCCGCTAAGTTAATCGGTCATGTCAAATTTGGACAGTAAGTCAGTTAAAGTATGTTGCCTTCTCTCTAATTATGTACGGTAAGTTATTTTGGTCTCCAGTAAAAAAAATCCCTCCAAAATAAGCGGCCAGCTTTCAAAATAAGGACTAGCTCTGCTGTCTATAAGTTAACTAACTTAGGCCTAGGCCTATCTAAAATTTAGTCAAAGCGGCATAACTTTGAGGATAAACTCAGGTTTAGGTCTAACCATGCCACCTAGGGTACGGTCCCTAAATGATTATCCCCATGGGAGGTTCACTGTAATCAGCTTAGGTAGGACAGTAGGCTACCTAGTCCTAAACTACCTAGGCTATAGGCCTAAAGCTTTTTTCTAGGGAATAAAATCAGGGGAGGTGAAAACTCGATAGGCTTAATCCATTAGGATTAATAAAAATTAACTTTTCATATGATAAGTATCAAGTTGCATTATAGCCTGGGCTTTCTAACTAACCTTAAATAGGCATTTTATGTCTCTTTAGAAGAATCTTGTATCTAATCACTTACCAAATCGATATTTTTATAGTAGAAATCAGATTTCAGGCAATCCTTTCATGATGTTAGTATACCATACAACAAACTACAATAATAAACAAATTAATCCAGTTACTAAATTGTTGTTGGTAAATTTGAGAAAGATTTACTCTTTTTTTGACTTCTGAATCAGTCAGTCAGTCAGTCCCCAGTCCAGTCCGTCGTTGTTCGACAGCTCTGCGCTGATTCGCTGAAGTCTAATTTTTTTTCGCTGATCATAATCAAATCGAAACTGAAACATTGGATTGGAACCACAACCAATAAGAACAGAAGAAAGTCAGTTCGTTCCATCATCTCAATTCCACTCCACTACACTACTCATTCTATCGTCAGCTCAGTCACGGCCGCCTTTAACTGCTTTCAGGACTTCAACCGGCATGAGAATAGGCTAAATTGACTAAAATGAGAATTGCTAAACATATTGAGATATAGATTATAACTGGAGTCACTACTCTCTGGTTAAACGTTAGAGAAAAACGTGCCACTGTTTTGGCTGGTTTGTTTTTGGTGTTTCGTGTTGTTAGGTAGGCCGTGTGATCGGTTGGTGGGATGCTGTCAAATAATTCCAATTCATTCTAACCTAACCATACTATTTATTTGGGGTTATGTTATCCGTTATTTCAGGGACTTATATCAAAAACTTATTTAAGTTATTGCACGTTAAAACCTCTGTATTTAAAGTTATTTTGAAACATTATAAATTGTTTTTGTATGATAGTAAATAAATACTAACTTATTTACCTCTTTTAAAGCTATGGGGTGAAAATAGGCTAGTCAAGTTTCCTGGTTTGGAGATATTGGTTTAGGCCAATAGCCTTATGGCATTTGATTAAATAACGACCATCGGTTTATGATCTTGTTAAAATGGGTTGCTCTTGCTCGTAAAATAAACAAATAAACTTATATTGCAATCATAACGTTGAGTTGGCAGATTTTTGTTTACTATCATCAACAAAACAGGATGACGCCATCTTGATTTTGCCTCTTATTTGACAAGTCCCACCAACCCAATCACCCGGCCAACCTAACAAAACGAAACTCTGAAACAAAACCAGCAAAAACAGTGGTACGTTTTTAAAACACAGAGTGGTTACTCCAGTTATATTATTATAGCTCAGTGTTGCTAAATAGGCCTGGACGTTGCAAGTAGGGTTATTTAGTGTCATACGTCCCATAAGATAACATGGCAGATTGGTGACATCAGCTCATTAGTTCACACTTTATTGATTTAAATTTATTAACATAAATGTATTAAAATATTTAAAATTATAATTAGTAGGATCAAACTTACAGAATTGAAACCCAAAACAATATGAATTGAAAATCTATATCCGTACATTTAAAGCTGAGTCAATATTTTCATAGTCCAGTAACCGAGCTTTTCCAAACATGAAGTTAGGAAAACACTGTTTAGGTTTTATATCATCAAATTTTTATTTTACAATATAGTTATTTAATTAGTTCACTCCAAGAATGGATTACAAAACAAAGTGCAATCTCAGACAAAACCACTCCCTTCCTTATCCCTTATCCGGTTATCCACTTGTGTTGGACTGTTGGTTAGTCTATGGTCCAATACTATTCCCTCCTTCCACAGAAGAATATGGTATGTAAAACTATGTACAAAAATTACAAATTATAACTGAGAATCGTGTTTTAATCGCTAATAATAAATATCCTTTAAAAATACTAGGTATACCTATATCTCATGGGGGGAGGGACATCTCTGGAGCCACACCCCTGATTTTATTTGTACATAGGTTTGCTGCTACAGGGAAGCTAATAAAGTGAGTCAGTTCAAATATTAATAGTTTAGTATAAAATAAAATAAAAATTACCAAGTTTTATCAACATATATCCATAAACAAGCAAACTAAGTTTTCCTTTTTTTAAACTAGAAACTAAGTTTTCCAGGTGATAGGTGTACCGAAAATTGAGTAGTAGTCTATTGGATGGGTACTAAAGTAGAAGTTCCATCTATGGACCAGACAATTTTATCGCCAAATTTATATATTAAAAAAGGTATAATCTATTGAGTCAATATCAGAAATGTGATAGTAGTATCTAAAATCCATTTTTTGTTCTTTTTTTGTTGCTAACATAATTGATTGGTCGTTACAGTTGCTTTTGATCACTATAAGCCCTATCATCACAGTTTGATCAGGTAAAAAAGTTTGTAACAGTGATAAGTAATTTTATCAGCACAATATGTCGGTGGCTCACATTGACTATGACGATTTTTGTTAAAAAAAAACTGGTGATAACTTAAAGATGCATATGGAATGTCCAGTTAAATCAATATTGGAAGGTACCGGTAGTTCAGGGCTTACAACAGACCCGTGGTTTGGTTGTATATGTGTGGGCCCAAGATGTAGCTTATTTGCGACCCCAACCCTCCTTGATAAGAATTATCGACTAAAAATACCTAAAGTCATAAGAATTTGACACGTCCATTTGAAAAGTAACAGTAACAATTAATTTATGAAACTATCATCTAAATCTATAACTGATATGGATAAGTGAGAATTTTCTTGGTCCAAGGACGGGACAGGATTTTTCTTACAGTGCCACAAGAGAGACCTAAGTTTGTTTTTAAAATCTTAAGTAAAATTTAAATTGCAAATGGCAATAATGACGAACAGAATAAACTGTCAGTTTGTATTGAACTGTTCTATGTTATGATTGTAATCTGTGTTCTTGATGCTATTGTTAATTATATTCGCAAGGACATTGTTATCTTCTTTCTTATCCTGCAATGGTGACAACACCATGGAGAGCTCCCTTGAACATAGGGAATTTGTGAAAGTCTTCTACGATCACAGAGACATCCAGACATCATCTTCTCTCTTGCAATCGCTGCATCGTAATCATCTCCTGCGATCACTGAGACATCATCCCACAAGCTATCCTGCTCACATTACTTACTGGTGTATATTGATGTGGCATGGTTTTGAAGCTAGTAATAGTTGGATTGTTAACATTCTCATCAGTGAGTGATGAGTATGGATGAATAATATCTAGTCCTAAAAAGGGAAAAGCTATAGAAATAAATGTACTTTGATGTTCCGTTCGGGTGGAGATACAAGTTTTCATGAGCCCAAAAGTAATAACAAATTTAATCTTTTGCACTGCTTCTAGTTCTACAGATAATAAAGGTGATTATCTTTTCTTTGCAAAGTACCGGTGAATAAAAATAAAATATTTACATTTTAGGCTGTTGGTACAAAATTTCTTTAAAAAAATTAAAAATAAGTACCTATTTACCTTCGTCTACAGCTCAAACTGCTGTAACTTGAGTTACGGCCGTTTCGGCATTATAATGCCATCGTCAGACGTTGAACATTCAGCTGAAGTAGCGTCGTCATAGTTGAAACACATAACACGAACTTGAATAACATTTTACAATTACTAACGAAAACACAACGAACAGGCCTGTCGCACAAACTGTACCGGTTGAAATTAAAGAAGTAAGTTAGTAATCTAAACCAATCATTAAAGTAAGTAGTAGTTCGTGTTCGTGTTATGTGTTTCAACTATGACGACGCTACTTCAGCTGAATGTTCAATATGTCTGACGATGGCATTATAATGCCGAAACGGCCGTAACTCAAGTTACAACAGTTTGAGCTGTAGAAGAAGGTAAATACTTATTTTTAATTAATATCACAGCTCAGGGGCTAAAAATGGATTTCAAAAAATCTATGAAAAATGAATATTTTAACTCATTTCGCAGAACATTTTGTACCATTCATGTAATTTGAGATAGTACAGTTAGTAGACTACGGTAGGTACTCTTTCTATCTGCCCCATATATTGTGCATCATCTTAATACTTCATTCACCATCATTCACCAATGTTTGGGTTTTCTCTAGTCAGTCCCAGATTTCAGATTGATGTCTAGGGAAACAAGCGAGCAATTTGGTCTGCATAAACCTATGGTTGAGAACTCTTTAAGACTATAACCAGACAAGGCCCGCTTTTATAAACGAGCAGACTGGGCATATGCCCAGGGGCGCGGCGGTTGTCGAGGGGCGACTGGCGGGCGGCGTACAACTACTGCCCACCCGCACGCACTACGAAAAAAAGGAGGTGCTGCTTATGAGTTTGCCCAGGGCTCCACTGACCCTTATTGCCGCCCTGTAACTAGAAATGATTTAGGTTTTTTAATTGAAAGTCACAACAAAAAACAACCCATTTCTTTTATATCCATTGTCAATTTTATTTATACATTTATTTTACCTAACAACATCTGATGGAGCTATAGTCGAGCTCATCATCAGATCATCTATATTGAGCACCATTGTCTCAGCATAAGTCAGGTGATATTACAAATTAAAGCCTTATTCGATATTCAAATTAAAATATTATGGTGTATGTGTCAATTAATGAATAAAAATTGTTCAAAGGTGATATTATCACTGAAAATGTTTATTGACACTAAAAAGCACTATATCACCAACAAAGTTGACATCAGTAGATCTGATGAAATATTCACTAAAATGGCACACAAGCCCCTTCACAGCCACTTCTGCGGGATCAGACTATACCATTCAGGATCTGACAACTACCTCTTGTACAGATAATCAGACTATACCATTCAGGATCTGACAACTACCTCTTGTACAGATAATCAGACTATACCATTCAGGATCTGACAACTACCTCTTGTACAGATAATACAATATTATTAGACAGGAATATTAACATCATAATCATTTTAGTACAACCAGAATTTCTATAAAGATCTCACAAACTCAACCTTCAACTAATTGATGATCCAATTAAAATTATAGTGCTTTATGGATCACCTCTTAACATAGTTATAAACATTAAAATCTAAAATGACCCTAAAAAATAATACAAAATCGCTAGTGTCATTTTATGTTGGTCTTTAAAAATCTCTTAAACTAAACATGTAAATTAAAGATATTGCTGATAGTTATACAAATCACATTAAAACTGTTTGGAGATTCAAAATTATTACCATTATACCGGCACAGTTTGTATTAGCTTACATGAACTCATTCAATAACAATTTAGTTATAAAAAATATTCAAGTAAAGTACATTCGGTACGGTAATTAAGTTGACAGCATTCAACCTCAAATACAGTGTCTAAACTCACAAAATCTATTTATTCTTGGTTTTACTTCTGTACATTTTAAAAGTTAACATTTGCACATATATTGTGTAGAATCAATTCAATAAAATATACGTCGTTACAATAAAATATGCTCCCATTAAAATGAATAAGTAAATGATATCGTTACAAGGTAAAAACATTATATCACAGGACAACAAATCGCATCATTAACAACTAACTGGAATGTACAAATTATAATGTCAATCAACAATCTTAACTTTTTACACACTAATCACAAGTCTAAAATGCACAGTAAATACAATTGTTGAACAATCCCCACCACACTGCCACGCATTATTGTACTTGCACAGCCATGTTTGATGAAAAAACTAAATTAACTATCACACGTAAACTTCCCCTCGCTTGGGTTGCGAAGTCACGCTGGCCTTGCGGCTGCGGTCGTCGCCTGAGACGCTTCCCGCTGAGCTGCCCTCCTCTGTGACAGGTTGGGTCACGTCGGTCAGCACCAGCGAGCGGTGCGCAATCACTGGAGTGTGCGGAGCAGACGACGGCGTGATGCCTAGACTCGTCAACATTGGGTTGCTCATAGACACGGTTGTGAATGTCACTGGACTGACTGACATTGTGATCGGATGCTGCGCAGTTGTCAGCACTGCGGAGGTGTTGATGGGATGTGAAGTGGTCAGCACGGCCGCAGTGCTGAGCCCCGCGGGGTTGAGGCTGTTAGCTAACACAGCCTGTGCCAGAGCTGCTGCACCAGGGGTGTTGGGTGTTATGGTGTTCTGGTGGCTCTCTGACTCTTGTATGGGAGAAAGAACGACCTGGAAAAGGATGTGTTTGTAAAAAACTAGTTAAGGGTATAATAGTATTTTTTAATAAATCTTAAAAGAACAATTACCATGTAGTATACTCCTAATTACAATTACCCGAATAAGGTATAAATTGAGAAAATCTCACATTGTATGTTTTTTTTTCTTTTTAATTTTAGGTAATAGTAAATATAACCAGTGGTGAGTGGTGTAGTCATACAATTTCCAAAGTATGATCGCTCACCATTACTGTACTCAAAAAATGACTAACATAGGATGAAATTATATGATTACTAGAAAAAGCAGGTTGGAAACCCACATCACCACTGAATATAACCATTGACTATGTAACCACAACCAGTTGTGGTTATATAGTCAATGATATAACCAACCCAAAGGCTAAAAACTGTCAATAAAGTTCAGCCTGTCAAAATTATTTTCAAATTCGGCTTAAAATGCCCCTAACACCCTAGTGTGTCAACGATATTAATCCAACATGATTCTCCGAAGGATTTTCTAAAAATAAGTGTCGAGCACTGACCTGGACGGCCACAGGCAACTGAGTGTCAGTGTGTGCGTACGGTACAGGGTTGTGTGCGACCAGCGCGCTGACTAGTGAGTTGGGGCTCACAGTTCCTCCGCTGTTGGCGTTGTTGTTGTTGAGGTTCATCTGAGCCAGGCGATTCTCTCTGTCAACAACTTCCTTGGTAACATCTGGCGTCGGGATTCGAGGTCGATTCTTCATCACAACTGATCCATTCATCTTGAGTGGCCCTGGAAATGGTCAATGTGGTTTATTGCAGGTATTGAAAATGTTATAACAACTTAGCTATTTGAAAGACATAACATTGAAATATACTGATATCAAATGGTTTGCTGGTGAATTGACATCAATTCACATTAGTCAAGTAGCAATGGACTTCAATAGAGAACATAGTTTTTCCATCGTATAAAAATGTAGCAGCGATTGGATACGATGACTCTATGTCACATAGGGGTATAATACAAGTGAGAATAGTAAAGGACACCGCATTGGTGATAGAATTGAAGTAGCTCACTTGAGAAGGACTGGAGCTCATTGGACAATTAAAATAAAAACTCATCCTACAACAAATTTGTCATTTTCATCTATGTTTCTCCAACCTTTTAACCATGCTAATATGTAATGACAAATAATTGTTGAATACTGCATTACCGTCAAATTCAATATCACTTGGTGTCGGTGAAGGTAAAATTTGACACCACTTTAGCTTAAACCCAATAGACAGATGTTAATCTTCAAAATTAGCTAAAAAGAAGGTTCCTCATAAAAATACATTTGACAACCAAATACTGTCTTAAGGTACCACATCAAGACCTAAAATTTCTGAAGTTATATATTTTCAAGTGCTAATGTAACTATGCAGTAAAGTAAAAACGTAATATTTGTACATTTTTTATTAGATTAGAGCTTTAGCACACCAAAAAGAACAAGCTTAATGCCAAACATCATCTCACAATATCTACAACACTTCAAAAGTAGCTCAATTAATCACTAATGTCAGCCAGATGCGATCACTTAAGGAAATTATACTTTGAAAACTAATCATTCCAAAAAAAGTTATGATCTCAAAAATGTAAGTTGGTAAAGTGAGATTTGGTGGTGTTAAAAGTGTAACAATAGCTTGGTGGTGTTGTGTCAGTCCACAATAATTTAAATGTCCCGCAACGTTCATGTGAGCTCAAGCCATGATATACAACCTAGGACATTATAGTCGCGCATAATTTTTAACAAGAGTAGGGGAGCACGACGGAAACACCGGTTGTCGTGTCTCTGCTGTGAAAGAAGAAAGATGGCTTGCTGAATGCGTGGGATATGGGGGTATGGCCCCCTTGGAGGTACCATGTTACACAATAGTTACCTATTCTTAATTCCATTAATAATTCTTTTCAGATTATGTAGTCATAATCACTTATTTAATTTATTCCGTCAGCTCTCCATTTCATTATTTGCTCAAATGTTAGTTCACGTTGTGTCCAGTTCATTGATTAAAAATTATTGCATATATCCAAAGATTAGGGTGTTCTCTAGTTAAAATGCTTCAATTAATAATAATAATCAAAGCTGGCTCTTTGGGCCTGTGATTCGCAGTAAATTGTCTCCTCTGTTTAGATAATGAGTTCAGATGCCGTTTCCAACACGAACGGTTTGGTCATGATCATAAATCATATGTCCAAATCACCAAATGTGGCAAAAATACGCCACAAGTGATAGCCGTGGTTTTGATCCACGGACCTCTGGATTATGGGCCCAGCACGCTTCTACTGCGCCACTCTGCTAAAAGCGTAAAATGATTTCTACTCTTCAAGAATTTCAAAATCAAATCATCTACCTGGCCTGTTGCGGTTCTGGCGTGTGGACTTGCGGCCGATGAGTCGGTCGTAGATGGACATCTTGTGTGGGTTCTGCTGATAAGGAGGGGCATGTGACTGACCTCCCCCCACCACTGAGATAGGCAGACCGTTCTGTTGATCAGGCGTAGAGTAGACGGAGTTGTGCCTTTGACGGCCGAACAAGCCTGAGGAATATGCTGTAGAAGACGAGCGGATGGAGCCCACTCGGTGCATCTGACGCTGGAACCAGTTCTTCCTCCTCTCCACCAATGGGGTGTCTACACTTTCCTGGAAGAATTATATAATTTTAGATACTTGTCATAGGCTATATACTTATAATTTAACTATAGTGTCTTAAGAAATAGTGATGCAAATTTTATATTTCTGAAGGATTAACGAATACATTATAAAATACTCCTTTTGATACTCAAAATGTCCTCCTCCTGAGCCTATATAAACCAGTGAGACAATGAGCTAAGTAAAAACGAACTGTTGTTTGATATCGAAAGGGAACTCAACTAAAGTCCAGGGACTAGTAAAAATTCTAAATGACAACCCATAACATATTTCTGATGTTTCATCTTAGAGTGTAGAAATTCGAATAGAACAGTTGAAGGCTAAAGAGAAAGTTAAAATACAATATTTCTTTTATTCAACATACTCTCTGATGAGTTCTACAATGGGACGCAAGTTTTCCCATGGAAGACTCAATTCTATCACTTTAAAAATAAATAATTTAATAAACTCGTGAAACTGTCGGATAAACATTTCACTCACATAGTCAGCGTAAACGTCATCAGGGTTGATCGACTTGCGCGAGTGCAACAGATTGGCGTAGAGTGCATCTTGTTCCTTCACTTTGTAGTCCTCCGCAGATCCTTTAGGCTCGTACTTGCGGTAATGCTCGGAAGCGACAGTGTACGGTAGGTCCTTAGGGACAACTTCGTCCCAGTACTGGTCCTTCAGCAACTCAGGGTGCTCCTCGTGCATTTCGTCCACGATCATGTAAGCAGCCTGCACAAGAAAACAAGGCGTGATAACAATTCTGGTTCAATTAAGAATAAAGAATACTTTTCAAAATAGAATACAGAGTAGGTATTTTTTTTGCCAACTAGTTTCTGCTAGTGTACTGGGATAATACACCATTTATATATCCTACCATAAAAAAAAAGTTTTTAACATATTCAACATTTTAGAAGATGCTTAATCGTTAAATGGATGTCGCCTTTGACCATTAATACAACTTCAGTTTCCAATAGTCAATGGATGTCACTGACATCCATCATGTCAGTTAAGAGAAGCGACACAGAGGTAATATTACACCTGGAGTTTAAATCAACAAGAAGTATTTGAAAGTTTCTCTGCTATAATAAAAAAAATGTTTAACTTTGAATGAGCTAACAATGTTTTTGACTCGATTAAAAATGTAATTTGGTGGGCAATATTTATCCTATCATGCTGAATAAATTAGATATCAATAGTATGATCAGGAAAGACTTATTGCTGGATGTAAAACATTACAGTTAACAAAATTTGGTGCTTATAAACCTCTTAAGTGGGAAACAAAATGTCATAACATACAATATAAGACTGGTAATTGAAAAATACAGCATTTATTTACCATCAACACTAAATTAATTTGTTATATTCCACTATCCTACCTTGATATGTCTATCAATAAGCCAGTTGAGTTCAATATCGTCATCATCTTCACCAAACGGTCCAATGAGAACTTCTGCTACCTTCAACCACCCTACGTAGAAGACAAACTGGAAAAAAATATTGTTGAATGAAGGATTATTTTATAGGCTTAATATGTAGAGCTGAAAAAATAAGAAATTAAATGGAGTATCTTATAATATTTCTACCAAGGAATTTTGATATGTTCTAAAATGTTGGAGGATATATCGCTAAATAAGCATTTAACAATTAATTTACCGTGCACGTGTGTTCAAATGCTATACAGTACTTTAGCTTAACTTAGCGCTGGGGATTCTAGCTTTTACCTACTGCTACTTTTGTTTTAGCTACAGAGAAATAAAGTGAAGAGAAAATACGCTTACACTTTGGGAAATTCCTATCGCAAGAGCACAAGGTCTTTCTTCACCGTATGTAGAACATGAAGGCGATGGGGCAGTGTTGGACTTTGCCCTAGACACCAGGTTTAGTGCTAGACACCACTTAAGTGTACCATGGAGTGTGTCCTTTGTTCCTTACTTCTCTGTGAATAGACTAAATTGGTCTTTCAAAGCTGATTAGAATACAGTAATAAACAATACACTTCCCCGGACTATTCACTTGGTCAAATCCCAAAAAAATCTCACAGTAAAATTTTTTAACTACATTGCTAAACTGTGTATTTTTTTACAGTAAATAATTACCTGTAGGACAGTGAAGATAGGAAAGTACATGTCGAACTCTATATTGCCGGTTGGAGATCGCTCTGTAATGATGAATTGTTTTCCCAGAAGATTGGCCAAGAAGTACGAGTACACCGACAGAGTTACTACCTGTTAGAGAATAAATACAATTAATATCTTACATAAGTGATTGAAAATTAAACATGCATTCTAGCTTTTTGTGTTTCTAGTGATTTTTATGCAAGAAAGATGTCCAAAACCCTCGGACATCTGGGCTTTTGCACTTGTATAAATCACGAAAAATAAAGCTTTCTGAGCTCTATGGCCAAAAAATAGACAATGAATTGGTAAATATCGAAAAAGAAATCAAATCTTCGAGCACCTGCATTACTGAGGTGTCTAAAGTATTTACAGAAGGAAACTACGAAATGGAGAACATCTCCCCCTTCCAGTTTATATTCAAGTTGTAGATTTATGTGCAAACAATAAAATTGTAAGTGACCTTCCCGATTGATTGACTATATAGTCAATGCTTTTCCCCAGAGAGATACAGTATCAATTTTCTACTGCAAAACCAAAGTCGTAAATTGTATTGTAATAAAACACTGCTAAAGAAAGCAGGGAAGTTGAGACGTTTAGTTTGTATCTTGTATGATATTTTTTAATTGCATTGTAATGTACAGACATATTTTTAAATCATTCCCGTACGATAAGTTTTTAAAAATTATAGTTACAATGTTCGAATTTTAAAAATTATTTAAATTATAATCAGTTGATTAGATAGTTTTGGGTACTTTTGTCTCTGGAAACGTTCTAACTTTCCAAACTGTAAAAATATTTTACAATATTACATTTTTGAAATTCATTTAAAACTTTACTTGAATTGTACATAATTTTTTTGCATTTTCACACACATGCAAAAAAGTGCAACCATGCAAATGTTAATGAAAATATGATTACAATATAAAGCAAATACTATCATAAACTGAAAAACAATAGGAAAATTTGCAACACAACCTTAAAAATAAATAAACGTACAAGATAACAAATGAAGTTGAATGTAGAAATCTCAAACCATACAGTGAAGTTGATTTTGCCATTTGAAATAATGAACAATGTAATCAAAAGAAAACTAACTCTAAATAAATCAAAGAAATACAGAAAAAAAAATACTGAAACTTAGACCAGCACCGATACTTTATTACATATTAAACATAACATAATAGTAAGAAAAACAACTTTCACCTGATAAAATATCCTTTCAAGACCTGTAAGATATAATAAAACAAAAAGTATCAACAATGCATTTAACGAAATAATCTTCTTGGTTTCCCTGAAATTAAAATAAATAAAATTAACAATAATTTACTGTCCTTATACAGTATTGTAAGTATTTTGCCATTGAGATGCATGTATATAGATCAATTGATTTTATGACTAAATTCCAATAAATCCTGAAGCTGATATGTCTATATTATTATTTTAAGGAAATAAGTTAGGGGTGAAGCGAAACATTTGCCAGTCTCTTGTTAAATTAATTAGCAAGGATTTAAAATTTACTACTGTACACGCCAAACCTGATAAATGTTAACTAATTGCTAGAGCTGAACAAACTAACTTATTGTGATGCATTTGGAATATTACAGTAGCAAGCAAATCAAATGATGTAAGAATCTAAAAAAAAATGATTTTTTTTAATTGGACGTCCTAAAAGGAAATTTTTAGCTAAAGCTTAAGGTATGTGATAAAATAATTATTTGTTTTCAACTTTAGTATCCAAAAGTCAATAGTTATCCAAATATACAAATATCCAATGAGAAACTTCTCTCCAACTATAGTTAGCTGATTTCATATGAAAACATACACAAGATAAAATATGTTGTATGTAGCCTATGTGTTATGCTTATTTCAAAACGAGGTTATTAAAACATTATTAAAACGGGTTATTAGGACATAATCTACTAACCTTACCATAGTTCACAGACAATTCACAATATTTACACCGACACAAATCAAATGTACTACTGTTCTTCAAGAACTTTTATAAGATTTATTTGTCTGTGGTTGATGGTTTTTAATTGTTTTCCTCTAAACAGTAGGCTATTAGATTTTTGGAACAAAAGGTGTAATAGTACTTTTTAGTACATCTACTATATTACATCAATGACTTTGGCTACTTTTGAGGATGGTAAACCTATAAGGTTGTATTTTTGTATAAACCAGTTCAACAGCATATACATTTATCAGTATATCACTGTCACAATTAGTGTGCAACAGTTGGCACCGCTGCCAGATCAGCTGATGTTGACAGCAAGGGCGGGCGGAAGTAAGTAGACTGACAAGTCACCTGTGCCCAATGGCAAGGCTGCGTTCAGATGGACCGTGAATTGGCGGCAAAAAAATATGGGGTTTAAGGTTAAAATGTTTTACTAGCTTTTCCAGTGGCAAATTTAAACAACACTTTTTCACAGAGAAATTTATACAAATACAAATACAGTACTTAATTATTAAATTGAATGAAACATAAACATAATGAAACATGTGATAAGCATATTAGGTCCTAACTAAAATGTAGGTAGAGTTACTCCATGTAATTCTCATAAATAATTGTACTGTTACCGAACTCTATGTAGTGTGTGTTAATTTTCATAGTTTTAATATAGGCAGGTTTTCATGTTTAATTATTTACTATTACTCTGAGTTAATACAAAAGAAAATTCTCAATATAAAACTTCCGATCGTAGGTACTGTATTCGGAAAGTTTTAAAATGAATTAATGAATTAATCTACAGATTGGGCTTTTCCACACTGGTATGAAAATTGTCCTAAAGTTTTATTTTATAATTAACCCACAGTTGATGTCTTCTGAACAGTCCACGTTGTACCTTCGTATAGTATAACGTATTACAATACAATGGTATTTATTTGTTTTGTTCATTCGTGAAATTAATATGCATTTATTTTATTCACTTCTTTCTTCTTTCTTGTTAAACAATCAACCGATCAAAAGATGTACTTTGACTCTTACTGTCGTTGATGGATTTTTATAGCATATCAAAATATATGCTGACTTAACTGACTATTTTAAGCTCAAATACAAATTTTCAGTATGATTTGGTAACAAAATATATGTAACCCAGTTTTACTTTACAGCACCATTAAAAGGGGCGTGCCATTGACGTACAATAGCCCACAAGTGTGTCATTTGGCGTATTTACAATGACGCCGAAGTGTTGCATAAGTCATGACTGAACGTATGTTTAAAAGACACCCGCTTTAATAGTAGTTCATCACTAACTATATTTTATATAGCTTAACTATATTGTATATTTCATCACTAGGGCAATGGCTCTTTTCGATCCGAGCTCAAGTTTAAATCCGTGTGATGATTATATTTTTCGACATTTTGCAACATTATTCAACAAACTAATTTAGAAAATGATTTAAAATGAAAATAATTTTACATACCTCTAAAAACAGCTTCCAGCTTGTTTAAAATTGTTCCAATGCAAATAAGCAAATAATTTCGCCTATTATGATTGGGTTAGTGTACATTCTTGTATCAATATATAGAACTACAGTATTCACAAGAATGCTAAAATAAGCTACAACATATAAAATCAGTCGAAACATGTGATTTCTTACAATCGCGAGGATACAAAAGCTTTTACTCCCTAGGGACTAAAGAGGCTTTTGACTCCCTAGGGAGTAAAAAGCGTTGTTAGCCCCTAGGGAGTAAAAATCAGCTGTTGTCAACTCAGTTGAAAATTTAGATCGTAAGCAATAACATATATCGAAAGTATGCATCAATTGTTTAATCGATTGTAACTGATTGTTCCCTTATACGAAATAGTTCGACAAATCGATAGTATAATGTACACTAACACAATCGTAATTAATCGACAAAATTATTGAATCACTTAATAATCGGCTGCTTATTTAGATGAGCAGAATTGAAAACAAATTGGAAGTCGTTTTATGGGTTATATTTCGTAGGGGGGGGGGGATATTTTCGTTTTCTAGCTTAGTTTGTTAATTATTGATGCAATATGACGAAAAAATATAGTCATCACACGGGCCAAAAGTGTATTTACAACCCTCGCTCATTTTCCGACCTCGGCTTCACCTCGATCGTAACTTGAGCTCGGATCGAAAAGAGTCACTTTATGCCCTAGTGATGAAATATGCTATTGACTTCCTAATGGAGTAAAAGAGCTACTTTAGACCCGAAAGAGCTACTTTAGACCCGCAACACGTATTCCCATAAACGAATGTTTTGTTGCAGTATGACAAAAAAGTAATTTTTGATCATATACCTTTTTCTTTTTCCTAAAGTAGCCTACATTGATATGGAAACACCAGAGAACACAGAATAGTAAGAGAGGATTCAAAAGAGGTTGAAAAACTGTAGTTTTTTTTTTTTTTCCTAGGACGCTAGGCACGAGCCTGGGATTGTTTTTCACATTACTTCAGGCTAGACCTAGGGGTTGCGGCATTATCACTTAGATAAAATCCATTGGTGACTTGGCGGGGATCGAACCCGGGACCTCACGGACCGAAGTCCCGCGCTCTAGCCACTACGCCAGCTCGCTCCCCTATTTGTAGTAGTCTATAAATAAAATAAAATTGAAATTTACAATTTTTGAGGTTGTAGTGTAAGTTTTTTTGTCGACATCAGCTTGGTCAAGTGCTACTAAAATCAAAACAGTCTTCAGACTTTACGATAAGATGAGAACGTCCAGCTTCTAAAGTCAAAGGTTCTAGCGGTGAAGTAAACCCGGTTTCAATTTCAGCACAACAGTAACGTCGAAAAGTGATTTTAAAGGTGGAAACAATACTTTGAAAGTTTTTAACTGCATAATTCATCCAACCCAAGTATGAATGAAAGATGACTGTGGAAGAGTGAGACAACCTTTTGCAGTTTTGTTACTGAAACGAGCTGTATCTTCAACCAGAACCATAGATTAAAACCCCTTTGGCCAAGGACAGTCGGGTCCAGTTTCGAACCCTCAAAGAGCTCGGGCTTTTCTCAGGATCGAAACGACAATCTTCTGATTATAATATAAATTTGAAATAAAAACTTCACCAATATTTTTAGATTTTTTTATAAATTAACTTAGTTAATGTCTAAGTGAAATGAAATTAAAAATTCTAAAAATATTGGTGAAGTTTTTATTTCAAATTTATATTAATTCCAATATTACCAGTTCCTCTTGAAGAACCTTCTGATTAATTTGCGAGTAAAATTACATCATACAGTATACCAATAGCCATATGGGGGCCCTGAACTATGTATTCTACATGGCTTTCAGGAGCACTCTTCGCTAAGGGATTATATACCCACCCAACAAGCTTGCAACTGTATGGATACAACCTTCGGAAAAATAAGGAACGCGATTTAAAAACTCCCGAGAACCGTGAAAATCGCTAACTCAACGCCAACGCCTTCAACACGTCCGGGATCGCCAAGGGCTTGTCAAATTTCAACACCTTTCTTCCGCCATTTCTTTACCCCTCGGTCACGGCGACTGTTTTTACGTAAGCGATGTTGTCTGACGAATGGATTGTCTTGGACTCGCCTTGACATTGTCAAGATAACTCTAGAAGCGTAACGTCCTGCGAGAAATAATACTGATAAATACTGTAGAAGACAAATCACCTACTGTGATGGCTATTGTGAGTAGAGGGCGTAACTAATGCGTAATAAACTATTCTCCATCCTAATAGAATATGTGGGGTGACTTACGTAACATAGGCTATAAAACCTGTTTTTGGTGTGTTCATGTTAGTAACATTTGAGTGCTCTTTTGTCGACAGGACAATTCTGTCTTATTCAATGGAGGATTTTACAATTTGTCACATTGGTAATATCGTTGAAATGGAATGAGAGGATACGAAATCGTTTTCTACATTCAGTCAATCTAATTTTACAGCTGGCAAAATCAAGTCTCAAATAGTAAACAACAAAGGGATCTCCATAAACAGGAAAAACACGACCTAAAACTGTCTTCAATCTATTCACAAGGTTGAATAATATTAGGGAGTACATGTAATTTAAAATCCTGAACTTAAGAGCGTTGAAAAAATGTTAACAACAATTTTAGATTATAAGGGGGACTGATGGGATTATATGGGTCTAATGGAAGTATTTTGGAGTCATATGTGCATTTGTGACTGAGGTTATTCTTTATGGAAGGTACTGAAACAGAGATGGTCATACAATCAATTATCAATTAATCGAGATGGGGACGCAACCTAGATCGTATTTTAACCCCAATGTGAGTGTAGAATGGAGTGAGATGATCAGCTGTTTCAGTAGACAGGATCATTTATTTACTTGCCACCGGAAGAAAAGCTATAATATAACCATAGATAAAACATACTCCCTTAGATATAACAAAATAACAATGCTATTGGTATTTACTACATTGAATGCTTAGTCAAATTACTTTACCACCTGTTAATGGAGAAAATTCCTACATTACAACATTCAAAATATAAACATTCGGAAACAAAACAAAAATGTCCTTGTCGTATGAAAGGCCTTAAAAATAAAACAATAATTAAATAGCTTCATGCAAAAAAAACTGTAAAAACAAAAAACAGCCAAACAACTTCATATATCTAAAAAAAATTATATCTCTGCTGCTACATATACAGGAACAAAAACTGTTAGTTGAGTATAATAACAAAAAATAGGTTACTATACATATACATCCACGTAAATAATGCAAAATATCTATTTAATAAACTATTAAGTCCAATGCACAACGTTTCTACACTATTACTATTTACTACAATGCTTTTGAATTTCATAAAACTTACTTACGGAGTCAGAAGGTAGGCAGAACGTGGTGTGGACTGATCGTGACTGATTAACTATAAACTAATGTACATGTTTTTGTGTAAAAAATAAATAAATACTCTATTTCAATACTCGTACGGTATAAATAAAATGCTAAAACTAAACTTTATTGTAAATAGGCTGGTATCACTGACTTTTTTTCCTTTTGTGTCTATGACAGATGCGTTTTCAAATGAGCGATTACTGTATATTCTGGTAAATGCCTTATACTGTAAGTATATGTATAGCTCGTCCAGTCTGTATCCCTACTGATAAAGTTGGAGTAGTATTCGTCAAGATATTGTATATCAAAACATTTGATTAACTCAAACTGGGTAGAACTGAGTAAACTATTGACTCATGTAATCAAGATTATATTGGAAGCGTTAGCGTTGCCAAACTAAAATTTGCCAGTTCAACGACCATATTCGAAGTCTTTTGCCAGCCATTTTCCGAAGAACAGATCCAAGAGTCTCTGCTGACCGTAGAAGGATGCCTTCTAGTTTACTTACGTGTTGTTTAGCCTAGTGTTCGTCTTTTACTAAATGCTCACCTGGGTGCTTTGATAGTTCTAGAACTTGCTGCACCACATTTGCATCAATACCTATAAGTTGGAGTCAAAGTTTGGCGGTTTTCCAATCCCTGAAGTTCAAAGACGGCATCTCCCGAAGACACCCCTAGACAGTCTACTTTGAACGTAGTAGCCTACCTTCTAGTTTACCTGCTGAGTGTATTATGTCTAGGTGCTCGGCCTATACTAGCTCACCTGTGTGTAGACGAGTGGCACGTTGACGTTATCGTACCCGATGAGACTGCCCAATCGCAGTCTGATGTCGCTCATCTCGTACATGATCGTCTGCACCAGATGATCGCAAGATATGAGGCCCTCACGACGAGCTCGGTTGATCACGTTGGTCGCCCAGGTCAACGGAAGCCAATACTTCGCCATTGGGTGTCTTTCGTCCAACATCTCGAAGATTTTTTTCTCGCTTTCCATCATTAAACCTTAAGAACCGGGACGCGAGTTTAAGTGTTGAAAGATAATTCGTGGGTAATTCGATGTACACTGCCAATGTCGGTGCAATTTAAAGTTAGCGTTTGAAAGTCGTGTAATTAATAACTACTTTATTTGTTTGTAACTGGGAATGTTTTAACTGGATGTTGTTTTTTTGGTATGTTATCAAATATGAATGGAGTAGGGACGTGTGACATGACTGCTTTGATTATGGCTATGACCAGCTGTTTCTTCAGCCAGGGAAATTTATTGCTGACCCAATCTTAAAAGACAACACTAGTCAGTTAAAATATGATCTACCTGTCGCCTATTAACATGAACAGTCACGCTTTATAACTGAAGTTCACACCCGTTCCACAAAGTTTTCTTCCCTTTGCAATCATTTGGGATAAATATCATACAGAGAATACAAAATGCACTGCAAAAGACCAAATTTAAGGAAAACATTATACAAAATACTCCACTAGATTTAACCATCTGATTTTAATATGCCAAATTGTACATATGATGAAATATGCTGTTGAAACAGCTGATCTTAGTAGCAAAGCTATACAGATCATCCCACAACATTCTACACTCATCCTTCACCAATAGGTGACACACACCTAGGTGGCGTCGACCTTCTCAATTGATAATGATAATAATGTTTAGAACAATAAATGGCCAATAAAATGCAACTCGTGTCCTGAATTGGTTTATGGTTTAAAGGGCCAATAAAAAAGAAAGTTTCTAATTTGAATAACGGAACGCCTGAATGTTGGATCAAAGTAACAAGGGTGCTAATTCAGTTTGGATTACAAATAAGAATTATCATGGAAAAAAGACTTAAGAACCAAAGCATGTTTGTTATGATTTTAAACATTTACTAATTTACTTTACTTAGCTTATCTTTGAACTAATGTGAACTTTGTGAACTTTAGAGCGTACCTGCACACGATGTTTTATATATTTTTTTGTAATTTCAGTTTTCAGTTTCAAACAATAGTATTATAGTTTTACTTTACATACTGAGGTACATAGATAAATGGATAATTTAGTCTTCCACATTTTAGTAATTGGTTGATAATTTCGAAATTATAATTTAGATACACTTTTTTTAAGTGAGAGTGACGACAACACAAATATACTTTGCAGCTTAACATGTTATTTGTACAATTACCTACGATAAGCCTTAGAATTCTGATTTTGAAACTAAAGAATATGCAATTTATTCGTTATATTTTTGTCCGAGCACTAATTAATTGGACCACGCCGATAAGTTGTCTAAACTTGGCCATCCTACTTTTAAATATTGAATAAATTTACTTGAATTTGGAATTTTAAATATTTTGAGGTTTTGAAATTTCGGCCACTGGTAGGACAGCTCCAGGTCGGCTGGTCGTTGTAGCCGTTATGTGTCCTCGATGTGCAAGCTGCAGAGCTGTGTGGTTGTGCACAAGAGTGCAACGCCGTCGATCCATACCATACTCTACGTCCCGAAAAAAGAGTGATTGAAAAAAATTAACAGTTAAAAAAAGTAGGTATACATTTCCAAAGGACTTTATCAACAAATGTTCTTAAGTTTTTGCTTAGAGGGGATTAAACTAAACGACAACAAGTTTTCTTATATTTAAACCTTTTTGGAATTAATTTTTACTATTCTGAAACTTTTAACATTACTTTCATTCATTTATTAGGCGTATACTAAGAAAAATTTACGCAAGTTACTTAACACGATTAAGAATTAAGATATGTTTACAAGCAATTTGCGAGGATTAGATTAGAAAAAGGATTAAAAGGTATTTTTCTTATATTTAGAGGAAACGTTTCATGATCGATGCGTGTGAGGACGGATAAAATAATTTTACTTCTTTGAACTGTTGTAAAAGCAAATTACCACAAGTAGTACGCCACTACACACCTGCAAAAACCAAAAACATAACTTCCGAGCTTGTAAATTACCAAAATTTAACATTTTTTTTAAATCGAAGGTCCAATAAAACATTTAGGTTACCCGATTGGAACCAATCAAACTCTATAAATTATTGTCGAAACAAATTAAAAATTCTTAAAAGGACACGCCTTGAGAACATAGGCGTAGCCTCGGATATTTTTAGCCAAATCGATTCTGAGGTATTTGAATAATCCCAAGGAAGAGAAGAGGGGGATGACCAGTGACCAGTGGGCAAGATATGTAGCAAGGTCAGCAAAGGTCAACAGCTCTGGGGGAATCCGGCCCAAGGTCATACGAGTGCCAAGGTCAAGAGGAGCAGGATGGAGCCAGACGAGTCGCGCGTAGAAGAAGAAGAACTTATGCTTGATCATTTCTACATTATTGCTTGCATACAATTTAGACAGCTCTGAACAATTGTAGTTAGCTTGTTTCTTGGCATTGCCCAGTTAGCTTACTTTGATTCTCATAAATCGTTTGTAAACACTTCTTGTTTTGTTCAGGTTTCTAACCTGAAGACGAGGTTAGTTTTCAAAGTTCCGAAATGTCGACCCAATACTCTTTTACTTTAGCCAATGAATACTAGAACAGAAACTGTATGGACCATAGACATCAACAAATTGTGTTACTGGTCCGAAAGTAAACATTATTATAACATTGCTTAATAGGTACTGTCTAAACTATGTAAATGTTATCAGTATGGGATTCGGGCCAGTTACGTCATTTGTTTATGTTATACACCGAATTCTGTTCTAATATTCGTGCTATAACCAATATAATCAACATCGCCAACAATAATGCTCAATTGGTAAAAGTTCCCCTACTTTATTCAAATGTCTCTAAATACCATTTTACCACAGTCAATGATATAACTCAATTGACAGCCTGTTATGTAATGCTTTCCCTTTGTGATTTGATTTATGGTGTTTTATTCAGCAAATTGAGTTTGTTAAGTTATTCAAATATCCTACTGAAAAGGTTCAATCTTTTACCATAATATAATTTAGAATACGATATTTTTAACGGTTGAAATATGGAAATAGCAGATTTACGTGTTTTGAAATAGGTTAATAATTGAAGTTAAAGTTATCAAGTTTCTGTATCCATGATTTATATTTCTTCCTGTAATTTAATTGTAAAAATAATTGTATAATATTTATGTACAGAAGCGTAAGAAAGTGCCATTTGACTCTTAACTTTGCCTATGTAAATTAATATTTTTTCATTCCATTAAACTGCTGGTTTTGAATTATATATCAGTACGAAATCAACTAAGAGGATCATCATTTTTTAGGGTTACAACAATTTATATTTTTGGATCAAAAGACAATGTTTGGAGGAGTAATATCATATTGAACTTGGCTCTCTGTGCACGTTTAAGAAAGTTATCCATATCTATCACAAATGTTCACATTTAATAACTTGTCATAAGAATACTATGTAATAGTTATCCCTTCCAACGGACCCAATCTGTTGTAACATATCATTAGGTTATGGTTATGCTTCTATTGACTGTATTTAAACATTAAAGTCTCAACGAAAACTGGTCTTAATTCACTTTTATGTTTTCCTAACACTGGCAGTGTACATTGATCTGTATTATTTTTTCTATTTTCAAACGAAAGCGATGAAAATCGTGGAAGACGGAGAACATCATCATGAGGTAAACGATGGAACGAAACCGCAAAGTCCAAAGACCGCGAAACAAAATCATCGCATCATACTAATCTTTCTGTACGTCAACTTGAATTGTTCGTATTTTAGTTTTTATTTTGTTTTATATTTAGAAAAAAATAAGGCAAATATAATTTTTGTGAATATATTTTTTCCTTTAAAACTACCCGCTCTGTTCAATAACTGACCCGCCACAATCATACCATTTCGTTAAGTCCCTCCACTCACAAAAAATATGTACAAGTCCCTCCTGTCATCACACAGAATTTCTACAATGTTTCTTCCTTCTAAAACGCTTCTTTAAAGTTATCAATTTTATTTGCCAAAAGAGGTTAAAAATGATTAAAACTGTATGGAAAAAATGTGCTATTTTCAAAATCCATATTGATAATAGAAACATTTACCAACTTCATATCGCATAACAAAATCTCATAAATGTTCATTTAAAAACAGTGCAATACTCTCCTAGTTTTATATAAACAACTATGAATTACTAAAGTATTTTGGAAATTTTAATTTGAAACTTGTTACATTATTTCATACAACGTGCATGATGACAGGAGGGTTGACATTTAACGTGACGTTATGACGTTGCATTCCCAGCAACCCCTTGTCGTGACGTAAGCTCTGACGTCACTTGGCCCGTGACGGTCGGCGTCACTTGGGCCTTGACTATATACAACAATGTGCTGGTGCTATATACAAATTATATAAATAACCCCAGGATTATAAAATCATAAACTTCAAATCACGTAAACAAATCATCGTTGAAAAACTGACGAAATTATTATTTGTAGAAGTAACTAGTTTATCATAAACTATTTGTGTAATTAATATTCTAGCACTGCAGCCTAATGTATTTTTTTTTTTATTTAACTACTGGATCCAATTGTTTTTTGTTGCAAAACCATATTTTAAACCGTAAATTCGTGTAAGAAACAAAAACAAGTGCATCACAAATGTATGCATTATTTTGTTATTTTTTTAACTTTTGTCCTATTAACGATTTCAATTAAAGTTGAATATGCATTAAAAACGAACTCCCTTCAAAATTTGAAAAGTTAAAGCTTGGTTAAAATCGTGTTGAGCTGATTTCTTATTAAAGTTTAAAGCTTACTCTGAGATCGATTTACCGGAATCAGTTTAATTTTAAGCTTGACATACTCTAAGCCCAGACTTCCTATCCTAAATACATTTTAAGCTTAATTTACACATTATGTAAGTTAGCTATCCATGTTCACGAAAGCGGCAAGCTGCATTAAAAAACTCCTCTGAAAAATAATTTTGAAGAATATTCTATTCAGGTCTGTTTTAAGCCTGATTGCTTCTTGATCTAAATATTGTTTATATTTACGATAGATTTAAGTTTTCTCACTCCAACTCCGT